CCGCTGTTGTATGTTTTTTGCCATTTCTAGGTCCTGGCTTGGCATCTTTTTGCTTGGCACGGTGGCCTTCTTCCTCACAGAGAAAGTGGTGTATTTCTGTTATTTTACTTTGGAACATTCTACTACTATCTTATCACTCAGGATCCTCATCTAACAATCCCGCAACCCTCTCCAACGCCTCTTTCTGCACTTCCTCGACCGTCTGATCAACACTAACAGTTATGACATCAGTCTCATCGCTCCCTGGCCGTTCCAATGCCTCAAATTGACTATGCACCAACGCCGGTCCGGCAAAATGACCCTTCCTCGCCGCAGCTCTCTTCGTAAGGACTTCCTCCGGCGCGTCAAGATGCAAAAAGTGCACGCGCAGATCACCCGCCTTTTCGGATCCTTCGCGAAGAAGATCTCGGTATTGGCGCTTCAGTGCGGAACATGTGACGACGAGATGTTCGGTGCCTGGGCCTTTGGGGTGATGCAATGCGTGCTCGTGAAGCGCCTCCAACCAACCTTTCCGGTCTGCGTCGGTGAGGCCTTCACCGCGGCTCATTTTGTCGACATTTGATTTGGGGTGGAACTTTCGAAAGGTCAGTATATCGTTTTGGAGGATGTTTGCCAGAAACATACATCATCTCCCTCTACAAATTTGAGATCCAGCTCATCGGCCAGATACTTTGCAACTGAAGTCTTGCCAGAAGCCGTGGGACCCGAGACGAAAAGAATCCATCGGTGACCACTTGGCACTGGCTTCGCAGCTGGGTTCGTCAAATCGTTGGACATTTTTGTTTCCTTTTTGCTCATGAATAGGTAGGTATGATGATGTTCTGTTGTTCAAGATTCCCACGTTTTTGGTGGTTGAGGCTCAACCGGTTTGGCGTTTTGCATGGTTGACGTCATAGTGAGTTTGCCAGCTTTGCAACAATGCCATCAGATGAATTACGTATCTTGAGCCAAGCATTCTATAGCTTTCTCACCAATTCCCATAGTAAATATGCGATCGAGATCCCACTGGCCAGAAACATTACAGAAGAGTTATTATCCAAGTCTTAGGCTGTCAAAACAAAATAGTCCAAGTGCTGTTATCAACTTGGATGAGGTCCACAAAGTAGCTTGTATGCTATTTGTGGCCAATTCTTTAAACACTGACGACAACGAATCTTAAATCTGGGTTTCTACGGCACTATGTTTAACCCATGAAATTCATGAGATCGAGCCCTCATTGGCTCATCCAGATTCCCGGAGTGTTGGCGACCTTTGCTTGCGAAAAGGTTTAGGGTAGGATGAGGAGCAAAGTTGATGATCGACAGGTCCGCATCAACGGAAATTGTCTAAGCTGAGAGGAATGGATCGCATGCAATCTCCATACGTGCGTGTTTCACTTTTAATTGCATGCAGTCAAAGTGTTTTCCGAGATAGCCGATTGACATTTCGAATGTTGACCTGTTGCGTATTCGAATTTCCACGGATCGCAACCACCACCACCAGATATTGGCTTGAACAACTCCACATGGTACAACAAGACACAGAACAAATTGTTATCACTCGTGATAATAATGTCGCTCATACAACTCTTTGCTTGAGTATATTGATTCAGAGAAATATTGCTCCTTCAACCATAACATGATCAATTCTCCGCGCGAATCCCATCACACAGCCTCCAAAGCCATCGCGGTTTCAGCTCGCGCCACAGTACCAACCAATATCCCTTCCCTTCTATCTCAAACAATTAACAAACTGTCATCAACGCGTCTCGTTTATCTTGGGTAGAAAAAGGGGGTATCCCGGCCCAAAGGGACGAGCGGCGGTGGAGCACGTGAAATCGGCCCATTTACTCAACAGATGGACACAAAAACTGCCCAAACGGTCTAGATCTCGAAAGCATTGGTAATCACAGAGAAGAGATATCGAAGCGAAGCAGTGCTTCTCCCCACAGTCTGTGCAAGAGTCCGTCTACTCCGTAATACTGCATGCACGGATTCTGGGCATGGAATCTTAGCTGTATCAGCCTTATGGTCAGTGTGCAGGCAGTATTTACGAGGTATAGCTTCGGATTTCACACCGGTCAAGGAAATAACTCGGTGTTGTTGAATCGTGATTGACTTTTCATTCCAAGGGAAATGAACTTGCCAAAGCCGACGCGTAGCGAACACAACCACTCTTCTACCAACCGAACAGAGAAAAAAGAATGCTGATCTTTTTTTCCCACGTGCGGCCGCCTTCGACGTCGTGCCCTTGCATGAATGACGACGATAAAATTCCCATTGCAGTTACTCGCGGCATCTTCCCGAGAGACGATTATTTATTTGACCAATAGTAATTAAATCCAGGCCTTCTAGAAGAAAAGGTGCATTGCATTACTAGCGCGGCTGATGGAAAATTTGATGTGCTAGTGGTAGAGGTACAGTGTGGCAGTGAGGTGAATGTGTACCGCGGACCCGAAGTTGCAGTGGCGCGTGCACACCGGTATGACCGACCATTATCAGGCGATGGATTGAGTGAAATATACTTGTCTTGGCAGGTCATTAACACTTTCTCCTGTATGTACTAGGTAGGTAATGTGCCTGATAATGAGTGATATCTGTTGGGCACAGTAGGTCGGAGACCAAGAAATTGGAGTAACCGGCACCGTACCGCGGCTGGCTTTCTTCGGGTGAGGCAGATCCTTTTAGCTTGCAACCTTTTATCCCTTTCTTATTTACAAGCTTAATCTGCACGCGGTTAGTAGCATCAGATAATCAGGTTTTTTCTCTTAAACCTCATGTTTGACGGCGGCAAGAGAAGACATGTCACAAGAGCAGATGATCATCGCAGGTTTATAGTATGGAGACCGAACATCTTCCCCATGGGGACTGTCTTTATCGCCAAGAAAAACATGTGGTCAACGTTATTATGTTTCGCGAGGTTTCTTTTACGTACAGAGACATGGAGGGCGCCGTTGGGTCTAGATGTTCAAGGTCAACGTGCGCGGTGATTCCCACTGTTTATGTACTCCACCAGCAAGGAAGAGAGGCAACATGGGATTGAACATGTGGTGGAAGCTGAGATGTTCAAAGCTTTTTGTGGATGAGGTTTCAAGGATGAAGGGAGATAAACATGATGTGAGTTTATGTCTAGAGATAACATGTTGATATTGATGATAGTGATAGTGATAATCCTTCTCTTCTACTTCATTATCAGAATCATCATAGACTCGGGCCGACCGTAGACGCAAGTGGAGACGGCGACAAGTGCCGTTCCTCTCCCATGTTCACATCCCCCTCCTCCGAGCCGAGAGCGCGCACTCCAAGAGCGGATATGGCGTCAAGTTTGGAGAAATAACATGCACAGTACAATTTCTCCGCACTTGAAAAGTTGGGGAAAAGTCATCAGACTTACCAACTCTCCAGATTCTCGTCAACATGACACGACTCCCCATGTTGATTTTACGTACGAAAAACTACAACGTCTCCGGGGCCCCGAGATTCATGTTCCCAGGAATGATTCCTCCAGAGAATGGATTCGGGGCAAGTTTAAACTAGATTACTAGACCCAGGGAGTTGGAGAGTCTCGACGTCTCTTTTTGGAGCGAGAATAGCCGCCAGCTGAGTTGGAGAAGATCCGCCGAGGATATCCCTCTAGACTGCAACCGGACTAGATGTACTACCCTTTCTGGTTAAGGCGCGACAAACTCTGCAGGAAAAATTTGATTACATCCGGCATTCGACGGCTCAGCTTTTTACGACACTACCAACACAACGGCGATAAGACTCCATTTTTCGTCAAGGGCAGCCCGTGTAAGATAAGCTACGAACTCGGCCCGCCGAGCATTCAGTGCAGTGAGTCTTTCTTCCTCCCCCCCATGGGGCCTATCTCTGGTAAATTCTCCACCAGGGACCCATAAACGGAGATGCGAGTCAGTTTGGGGTATGGGGGCAAAGCGATCGTCAAACCAAACTCTTTTACGTACGGTAGTAACAATCAATGCTGGGAAAACCGAAGACTAATGGGCTAGACTACCCCAGATGCTAATGGGCTAGAATCTTTGTTGTTTACGTATATATAACCATCCCCCCGGAATGTAATGACTTGGAACTCCAGTCTTTTCTCGTCATCCTAATCTATACGCAAACATGAGCCACTACGACTCGGAGAACCAGGCCCCTGAGCCTACCAAGCACCATGGCGAGGAAGCCGGTGTTACCAACGATGCTGTCTTTGGTACCATCACAGAAGACGGTCCCAACTACCGTAACGTATGTTCACCACCAACAGCACAACACTACTGGGATCTTAACTAACATGCTCAGGTTGGCTGGCTCGGAACATCAGTCCTCATGATGAAGTCCCAAATCGGTCTCGGAGTCCTATCCATCCCCGCCTCCTTCGACGCCCTCGGTCTCATCCCCGGTATCATCTGCATGCTTACCATCGCCGTCATCACCACCTGGTCCGACTACATCGTTGGCAACTTCAAGCGCCGTCACCCTGAAGTCTACGGTATCGACGACGCCGCTGGTCTTGTCTTTGGACGCTTCGGAAAGGAGTTCTACGGTATCTCTTACATGCTTCTCACCATCTGTATCGCCGGCTCTGCTATGCTTGGTCTCTCAATTGCTCTCAACTCTCTGTCTGAGCATGGAACTTGCACTGCTGTCTTCGTCGCTGTTGCCATGGTTGTTGCTTTCCTTACCGCTTCCATCCGAACTCTGGACCGTGTTTCTTGGCTTGCTTGGGTCGGTCTCGTTACTTTGATCGTCTCCATCTTCATCGTCACCGTCGCTGTCGGTATTCAGGACCGCCCTGACCTCGCTCCCCAAGATGGTGTCTGGGTTTCCGACTACAAGCTCTTCAACACTCCTACCTTCGCCCAGGCCATGTCTGCTATCTCTGCTTTCATCTTCGCCTACTGCGGTACTCCCGTCTTCTTCCCCATCGCTGCTGAGATGCGTGAGCCCAAGCACTACAAGAAGGCTCTTATCCTTTGCCAGACTGTCGTCACCATCGTCTACGTCGTTGTTGGCATCGTTGTCTACTACTACTGCGGTACCTACGTCGCTTCTCCCGCTCTTGGATCCGCTGGCAAGGTCATCAAGAAGATCAGCTACGGTATTGCTCTTCCCGGTCTCGTTGTCTCTGCCACCCTCTACACTCACGTAAGTCAAACCATCACAATCCAATCATTAAACCATGTCTAACAAATCACAATAGGTCCCTGCCAAGTACTTCTTCGTCCGTCTTCTCCGTGGCTCCAAGCACCTTACTTCCAACTCCTTCACCCACTGGGCCGTCTGGCTGAGCTGCACCTTCGGCATGGCTCTCATCGCTTATGTCATCGCCAGTGGTATTCCCGTCTTCGGCGGTCTCGTCTCTCTCGTCGGTGCCCTTCTCGGAACCCTGCAGTGCATGCAGCTCTTCGGTGCTCTCTGGCTCTACGACAACTGGACCAAGGACAAGTCTCAGCGCACTACCAAATGGACCATGATGGTTGTCTGGTGTGGCTTCGTCATGCTTCTCGGCACCTTCCTCATGGTTGGAGGTACCTACGGATCCGTCAAGGAAATTGCCGACTCTTACCGTGTCAACGGTGGATCTGCTGCCTGGTCTTGCGCCGACAACTCCAACTCTTCTTAAGGAGTTTATAGAGGAGATGTATAGATTATAAATGTTTAGATGTTAGATTTAGAAATGTTTAATGCAAGCGTTGCTACGTTCAAATGAATATACAAGTCCCACTGTCGCCCGTGAAATGCAACATTCAAGTCGATCTCTGCTTGATTGAGACCCCCCAGAAAGCCACCACTCACAGCTTCGACTCAGTGACATCCCCATTACCTTGGAGATCCCTTTCGATCCTCTCAAACACGCCTGGCCCCTGCTTCCCCAGACCTGTCCCCACCGCAACAGCATAAGCCCCAACCGTTCTCATCCTCCGCCACCCGTCTCCATCGCGGACTCCACCAACACCAATGATCTGTACATGACTCAATTCAGGCACCTGGTCCAGCATTCTTCGTAAAGTGTCCACATTTCCGAGAGCCAGAGGATGCAGAGATGGTCCGCCCATACCACCTATGCCTGTACCAGGCAGTTGGGAACTTCCGTCTTGTTGAAGAATAAGACACGAGCCGAGAGTGTTTGTGGCGGTGATGAAGCTGATTGAGGAAGCTGCCTTCTGCAATGTTTGAATGACGGTCACAAACTGTCCGTGGTGTGTATACGGTGGAGTTTTGATTCCAATCGGCAGTGTAGGACGTTGCGGCAGCAGAGCAAGATACCTTTCGAGAGCAGCGCCATCGTAAGCTGGCGGTGGCGCACCAGGAATATTGGGACAGCTCAAGTTGACTTCCATAGCCAAGGGAAAAGGAACGTCTCGAGAAGCATGTTCGATTCGCCTGTAGCTCTCTTGGATATCCTCCGGCGATCCAGTAACGCTAACAATGAACGTCTTTTTCAAATTCGGAAGTCGACGAGCGATCTCGTTCAACATGTCGAGATACCCATCGAGAGGGATAGGACTGTAGCCCAGAGTGTTCAAGCTGCCCGTGGAGTACGATTTACGGGTCTTTTCAGATGTATCATCGTCAAACCCCAAATTGCCCCTAGCCTCCACATCTGGATCCTTCGGCGGTGTTTGATCCGAAGAAGTGCCTTTATCTGGATCCATGGAAGCAGGATTGAAAAACAGGTATTGATGTTGATGGTGTTGATGGTTGAAGCCATTGATAAGAGATGTGCGGGTCGTGATAGCGCCCGTCGATGGAGATAGCGCGATTCCCATGAGATCTTTGAGATCGGTGGCCCATGGTGTCGCTGAGTTGAGCAGAGGAGGATTGATGAATAATTGAGGCGGCGGCATTGTTACACGTTATGATGATTGATAAGAATTGATGAGACTCGATGAGAATTGATGAGATGTCCTGAAATGAAGATGAAAAAGGAGGGGCTGGAGATTTGGGGCGGTAAGAAATGGATGAGTCAGCACGAGGTCTGTGCCCAAGAGAAGATCATCAACACTCATCTTCCGTAAAGCACCTTGGCGATCCATGAAAGTTCGTCGTTTCTTGATCCGAAAATGTTACAATTTTTGCCATGTGTGAGTACGAATGCGATCGGAACTTTTGGTCTTGGCATGTAAGAAAAGTCCTAGTCCGCAGGACCAATATTGCACAGCCTCATCCATTGCGCAACTTCACGCGAATTGGGTGATACAATCGGAAGAGAGATTTGCTACATAAGAGAACAAAAATGATTTTATTTTATTAAAAGAATTAGCTTTATAGTACTAAACAACTCTTAAATTGCCCTCATATGTCTTCCAAGATTCGTAACATGGAACACCAACCAGCGAACATACCTGAGCTTGCAGGACCATCAGTCTTCGATCATAATATAAAGATTATCACTCTTAGTCTTGTATCGAATATTCTACTCCTCGCTCTAACCGTGGCTGAGCGACCTGCTGACATGCAATTTTCTTTTTCAACAAACGACATGCACAGCGTCAACAACATACTCACTGATGCCATCACACTCCTAGTCATACTTCTTACCAAATGTCTACACAGAAATGACATCCATTCTCATAAAGCTGTAGTACTGGAAAATGCAGTTTGCCTTTTCCTTGCGACATCTCGAATAGACCTGGGTCTGCACATGGCTTGTGAAAGTTTGGCGGCTATCGGATTCCAGCAAAGCAGGGAGTCTCCCCAGATCAGCGAGGCGTGGATAGCCATTTTCACACTCTGTGTAAGGGAAGTGTTCTATAGAAGCAGTGAGTATAATTGGACGCGACTATGAAGAGAAAGCTGACTGATCGGCTGAATAGGTCGGAGAGTTGCTAAAGCATCCGAATCAGCGCTACTGACATCTTCTCTGATGTGGTACCGGGTTGATGGAGCGATCAGTCTACTCACCGTGACAAATAGCCTGGGAAATGGCATTCCATCTTTAAGCTCTATGGGTGGACTGGCTAAGTCAGCGTTGCTCTTGCTGTCAGGAATAATCGGTCTGGTGTCAGCTTGTACATCACTTCACGATAACATAAGTAAGCTACGATTTGGCGACTAAGCTCAAAAGATTGGATTTCACAAGCCTGTGAAGGTGAAAGGATAAAATGGTCTATCATGAATCGCTAATCTATATGTCTATGTCTATTGTAATAGCTTTTTAACCCTCTTGTCAAATCTAAAGTTGACAGGGCTCTCACTTCCCACAAACACAAAACTATCATAAAGCGCACATCCCAGAATAGAACCTATGAGCGTCGCAGCCCAAGGTCCATAAAACCACCATCCACTATGAAATACGTTTTCCTGTCGATATCCAACAGCATACGCAATAACACGAGGCCCAAAGTCAGAAGCAGGGTTCAGAGCAGAACCAATGTTGTAGCCCAGAGTGAACTTGAGAGTCGTAACAAGGAAACCCAGGACTAAAGCGTGCATTCCAGCACCAGGGGGATTGTTTTGGTCGTCACCGAGGGCAAAGACGGCGATCATCATGATTGCGCTGCCGACGACTTGATTGAAGAATGCAGATTTTAGAGAAACCCATTCTCGAGGCGTGGAGAAGAATGTCATGGACATTCCTGTCATGTCAGGATCAACGTAACTAATTGAGTCAGCATACATCGCGTAGGCTAATGCTCCAGCGACGATGCTTGCAACGAATTGGGCGATTATGTAGATGCCGCATTGCTTCCAGGGAAAGCCGCGGAAGATGGATAGGGAGAGGGAAATGGCTGGGTTCATGTGTGCACCCGAGACACCGCCGCCGAGGTAGATGCCGAACATCCAGGCGAAACCCCATGCCCAGCATGATGTCTCGTATGTACCGTAAGGCTGTGACTGTTTGGCGGATAGGTTGACTGATAGAGTACCCGTGAGACCCAGGAATATGGCTACGGCTGTTGCAAGGAATTCGGCGAGTGGTTCGGGATGTCTGGCGCGTATCCTTGCCCACCAGTTTCTCATCTCATTAGGATCCGCCTCACCCGATTCCACACAAGGCTTCTCTTGGTGACCCAATGGCTCGCCATCGACCTTGTGCTCGGGCTGAGAGGTGTTACGATCTTGTCTTGATTCCACTCTTGAAGCAGGATCGCGATGTCCAGGGGTAGCCTGTGCTTCGCTGGGGACGTAGTCAAATACCGGCTGACCAGCATCATTTCGTTTGTCGTTGTGTGCAACTCCAGCTGCCGTAGTCCGACTCTGTTGTCGTTGCATATCGCGCGACTGAAGACTGCTCTGCGTTTGCATCCGGTAGGGTTGTCCGGAATTAGTCCGGGAAGTATATCCAGGATGGGTTTCATTCGCAGACTCCTCCTTCACAATCGCCATCTCTTCATCAATCTTTCCATCAGGCTTGATCGGCTTCAACACCTTGCGCCTCACCTTATGAGGAAGAGGCTTTCCAAGACTAAAGATAGGTTTCTTATCCTGCTCTCCAAACCAAGGGTTCTCCTGGTAGTACCCATCTTCCGCGGGTGCATAAGTGTGATGGTGTGAAGAATGTTGCGGCGCTGTAGGACGAGTGGCAGTGCCTTCACTAGACATTCTTGAAAAACCTCTGTTGGACGTCGCCGGTCGTCGACTTATACGCGATGAGAACCTTGAGGGTAACCCATGGAGAACACGATGTCTAGAGTTTGTCGATTTTGACCGGTCTGTACCTTCTCGGTCCGAAATAGTGCTGGGAATACGATTTGCGACATTGCCGAGATGGACTTGGCCTGGTGTTGAAGGAGTAGTTGGCTTTGAAAAGTAATCGTGATTCTGCTCTTGCGGTCCAGGCATATTGAATACCAACAAACGATGATAATGTTAATACTGTTTCTCTGAGGACTAGGTAAAAACAGTTTTATAAGTCTTGCTTTCAGGCGACGCCCTTATCACCATGACGTTAACTCCTCTCCACAAAACTGGTGGTCGCCCGGAGGTTTCTCTCCCCTTGGTGGACTATGGAACCGCAGTTACAAGGTTTAGCGCGGCTAAATCTCTGACAGTGGAACCGCCACCTGCCAGATGATAGTAAAACGGGCCGCGATCGAAAAGATTCGCCTTTTAAAGGATGTGATATTCATCGAGCCTACTTTTTTCAGGAACCCTTTCGTCCAAAGGAGTGCCCAATGACTCTTGTTCAGAGTTTTTGTTCCTGTGCCGGGTTGTTTGCTCCTACATACCAGGGATACGAGCTGAACAAACTCCCCGAATGTTACGTGGGTATTTTGATACAGTGGACCCAGATCTTGGCTGTCTAGAAAATTCTTGCTTGAGCTTTGATATTCTTTTTTATTGGTATTTTCCCGATGATGGGGGTTACGGTAATTGAAGGGGAATGCCGAAGCTTGTTCGACGGGACATCTGCCAGGAACGCTTGCGGATATACGGTAGTATGTATGACGCAAGTAGCAAGGGTCTACGGTTGACATGTAATTATCATGGGGATGAATTCGTAACCAGATGATATCTTGGCTTGGGCACCAGGCTGGAGGCTCTGGATGGATACCACGAATCTGGCAGAATATGGGCAACGGCGATGGACCGCCCTTGTCTCACCCATGTGAACAACGTCATGAGTTCTGATGAGAATCAAGCTACGGATATGGGAACGGCTATTCCTCATCTCATGACAGAAAAGAAGCAACGATAGATATCGCGCCCGGAGGTTTGAATCCGGCAAATTCATTTGATCAGCGGGCCCTGGAACATTTCTGAGTTGCTTGCTTTTGACAACGTATTTGTGGATGCATTTCCCCTCAAGGTACTACTAGCGACGCGACGATCGACTGGAAGTAGATACCATCTCTTTTGCAGAATTTGGAAGCCGGAACCATACACGTGATAGGGCTGGCCAAAGTCAGTGTTGGGTTGGGCATCACATTGACAGCCCCCGCGACCCTGCAAATGAGTATGATCGGTACGCTAGGCGAAGGTTAGTGCGAGCGTCGTGATTAGATTGTGATAAGAATAAAGGGTCTGTTCCGTGTGTTCGGTCTGACTAAACGGCTACTGTGACTTCCGAACACTAGTGGAGGAGATCTTCCGCACGATCTGGTGAACTATTTTGGTGGGTTTCAAGATTTGCCCTACGGCAGACATTGTATCATACTATCCTCATCGTGTTTATTGCCTACTGGAGTAGATTAACAGCTAAAAGCCGACATTTACAAGCTATTAGCCGCGATTCCATACATCCGCCGCCGACGTTTCTCAATATTTCAGCTTCAACGATTACTAACCCTACCATAGGTCAGGAGCGTTAACTCCGAAGTCACATTTTCGGACTTAGTCGACATTTCTCACGTTACAATAGCTCGTGAGATAAGGTTATACTTCTGGGGCGAGACGATGCATACTATTCGCGGCAGTCATACTTCCCTGTGGGAGGGCTGCATTTGTCAGCAGATGTTACAGCCGAATCCTGCTTACGAGAAGATGAGAAATAACGACTCGGACGAATCGAAGGTGTTTTGATTCGGCCGAAGATCCGGTCCAAAATACGTTGACTTGCTTGGATAGAGAAGATATTAGCAGTATCCTCAGTGCGTAATCGAGCTAGTATTGAGTTTCGACAACTTATGTCCGAAGCCAGCGTCGCAGACTGTAGCATATATAGAAATATCCATGACATGTTCCCAGTGGCTCGAATCAACTGAACCCTATCACCAATATGTCTTTGAGTCTCAAAAACGCAAGACCGCACGCTTTCGGCTGTCCAAACAACGAACACTCAGATCGCAAATCCACAATGTCTACAGAACAAACTTTCCAACGTCATGAAATCCACTCAGCTCGCGACGCTGTCGCAAACACAATCCTAGACCGTCACAGCACTCGCGCCTTTTGCACCGGTCAAAAAGTCCCCATGAACATTATCGAAGAATGTTTCAGTGTCGCTCAGCATGCGCCTTCTTCCACGAATATCCAACCTTGGAGAGTGACGTTGACGTCTGGCGCGCCTTTGAAGCGTCTATCTGCTGCTCTTGTCGAAGCTTTTCAGAATGGGGAGGAACTCAAGGTTGATGCTATTCCTGACTCGTATAGTCGTTATCGCTCCGAACTGGGACACCACGTGTATGGACCGAATGGTTATGACATTCCTCGTGGAGACACGGAGGCCATGAAGAAGACTCTGATTGACAACTTCAAATTTTATAACGCTCCGATAGTGGCGGTTATATCCATCGACAAGGAGCTCAACAAGGGCGATATCCTATCTGTTGGAATTTATCTACAGACCCTTCTTTTGCTGTTGACTGAGAAGGGTTTGGGAACTCAGGTTTCGGCTGCTCCAACTGGATATCCGGACATTATCAAACGAGAGCTGGGCATTGATGAGAATCTCGACATTCTGTGCACGCTGGGAATCGGGTTTGAGAATAAGTCGCAGCATATCAATTCGTTGAAGATGCCGAGGAATGTTTGGAAGGAGAATGTTAGGATTGTTCTTGATTGAGAAAGAGAACCCACATGAGCGGTCGATCATTTGTCATTCTTACTATCACAACAGTTCATGTTCTTTTGCAGAAAGTATCGCTGGTCTTTGAGCAGAGGAGATGTCGTGGTATCAGAAGAATTGGCCGGCGTAAGCATAAGAGACCACATAATTTAGTCATCTTATGCAAGCTTAGGCTAGTCATTAGGCTACTTTATTTCTGTAGCCTAAGCCTTGGAGGATAATTCTTCTGAAAATCACCTGGGAGATAAACAATTCAAAGGATTGATCGCCATTTGACCTTGGAGGTTGGAGGATTTAGTGCTGACGTCAGTGCGTTCCATCAGCGCTTGGATGCCATGCTGTGCCACCTCATCCTCATCATCAATCTCACCTTCATTTTGCTCATCGCAAAACTTCATCGACTTTCAACATTCACCATGAGTAATTCTTGTGAAATCCCCCAAGGTCGGGAGTATGCCAACGAAAATGTCAACGACGACCCACCAAGCGCAAGTGCGCTAACGGCCGCCGACGCGATTGAGGTCTTTGATGAAGAGGGCAAGAAACATACCTTCAGAAGCATCTACAAAAGACCAGACCTGCCAAAACGTGTTCTCGTCGTCTTTGTCCGCCATTTCTACTGCTGCGTAAGTGCCTCTCGTCAATACTGACCTCCCACTAACATATCAGTCATGTGTCCATTACACCAAATGGCTCGTCGAAAACGCCACCCCAGAAAAGCTCCAAAAGCTCAACACAGCAATAATCATTGTCGGCCACGGCGACCCAAAGCAAATAGAAATGTACCGTCAAGAAACAGGCTGGCAATATCCCATCTACACAGAGCCCTCCGAGAAGATATACAGCACTCTGGGTATGATCAAGACATGGAAAGATGGGCCGCCGAATAATTATATGCCTCATTCGTATGCTTATGCTGCGTATTGGTCGATTAAGCTGGCGATTTGGAGATTCATGCAAGGATACCCGGTGTTTTCTTCTGGTGCGCCGAATTTGCAGGGCGGGGAGTTTATGTTTGAGGGGGAGGGAGAGGAGAGGGTTGTTACTTGGTGTCATCGAATGAAGCATTCGAGGGATCATGCTGATACTGATGAGATTAGTGAGGTTCTGGGGTTGAATAAGGTATAAGCAACCTTATCTGTAGAGAGAGGGAGATATTCGTCTGGATGACAGTGGATATGATCTGGCAATATTCTACGGGTGTTTACGGTACGCTGGGCTTCTGACGTATAGGGCTGACAGCGTGTCATCTTTTAATCCTTTGTCTATAGTTTCTTGTTGTCAAGATATAAGAGATTGTTTTTTCACCCAATAATATGCGATTGAATGCGATATTCCCCGTCAAAAAGGATGACTGCAGCATTGAAAGTGGCAACGAAGTCTTCAACACGCGCATTCGGACAACGCTGTTTTACCGACAACGAATCATCACCTAATCTGACAACCATGAATACGCTCGAATCCTCTAAAGCGGACATGATCTGTGTTTATAGTGCTCAAAGCTTCGGACACAGGCTGTGTTCATTGGTCCTCGTGGTTTCGAATCTCACATCAGCAGCTCATCCGGATTCAGCGGAACGGACTTAATTGTTAGTCTCACAGAAACATTTATGAAGACAACGCCTCAATAAATCTCATATATCTTGCACAACATTTGCCATTCATCACAATGGAAGTCATCGCAGCAGGCGCGTCTTGGATGCTAAACAAAGCACCATCTCCTCAGAAGATGCTCGGCAACATTGGCCTCGTATCTCTTGCCGCCTGGTCGGACCTATCGTCCAAGCTATCTCCCAACGCATCGATAACACTACCCAACGATGCTGGGTTTGGAGGCCTGATTAGTCGATGGCGTGACTGGCATGCACCTCAAGCTGGAGCCGTTGTGACGGCGTTTACAGAGGCTGATGTGCAGGAGACAGTAAGTGGTTAAGTAAGTTGTGTGGCTTTTGTTAACTTGAGATAGATCCGTTATGCGAATGAGAACGGAATACCCTTCCTTGCGCGATCAGGTGGACATGGAGCAACTGAGGCGTTGCAGTTCGCAAAAGATGCCATCGTCGTTGATATTCGTGGCATGAATGAAGTTAAGCTTGTTGAAGATGGAAAGTCTGCGACTATCAGTGGAGGAGCCAGTGTAAAGAAGGTCGTCGATACTTTGTGGGCAGCAAAGAAGCAAACAGGTGAGGTCCTCTACCAGTCTTGGTATCGAAGCTAACAGGAATAAGTCACCGGTATCTGTGAGTGCGTCGGCTTATCAGCACCTATCCTTGGTGGAGGCCACGGATGGCTACAGGGCCAGTATGGAGTTGCCTCCGATCAAGTCATCTCTGCAAGAGTAGTACTCCCTAATGGTGAAGCCGTGACAGCTTCTGAAGACTCTAATCCCGACCTCTTCTGGGGTCTACGCGGAGCAGGACACAACTTTGGTATCGTCACAGAATGGCAGTACCGCATCTACGACGTTAAAAACCCGAAATGGTCTTATGAGGTTTTTATCTTCTTGGGTGATAAGCTTGAAGAGATCTTTGAGTTGACGAACAAGATGATGAAGAACCAACCACCACATATGACCCATTGGATTTACATCGTCAACATCCCAGAGATTGACCCAGATAAGGTGAGAAACTTTCTAGAGATGAAATCTTGACTAATTCTTTGTAGCCCATTATCTGGTACGCCATCATCTCAGATGGCACAGTCGAAGAAGCGCGCGAATACGCCAAGCCTCTCCACGACATAGGTCCTATAAACGTCAACGCAGACGCAGTCCCAATGCCCGAACTCGCCCAGGTCACCCTCATGGGCGAAGACACAGTCGCCTGTGCAAAAGGCTCCACAAGTCTTCGCTACCCGATCGGTCTCAAATCCTACAATCCCCCCGCCGTCCGTAAGGTTTACGACTCCATCGCCGAAATCTCCCATCGCGTTCCCGAACTTGCCGGCTCATTCTTTCTGCTGGAGGGTTACTCTACCCAAGGCGTCAAAGCGGTCGATGCAGCCAAGTCAGCATTTCCTCACCGTGATGACGAGATCTTGATCACGTCGGTTATCCAGTATAAGCCCAATGCTACGCTGGATGCATTGGCGCAGGAGCATGGGCGGAAACTGAGGGGTTTGTTGCTCGAGGCTAGTGATGAGCCGGAGCATTTACGTGCGTATGTTAATTATGCGCATGGTGATGAATCACTGGAGGATATGTATGGTCATGAAGCTTGGCGCATTGAGAAACTCAAGAAACTCAAGAAGAAGTGGGATCCGGAGAATAGGATGAAATTCTATGCGCCAATTGTTTGAGGCCAGCGCATGGTCAGGCAGACTGAGCTCAGCCCTAGCAGTCAGCCCTACGCCTAACTGAGATCCCTGACCATTTCGCTTACTCCGATGAACCAACCGGAACCATAGGATAGAGTATCCATTGAACAAGACATTTCACCTGCCAAGCTTGTACAGTAACATAACGCGGAAGTAAAAGACGGATCATCGGTCCAAAAGAGTAGCCAGATCGTCAGATTTCACACGTGACGTAAGCTTGAGCATCAACGGGAGATAAGCTTAAAATATCCCGATGCTGCACTAGGAATCCTTCTAATTTCTCACTTAAACTCTTGCCTGTCTTCAATATGCAGCAACAACCTGTCCGTGCGACTCTGTCGTGTAGTTCTTGTCGTCAACGAAAGTATGTGCTTACTTTGACTTGTGGAGACAGAGCTAATAGTGGAGGCCAGATTGAAATGTGATCGCGATGAACCATGCAGCAATTGCGTTGCGAGAAATGTCTCTTGTCAATATGCCCCGTGGCCACGAGGACGCGTAGCTGCGCAGCAGAGGAGAGATAATCGACAGACTGACTTAAATGATCGAGTTCGTCATCTTGAGCAGCTCTTGGGATCTATTGTCAACCAGTTGCCTGCTCAGCAGCAGGGTCCTTCTTCTGATTCGCCGAGTATCAAGAGCCCTGCTAGCACTTACATCACGCATGGTTCGTTGCAGGGTTCGCTGCAGTCTTCTAGCGGCAGTGGAGAAAGTACGGAAGTCAAGCCTGGACGAATGATGGCCAATCCGAATGAGACTATTTATGTTTCTAGCAGTCATTGGTCTGCTATTTGCAATGAGGTAAGGTTTCAGTCTTTTCGAAGAAATAAGATTAACATGCTATAGGTCGATTCTATCCGTGAGCATCTCGATGAGACAAATGAGTCTACAGATCTGGGCATCACGGATCAAGCTCAGAGTCAGGTTCCCATGCTTCTAGGCTCAGGAAGAGTACAGCCTAGTCTCGACGAGATTCTGGCAGATATGCCTCCCAAGCATATCACAGATAGACTTGTATCACGATACTTTACCGCAACTGAACCCTCCATTATGATCACCCACACCGGAGAGTTTGAGATCGAATACAAACGCTTCTGGAACGACCCCCACTCCGTCTCAGTTCAGTGGATCGGCATGCTCTTCGGCGTTCTCGCAACAGGAACATTCCTCTACATACGCTCCCAAGACGACCTACCCGAAGGTCTTGGAGCACCTATGGAAGTAGCAGAAGGATTTCACCGGCGCTGCACAGACTGTTTGTTCCTATCCAAGTACTCCACTGCGCCGGGTAAGTATACTCTCGAAACGGTGCTGTTCAACATCCACGGTGAATTCGTCCGTCGACGCGATGCTCACCTTGGTGTTTGGATCTTGACCGGTATTGTTGTCCGTTTGGCGATGAGAATGGGTTATCATCGTGATCCGGATAATTATCCTCGTATTTCTCCCTTCCATGGCGAGATGCGGAGACGAGTCTGGGGCGTTATTCAACAGCTCGATATCCTGACGTCTTGCCAACTTGGCTTGCCTTCTCTTATTCAAGAATCGCAGTGCGATACTAGACTGCCAAGGAATATTACGGATGACGATTTTGGACCTGATTCTACTCGACTTCCCCCACCGAGACCGGACACCGTCATGACACCAGTTTTGTACACACGGGTCAAGGTCAGAATGATGACTATCTACAGAACAATATTTAACCAAGTTTCTCTTGGAAAGACGGAGAATTATGAGGAGATTATGGCACTTGATCATAAACTTCACCAGATGCATCAGTCTATGCCACCTTGCTTCCAGATCGCCAAATTGGAAGATTGCATCATGGTTGCGCCTTACATCCTTATTCGACGCTATAACCTCGAGCTTCTCTTTCAAAAGGCGAGATGTACACTGCATCGCCATCATATGACGAAGGCGTACCAGGATCCCAAGTACAATTACTCCCGAACAGCCTGCGTCGACTCAGCCATGACTGTTCTTGGACACCAAGCAAGTATTCTCAAAGAAGTTCAAGTCGGGGGTCTTTTGTACAAGGATCGATGGTTCCTCACATCCCTTGAGCGTCATGACTTTTCGCTTGCTTCAATGGTTGTTTGTCTTGAACTTAGCAAACCACCTGAGCAGCAGAATCCCGAACTCGTGGGCTACTCCAGAGAGGATATGATTCAAGCACTGAAGACTTCACAAGTATTCTGGGCGGCGCTCAAGGCTGTGTCTGCCGAAGCAAAACAGGCCTACGATATGCTTACAGTAATGCTGAATGCTGTTTCCGTCAACGATAAAGCTTCAACAGCTGCAATGGAGAAGATTGTCAGCAATGAGAAGGCAGCTACTCAGAATGGACACGGTAAGCTGTTTTCATCAAGTATAAAAGGGCGTTGACTAATGTGACTAGTGAATGTGAACATGCCTGACCCGAGTGAGACGCCGTTCTCGAGCGAGTTCCAGGGTCTTGAAGCTATGCTGAACAACTCTGAACCTGTGGACTGGGTAAGATTATTTCTCTGGGAGTGTTGTAGGTCTTGACTAATGTGTTTTAGGATATGTGGGAGTCGCTTGTTCATATGCCTGATGAGTTTTCGAATTATGAGATGTCGGAGGAACCTCAGACTTAACAGTACAGAAACGAGTTCTTAAATGACAATCTTGTTTATGACTGCATCTTCCCTGAGCGATCACAATCAGCGTGTGTGCCTCAAGATGTAGCTACTCCTGTTAGATCAACTTCTGTATAATCGGGCTCGCACAGTCGCAGCCATTCACCAAAGTGGGATTGTCATGCTGATTACAGAGATACAACGTTGAAAGAATGGCGCCATCGGATAAGCTTGATAATCTGACTGCGTTACTGCAATATCACGAAATCTCTTATCGCCACGCTGACATGACGTTATCTGTTAGTGCTTGACCACTCTTCGATGCCCCGCAGACGTCATCACAGCTGACAAATTGTGGAGATCCTGACAAATGAATGATGGTGGGATAAATAAAGATGCACGGAATTGTTACGCAACAAGCCGAATAATTTAACCTCTTAATTGAATATAATAAGGAAGCTCGCCCCATCTCATTTTTCTCATCCTGTACAATTGACCAACTACCGAACCTGCATGTCACGACTCCTCAAATCAAGACCACTTCTCAAACATCTATTCAACCCCGCCCAACTTCGACCTTTTCATCATACACCTACAAAAATGACTACTGGACTCTTTAACTACATTGACCCAACGTCGAGTCTCGACGCTAGTGGTAACAAGGTCAAGCCTTGGTCAAAAGTCGATGTTGATCAGACCTCCTTCGAGCGCAAGCAAGTCAAGCGCGAAGTTGTCGACATTCGTGCTGCTGCCAGTCTCAAGGCTTTCGACGTTGATCTGTCTGGCTTCGACGTCTTCAAGTCCCCCGCCAAAGAAACCGAATTCACCGATGATGCAGCCGTCAGAAACGGCTACTACGGCGAAGTAGAAGCGCTGCTGAAGGAGAGAATCCCGGATATCAAGAAAGTCGTCATCTTCGACCATACAATCCGTCGTCGCGAAAAGTCTAGCCCCAGACAGCCTGTTCAGCAAGTCCACGTCGACCAGACTCCCGGTGCAGCAGAAGCTCGTGTTCGCCGCCACACCGACCCCTCAGAAACAGAAGAGCTCCTCAAAGGCCGCTACCAAATCATCAACGTCTGGCGTCCCATCCAGAACCCCGCGTCAGACTTTCCCCTCGCTGTAATCGACTACCGCAGCACCAAGCCCGAAGACATGATCAAGGTCGATCTCCTGTACCCTAACCGCAACGATAATGACGACGATGATCGTGGCAAGGAAGTCCTACCTGATGAGGCAACCCTCAAGTCTACGGAGGGCTACACCGTCAAGGGCGAGACGTACTCTGTTGCGCCGAATGAGGGACACAAGTTTTACTATGCCAAGGACATGACGCCTGAGGAAGTTATGTTGATCAAGTGCTTTGATTCCAAGAGTGAGGTTCACGAGGGTGGGAAGCACGGTATTGCTGGATATACGCCTCATACTGCGTTTGTGGATCCTGATACGCCTAAGGATGCGCCTGGACGACAGAGCATTGAGGTGCGATGCTTGGTTTTCTACTAGAGAGATATGGAATATACAATAGTTTGTTAGCGTTATGAATTGATGAAGGATTACTACCTAGTTTACAAGCATCTCGGAGTCCAAGGGTGACACGTGAAATGTCGCGAGCCGCAAAGTTTGGTCTCGTGTCAGTTTGTCTCTCAAGTCTGAATAAGCTCTTGCTATATCGTGAGCAATGGAATAAGCGCTCTATCTCTGCAACGTCTGTGAGTAGTGCTGGGACAAGAGCATTGTGAAAAGGACAGGCTAAGAACAAAACTTCAGCGCACGAACAGCACTGACTGTATCAGAGCCATGAACATGAGTTCATCACGGTATAAATATGCATATAATTCCCACCTTGTCTTACACTGCATCAGCTCACCAGCAACCTCTCAGATTCTCATCAACTCTTTGCTAAGATAAAAGTCTCAAGACTATCGACTCACATCAGTTCTAACTAACACCACTAGCATACTAACAGAGACTCAGAAACCATGTCTTCGTCGCAAGGTCCATCTCAGGGTTGGTTGCAGGTCCCTCGGGGTCAGTTTCTCACTCTGCTACACGTCGGCGATGCTGTCGCATCGACCAGCTTACCAGAGGAGTTTCAGCTCACCGATCCCGACAGAGGTATTTTGATGGGGCGCATTCTCAACAATGAAGTCTACTGGAACCGCCTCTTGAACGGCTACATCAGACTCGGTGCCGAGCCTACTCTTGATTGGATTATCCCAGTCCACAGGATTCAGGGATCAGGTTTCCAGACTGCTTTCGTCAAGTTCATCGAACGAGTATACCAAGAACCTCGCAAGTCCTGTAAGGGAGACATGTTAATTGGTATGTTTAAGTGGTTTATCCAGAATCCGGATAATATTCACGCTTTATCTGCTTCCGATCTCGAACTCGTATCAGCTTCTGACGTTATGACAGATACCCCCCAGTTTTATCAAACACACTCTGCATGTCCTCGGCCTCCTATTGATCATTTGACCGAAATGCTCAAGTGGCTGATATCAGGTCCTCGTCTGAACAGCTACCATATCAAAAATATCTGCAAGATGATTGACATGCTGGTTGCCAAGGGTGCTATCGTCGACCTTCACCAAAACCGCTTCATCGAGGGATACCCCCGAATCAACCCCGACGCGAAGAAGATTCCGGATAATGCAGTTGAGATAGGCATGATGCCACAGTGTCCAGCCTCTTTCCTCCAGACCTTCCTCTCGACTCAAACCCACGAGGAACAGAAGTTTACCCAAAGGAGTCCAGTCTGGAGAGCATCCGGTCCTATTCTTCCTAGAGGCATGCACTTTGCTGTCACCAGTGTGAAGTGGATCGTTACTCGCATCGTTCAAGACCTCTTTGACGAGAACAAATACGAAGGTCCTGCTGTATGCATTAGACATCAGTACCTTCAGAAGCTCATCCTCCTGCTCAACCCTGCCTGGACTGAATACGAGGAGTGCGAAGCCCTGACACAACTCGTCGAGGTAGTCGAAGAAATCGAACCTCTATTCGAAGTCGACGTCATTGGTCAACTGTACAAGTCGGACGCATTCGCAGCCGAAGTCTGGTTCAAACTCTGTCGAGCCGTCTCCGGCCTCGCTAGCGACGTCTATCAGGCTCAGTGTGACCGTCAAACTGCCGAGTTTGGTAACCGACGACATAGGTTTGCTATTGGCAAGTCATGGGATCCTCGCATTCAGTGGATGGAAGGTGAGTTTAAGAAACACATCTCGGACGCTGACGTAGATCTTGCTGTGAACCGTGATTTGAAGAATGCCTGGAAGATGATGATCGTTGAGCGCGGCAACGACCGTCAGTGGTGGGAGATTGAAGACCAGGACAAGTGGTATGTTTCTATTCACGAGGTCAGAAAGACTATCGAGCGTGACCCGCTGTATGGGGTTGTTATCTAAGTGGTTTCTTCTGGAAAAGACTTTGAGTTCTGGAAACTCAGATTTAGGTTGAGCTGGACTTGACCCTGAAGACTCAGTTTGTTTGGGGATTGGATATCAACGACAATTCATTGTCGCTACAAAAGGTGACTTAGATTGTGATTAGATTTTGCTTAAGTGTCTGTCTCTAATTGGATCCTGTAGAACTACAAATCGAATTCACTATGTTTTTGCGCCTCAATGTTCATAAATAGATGCAACAAGACTGCCCACATCAATGAGGTATTATTTTGAATTCATGCCACTAGTCTCTCATAATTGTTATTTGTAGGTATTCTAAAAAGGTCATATCGACATCGATCACCGTCTTCACTAATCTTGTCGATGTCGTTGTAGAAATCAAGGACACTTCTCAGCCATCTCGCAACGGCGATTCGGATGAACTTGCAGTCTACAACAAGAACGGCATTTGGACCTCGACTCGCCAGAGTGATAAAGGCTTTCCAATGAGTGTCATAAAGCTCGGTACCAAGTGTGTAGGGCTAATCCAATAGCTTTTGACCCTCGTAGATGATTTACTTCTTACTCTAACAGAACATCCATTGTACAAATCGTGACAATTCTTGGCCTCTCTTTCTCCGAGCCTATTGCTAAGTCAGACCCTTAATCTGCCTTGAACAATACATTGCATTTGATAAACTAACCAACTAATGGTATTTATGTTGGCAGGATCGTCAGACATGTGCATAGCGCGGATTCTCGAACAGCTTTATTCGGAGCCGATTTTCTGGAATTACTTTTCTGCTTTCCTCTTCTCTCTGATTATCCAACTGCTCGATAGCTCGCTGCACGCACTATTCTTTCTGGTCAGCTCGTTTAGGTCCCTGTCAGCTTCTAACGACAGAATTTCCTCGATTGCATGAGGTACAAGCCCTTCACACTTCTCCCGTACTCCAGCACGAGTCTTGCAATGGCTTGTTGCCCCACCTCTCCAGTACAGAAGTCCCAGCTTCTATCGCGTTGTTCTCTTTTGTTACCATGAGAATTACGTCAGGATTGGTCTTGTGTTCCAACAGCAGACGAACTGTTTCCTTGTTCCAACATTGAGCTTGAAAGAAATGAAGTCCCTGCTCACGGTACACCAGTTCAGTTCTCTTACCGTCCAGAGTCTTTCAAATGCAGTTCTTGGGGGTGAACATAAAACAACCCATTGATCAACACTGGTTAGCTGTTCGGCTAAGGCGTCATTGAGAAGTAATGGACAATGTCAATGAGAGGGGCACAGGTCTAAGAACAGCTCGTCAGTGCTCAAACACCACTTACTGTGTTGGAAACATGAACAGGGACCTATCAATATATAAGGGCTGCATTTCACAGTCGATTTAATCTCCACCAGCTCACCAGCATTCATCGAGATTTCCATCCACTTTTATCTTTGACACAACTCAACTACAGATAACAACAAAACTTCAACACTACTACATTTCCATCAATCGCAATCATGTCTCTCTCTACCCAACGCAACGGACAGACTGGATTTGTCCAGCTCCTAGAGCAAGTTTACGAGCGATTTCGTACCACAGAAACTTCAGAACTCCGACCCTCAATCATTCATCTTTTTATGATGCTTGATCGACAAGCTCGTAGCAGAAGCGACCATCACCAGTATGGTACTGCGGAGATTACCTTCATGATGATGGACCACGTATTCTCCCAGGGTGATGTCTCCAATGTCTATCGAGATCGGTTGTCCAAGCCGGAAAGCGCAATCGGAATTGCCTTGATGCCACACTGCCCAGTCTCCTTTCTGGCCACCCTTCTTTCGAATCCCCTGCACGAGGGTTACGAATTCACAGCTGAGAATCCATCTTGGAAGTCTTCAGGTGGTGGAGTTCATCTTGGGACGTATTACGCTACAACCGACATGCGATGGATCGTCGAAACCATCTACGAGGTCTATTTCGAGCCCTTCTGGGGGTTTGGGGACGAAAGCCGTGCCCACGACTTTGCACGGGAGCTTGAAGCCAAGGTGAACCCCCTGCGCAGCATCAAGTACACTGACAGCACTGAGCGTAAGGTTCTTGAAAGCCTTGTAGAGACAGTCTTACGCGTCCAGACCGAGGTTGACAAACTTGAACAGGATGAAGCCTTTCTGGATAGAGTGCACTGTTGCGAGAATTCCGACGAGGCCCGCCAAGTGTACTATGAATCTACGACCAGCATCTGGTTCGCACTATGCTGTGCCATCGCCCCTCTGGCTGATAGGGACTACAACACGCAGTGTGAGGAGCGCAGCCAGGAATTTGGCCCCCGACGACATCGCTTTGTCGTTGACCCAGCATGGGATCCTCGAGCTGAGTGGCTGGAGCGAGAGCTTGATAAGCACATCCCTCTCTGCGTGGAGGCGCACAGGACTCTTCCTAAATACGCCACACCCGTTGCCCGAATCATGCGCGATGACTTGAAGAAGGTCTACAAACAGGTCATGTTTAATCGTGCCGGCGGACGGGCTTGGTATGAGATCGAGGACCAAAATGAGTGGTATGTTACTCCTCAGGATGTCCGAAACGCTCTTGAGTCTAGAGACATAGAAGGGGCTTTTGATGGCCTTGTGGAATGGATGGCTATGGTTGGTATGTAAATTTCTTTTGTCAGGGTGCGCTTGTTGGGATAGTGCTCTGGATAGCACTTGGTTTGCGATGGATCGAACAACGGTTGGGCTGGACCTGACCTACAAACACAGTTTGCTTGTTTTTTACTTAAAAGCAATTTTCCTATTTTTCTAGAACCACTCAGTTTGTTAAAGTCAATTGAAATTCTTTTCTCTAACCTAAAACTCCCTCTTTTTAAATGAACTAAATGGTATGTGGCAAAAACGATTGATCGATCCAACAACCGTGATGTCTGTAGTAGTCTGTTGAATTCCAACTACCGCCTTTGTCTGCGGCCAATTTGTTCCATGACTCTGTCGCAACACTTCATTGGCGTAGCCGTAGAGTCAACAGTGATTATGGCCTTCTCATCATCGGGGCGGCATGGATACATGAGCCACCTCTCAAACAGTTCCCGTCCATTTTCTTCATGTCTCCCCTCAGCAGCCTTAGGCGAACGGTCAACGCCGGATCTCTGACACAGCATCGGCTCACGAGCACGTAGCCTCTGATCCAAGAGTTCGATGTCCATGACTCTGCATTCGATGTACCAGTATGTATACCCAAATTCGGCAGCCAACGCCATTCCTTGGTGTAGGATCTTGGGAAAGTTGCAGGTGCTGTCGATGATAACTCTGCAGACGCCCTGTTTTATCGCGTCTCGAGCGAGTGCCCATTGAAGGTCGTAGGCTTGCTTGGCGGCTGTCTCGAAGCATGGGTTCTCTTGTTCGAGGGGGGAGGATCGGATAACATCGTGGTCGATGACGATTCCGTTCTCGAGCTCTTTGCTGAGTCGGCGAGCGAGAGTGCTTTTACCGGAGCCTGGTGCTCCGGACATTTGAATTAGGTGCTTGCGCGGCGGCATTGTAGATAGTGTGTTATGGTAGAGTGAGATGGGGTGTAAGGTTGAGATGGCGAACAGGGTTAAGAACATGAGGTAGGTCAAGAAGTGGAAAGAAGGGTGAGGGGTAAATTGAGTTATAAGCGATGGCATCGTATAAAAGAATGTCTCAGAATATCCCAACATGGCGAATCATTTGCGTGGATAACATGGTTAATGGTTTAACGGTGCTGCTTTGGTGTTGGTAGACGAGCTTGTTGATCTGCGATACTACTGGACCGAGCCACACAGTCAAACCTTCTCCTCAGGGTGTCATAAGAATTGGCGTCCGACAGCATAAGAGACGAAATAATTTGATCACCTTATGCCAGCTTAGGCTAGCATTTAGGCTACATCATCTTTGTAGCCTAAGTCTTGAAGGCCATTTCTTCTGACACCCACCTGCTTCTCAAAGGATACTTGATAAGTTCATGAAACATACTTCTCTATAACATTGTCCATCTCAGGGTATCATGTGACAAACTATCCCTCTTCTAAAACTATAAACAAATCATGAAGCCCATTCATCATTACTGGGCCTTCTTCTGTCTCCACATACTCTTGATAAAGTACAAAATACTAATGGCGAATCCGAGTCCAGCGAATCCAACAGCCATGTAAAACGCAGAGCGGTATCCCTTCAGTAACTCTCCCTGGGACTCTCCGCCCTTGTTGATGTTAACCTCGACGGTGGCAGCGAAGCCAAGGCCGAGACTGATACTGTAGTTGACGATTGTGTTGACTAAACTGGCTGCGATACCCTGGTGCTCCCGTGAGACTGAGTTGGAAAGGACTAGTGTCGCGGCGGGGAAGGACATGTCCATGCCGAACGTCATGATGATCAAACCGAAGAAGGATTGGAACCAGTATGATTGTTCAACGGGGGCTGTCATCATCAGGATGGTACCGGTGGTGAAAGCGCCGAGGGCGAGAAGCATGACAAGCGCAGGGTGGGCAACATGCAAAAGCCACGCTGTCGTCATGGCAGCACAGGCTCCGGAGATAGCGACGGGGCTCATCCAAGCAGCGGTAAGGAGAGGAGAAGCTCCACGAATGAGCTGGAAGAATTGCCATGTGTAGTAAACCCAAATACCGAAGGTCGCCCAACCACAGACGATGCAAGCCAGGATGTAAGCCACATCGCTAGTGAGAGCGTCGAAGGGGATGAGAGGATGAGAAGCGACGCGCAGCTCAACGTAGAAGAAAACAGGAACCATGAGAACTCCAAGGATGAGGGTAACAATGACCCAAGGCTTATCCCAGCCATCGATGGGAGCTTGGTTCCAGGCAAAGTTGAAGAGTACAAGAGCAGTGATACCGGTAAAAGCACCGAGAAGATCAAGCTGACCAAGGATCTCGCCCCAAGTCAACTGATCGGCCGAAATCTTGTGAGGAGGGTCAGGAATGATGAAGTACGCCATCGCGGCAATGAAAGCCAAACCCATGGCAAAAGAGTAGAACGCCCAGGGCCACCAAGTCGGATCACCGTGAACGAACAGTCCGGCAAACGCAGCGGCGAACACACAACCACCAGGCGCACAAGCACCGAACAGCGCAAAAGCAACAGCCTTTCTGCCACCGGGGTTATACGAAGCACCCAGAATAGCAAGACCATTGGGCATGACAAGCGCAGGTCCAATACCCTGGAACACTCTTGCAAAGACGAAAAGAACATGGTTGGAGTAATTCGCCAATCCGCAAATCATAGACCAAACAGCGAACCAAGCAAAGCCGATGAGGAACATGCGTTTGTAGCCAAAGATATCGCCAAGACGGCCGGAGAAGAGGATAAAGGTTCCCACTGTGAGACTGTACCCTGCGATAAGCCAACTTAGTTCGGCTGGGTTGCTGAGACCGAAAGAGTCGCCGATAACGTGAATGAGATTGAGACAGTTTCCGAGGGCGCCTTGAGTCATGAATTGTGCCATGCAAATAATTGACACGAAGAGGATTTCGCGGGGGAGCGAGAAGGAGTCTGCTATTGAAGCTGATGTTTTTGTTCGTGAGAGCTCTTCTTCATCGCGACCTGTGAGAGTGTTGTTGTCTGAAGTATCCCTTTCAGGGTCAGGCATAAAGCCTTGTTCTGTAATAATTAGCATCATTCCCAACACGCTCAAAAATCGGATTCATACCTTTCTCAGCTTCTGTCACCATATTGGAAAAGCTGTACCGTTATCGTCTGTGGTTCAACCGATGACGAAGTGGACAAGAGCTAAGCTTTGTACCTCTATAAAAAGACGGCCAGAGCTCCGTGGATCTGAGTATATCCGGATATCCGTACTTCCGGACCAATAAGTAAGCACAACCAGTACAGAAGGATCCACGACGGCAATTGTAAGCGAAGTTTCGGGATTAGAAATCTGGATGGAGATCAGATCTTGAAAGAAAGGAGACGCTATTCGTATATCCGAGGGAAGGGATGAATGAGCTTATTTTCTAGTGGAGAGGGTGACTGTGCATGATGCCGGTCTTGGTAAGAATTACGGATGTAGAGTGGGAGGAATGAAGTAATCACGGATAACGGCATTGATGCGGTATCGGAAAGCATTCGCGCTATTTGGGTAGACGGGTATGAATTGTACCGTCTTATCAATCGCAAACGCTTGTAGGACAGTTGGATGGATGTCAAAGCACATTCCGCCGTTCAACAACTGCCGATTTCGCATGCTCGTATTGTGCTGGCTTGGCTGAGCAGGGACTCCAGGTACTCCAGGGAGTTTAGGGAGTCTCAGTTGGTGCGGACAAGCAAGGTCCAGCGGGAGGAATGCTCAAAGCGTCGCTGATAACTGTTTCGCGGGGCATAATTATCCATCAATTAGCCGGCTCAGTGGGATGCTTCAGGAGAGAACATTATATAAACGAGCCTTGTATTTATGAAAAGAACTGTATGACAATCTATTTTGTTTCATGAGTTCAATCTGGAAACTAAGGTTGTATGCAATAGTCAGCAAAGCTCAATTGTGGTTGTAACCCAAAAGTTGACTCTATGTAACGACCGCATAGCAAGACTAGGAAGACATGTGAGATGTTGCAGGTGCTGTCACGCTGCTATAATCCACTACCAGCTGAAAGGGAACACAGGATCTAATTGTAGAACATAACATCTTAGGCCTTGTCTCAAAGATCGACAATTTCATCATAGGGCTTGCAAAGAGACACTACAGTACTCCGTAAGTTCTGAATGGTTCCATATCGTGGGATTTACCCTACAGTGGCAAGCAAGGCCCGCTGTAAATTCTGCCACATTAGACCGTTTTCGCCACTTCTGGTCAAGCTCTAATCATCGTCAATTCCAATGAACCCCACGTAAATTTACCATCCCCACCATCAATCCTTATCGATCAGACCATCAAAATGTCAAAGACAAAGTCCAAGAAGCGCAAGCAAAATGCCCAAGCGGCAGCCCAATCCGACAACCCTCGAAAAATCGCAAAGACAACAACTCCCTCCATACCGACGCCTCCTCCCGATGGCACCGCGACGACCTTTGAGCCAAAGAACCTCCATACCGTCGTGTCGGAAGAAGAACTTGAGATTACAATTGATACGCTCAATTCGCTTGCTCAGTATCCTGGCTTGATCAAGTCGAAGCTGTGCAAGGATCTGAGAGTTGCGGTTTACGACTTTCGACAGGCTTGTACCACGGGTGTCAATGCTGCTGGCTCGAATCTTACGGCGCAGGTTACTGCTGCTCTTGCCGATCGGAAATACACTGAGGCGAGAGTTCTTCTTGCTGAGATGAAGATTCGGGGCGAGCAGCCTAAGCTTGGTGCTCTGTGTCGATGGGTGCGAGATCTGGATGTTATCAGCGGTCTGTCGACTGTGCCGGATCAGCAGGGTCTTGTCAAGCGCTCAGAGAGGGAAGAGACTCTCATCAAGGTCATTGATGCTGTCTTGAGGGTTTGTGGTCATGAAGACCGAAACCCCAAGGCTGTCGAGCAACCCTCTGCAATTGCCCTGCAAGAGATCTGGGATCTTCGCCCTGATACACCCACAGAACAAGTCTACGCCACCGTCCTCGACGGTAGTCTTGTCGCTTCCGCCCCCGATTCTCTCAAGAAGAACCTCCGCATCATCGAGACAACACCCGGTCCTGAACGCAAGCCTCCCAACCACCACGACGCCATCCTATACGCCTCCACACCCGACGCCGTTCCTCTGTCCACCACCCCGCCACCGACTACACATACACCACACCCTGTCGTGCCTGGTCTCAGTGTAGCTACGCAGGTTCTTTACCCTGAGGAGTGCAAGGCTATCATCGCTGCTGGCGAGAGCGTCAACTTCGTTCCTGATGCGCCGCTGCGTGAGGATGGAGACATTAGCATTCTGGCGCACAACTTTTATTGGGTTGTGGACCAAACCTTCCACGATACACTTTGGTCGCGCATTAAGCCGTTTGTGCCAGCAGTGATGAACGGTCGATTGGCCAGAGGCGTCAACCGCCGTTTCCGAGTCTATCGCTAGTAAGTTCACTAACCGGACGCCAATTGGGTTAACACAACTAACGCTCTACAGTGTCCCAGGAGCAGAGTACCGAGCACACATCGACGGCGCATGGCCCCCGAGCGGCATCACCAAGGAAGACAAATACGTATACGATAACTCGCCCGTCGAAAAGAAGCAGAGCTCGCTGTTCACCTTCTTGATCTACCTCAACCAAGACTTCGAGGGCGGCGAAACCACATACTTCTTACCGGCAGCCCGCGAAGGAGTGCTGAACGCATACCCTGTCCGTCCAATCATGGGCGGTGCAGCCATCTTCCCACATGGCGAGATCAATGCTACGCTGCATGAAGGTACTGGTGTACGAAGTGGAGCGAAATATGTCATTCGAACAGAGATTGAGTACGATGTTGAGCCGTCGGAGATCTAGGCTACAAACAAATTGGAACATTTTGGACAGAATTGCAAATAGGACGGCTGGACTGGGAAAAGTATTGATACGCTGTATACGTCTAATGAACAAAATAAACACCATATTTATGCTTCAGTTGCGGCTTCAGTTACGACCTCTCCATCGGCAGGCTTGCGGCCCCAGACGATACGCTGGAGGTAATAAGCATGCGCCCGGTTCTTGGCCTTCAATTCCTTTCTCAATTGAGCACAGTAGAGCACAACCTGCTCCTTGGTCCAGCCCTCAAGAAGACTAGCCATGAAGGCGATATGGCCCTCGACATCGGAGAGAATGCTAAGGTTGGTGAAGCGGCCAATTTCCTTGAGACGGTCATCCTTGGGCCAGTCGCCGACAGGGACCTTGATTGTCTTGGACTGGATGTCGACAAAACCAGCCTTCTTCATGCCCTCCTCTTGCAGGTTGCCGGGAAGAGGCGAGAAGGTGCGACCGAGCTTCTTTGCGCCCTCGTGGAAGAACTTGCCCCATTCCGCAATGGCGCTGCCAGGCTTGACGCTGTCGTCGTCGCTAAGACCCATGGGGTCACCCTCATGGGACTCGATCCAGCCGCCGGGCGCGGTCACTTGGAATGCACGCTCGTACAGGGCGTTCCAGTCGGGGACGCTGCCGTAGAGGAAACGCATGTGGACGAAGTCGGCCGAGTTGGGAGGGAATGTCCAGTCGAGGGTGAAGTCTTCGATCTCAAACTTGACGTTCGGGGGAACCCAGCTGCAGAATGTTAGTCCTTGTTATAATTGCATCGCTGCGGAGGATGTTTACCTTGGCTGAATCGGAGAGATGTCGGTTCCAATGACCTCCGCCTCGGGAAACTCGTCACCAAAGTCCATAGCCCAAATTCCAGTACCGGTACCAATGTCAAGCACCTTCTTAGGCGCCTCAACAGGCGCAAAGTAGAGCTTTCCATCCATGATCAGCAGGGAAGTATGGTGGATGATGTCAAGAGCCTCAGAGGCCTGGTTATCGTTTGACGCCCAGTACTGCGCATCGCCTCGCTCAGCATGGTATGTTCGGCCATTGATGGTACGGTAGTCGAGAATGCTCGAGTTGATAGACGCGGTCGAACTGGCAGAGTCGTCGCCTAGCGAGGAGTCGTTGTCTGAATTATCGGCTTCGGCATCGACGGGATCGGAGGCGGTGTTCTGATTGAGTTAATTAACGAAACATCATGGGAGTGGCGTGTTTTTACCTCCCAGTGCGTAGGAGCAAGCATCTCCTGCGCGCCAGTCTGCGCAGTCTGCGCTTCTTCAGCAGGTGCAGCAGCCATCTTGACGGATACTTAATCGGAGTCTGTGACGAGAGAGGCGGCGAGAAGAGAAGAGAGAGAGAACCAACACCCGCCGCCCCTCACGTTTGGGGGTGGTCTGTTGGTCCCAGCTTGCATGGTAGCATTGAAGGTTTGGTGTTCAAGGGTCCCACGCTAGTTTCCGGGGAACGACGGATGGATCCACTGTTTGGATCGGGAAGGGGAATTGGTCCGTAGGTGAGGTCTCCATGATGACCTGATTTCGGGTATAATGGGCGGTTACAGCGTCTTTGACAAGACAGACGTGGCAGGTTGGCCAAGACGGGTGACCGAGAAGGTGGGTGTCAGAAGAAATGACCTCCAAGACTTAGGCTACTGAAATAAAGTAGCCTAAATGCTAGGCTAAGCTAGCATAAGGCGATCAAATTATTTCGTCTCTTATGCTCTTAGCGGCCAATTCTTATGACACCCTGGGGCTGAGGTATGTGGCTGTTTGGGTGGAAATGTCACGTGGTTGATAAAGTTCTTATCTTATCTCTGAATGACGGATCGTGAAAGTCGCCGTTCAAGTGTCAGAAGAATTGGCCGAGAGCGTAAGAGACGAACAATTTAGTCACCTTGAGTTGAGGTTAGGGTGATTATAGAGGTCGATACTTCTGTTACTCACCCGGCTCTCGATACTCGATGGGTTGGTGGTTGGGTTGACATTGAACAACAGGATACATGAGTTGCAACCAATAGCAGAGTTCATCATGCGTTTACCAACAAACCAATGTCCTTGTTCCCAGCACCCTGTAGTATTTTGGGAAATACCGCAGGGGAAAAACTTCATGCTCTTGACCATGCCCAAGATTTACGGAAGGTACAGGTCGTGCAAGCCTTCGTATGCCTGAAGAGTGCCCGGTCAAAGGTGACGAGACCTCCAAGATAGCTTAGAGAAATTATCCACAAGCTATGCCGAATTGCCATGCCAATATCCACATATAAGCAGCCTTTCTGTAACTATTGGTTGCAATGTCAGGTTCCTGGCATTTGGACTCCAAGTTACCTGTCTCAGTGCGTTCACAAGAAGGAGCTTCTGAGCTAGCAGACCGGGCCGATGCCTAAGAGATGAAACAATCTCATCACTGTATCAAAACGTAGGCAGGCACTTGGGTTTGGTGCTTTCCTCAAGTGACCTAAACCTGCTGACGTAGACCCATATCTCCAGAGGCTTCCCGGACTTTTCTTCTCTTCATCATCAACAACATCATACACCACATCTTCAACCCGCATCATCTCAGACAACTTCGCTTACCCATCAAGAATCATATCAAACAACCGAAAATGCCCGCTCCCATGGACTTAGCTCTCATCGACTTGGCAGAAATGATGGTTGATATCGATCCAGTCACCGTGGACAATAAGATGGCAATGTTGCATGTGCAGTAGGTCTTCAGTCCGAAAGTGCCATTGCAGATCGGCGTCTGACTTATGATAGACGTGCAAACCGAAAAACAAACTGCCTCCTTATTGGAAGACCCATCAGCGACTTCGAAGACGGATCACCCAAGATATTCCCCGTCCACAAGTGTATCATAACTAAGGAATCTTCTTTCTTTCAAGAACTTTGCGCACGACCACCCCAGGTATAACACAACCAACAGTCGCCTGACGTCGCTAACGCAGTCAGTCATCGCCGATTCCAGCACACTACATGAACTCCGACAACCAAGATATCGAGAGATTGATTGACTTCATGTATCTCGGCATATACGGAGCTGATGCCATTACGGGCACCTGGCGACGGTGTCGATACCCCAGTGTTTATATACATGTCCGCATGTACAGGATGGGAACCCGTTTTGGCATACCGAGTCTGGAGCGTTTTGCAGACGAAGCGATCTTCAGGACCTACCCAATCGCCGATCGCCAAGATTTGGAATACGCGATCAATGAAGTGTAGAACACGCCGGAGGAGAATTGGGAGCTACGCAACACATTCATATTTCGTGAATTGAGAGCCATGCAAGCGGCTGGGGAGAATGTAACGAGGTGGTTGGAACAAATGACGCCAGAATATCGCCACCCGGCATTCGAAAGGGAATTGCGAGGCGCTGCTGAGAACCGTGCATATTAGCCATCCGGAGCATAACCTCATCTCCGCCGTTGGCTTCGTGAGGATTAACCCAAGGACTTCAGTTAGGGTACCGTTATAGAGTATAGACAGCATCAGGGAGGAGCTACTTCAAAGTAGCATACACTAATAATTACTTTGTTCCCAAGTCTTCACTTCCATCTTCGTATTCAACGCCGAGACTTGACATGATCAAAAATGAATGACAGGATGTGGTCGAGGCAAAAAACAAAGATGTTAGGACCGAGCGTGGATCGAACACGCGACCTAGGGATCTGCAATCCCTCGCTCGTACCACTGAGCTATCGATCCTTGTAAGCTTTGGATGAAACGGTCGACAATAGTTACTATCTATATAGATAAAACAGAATTGTTGTCTGTTCTACCCATCCAGGTGGGTGTCAGAAGAAATGTCCTCTAATACTTGGGCTACAGAAATAAAGTAGTCTAAATACTTGCCTAAGCTGACATAAGGTGATCAAATTATTTCGTCTCTTATGCTGTTAGGGCCAATTCTTATGACACCCTGAGGCCATCGTATATCGTGCAATTGGGAATGGTGGCAGATGGCTGTCAAAAACGCTCGGAGCATCTCAGCCCCGATCTGACAATAAGCGCCACTGATAGCGATAAGCTTCTGTACCTTGATGTCTGTTTGAGCTGCCGCTTCAAGCCTAGAGTAAGCGGGGTACGATAACAAGCACATCGCGACGCGAAAGACCTTTTGCACGATGCTACAGTATTAGCCTGGCAAATTCGTCATCGTTTATCTATGTGCTTATATAATCTCTTCCGCTTAATATGAAACGTGCCCAGCCTTTTTTCTACATTCTGTAACGTTCTTCATCAACAACACCAACCATGGGGATCTTCAAGACTGCCATCTTGCTCGCTGGAGCTTCCCTCGGGGTCTTCGCGTCCCAAGTCCCACTCGGCGAGGACTCACCGCTAGCTTCTATCTTCCAGGTCTATTCAAGCTCTCTGCACCCTGAACACTCAATTCGCATCAAAGAACAAGTCGATGATAAAATCTGTGATGCGCGTGTCAAGCAGTACACAGGCTGGCTCGATGTCGGAAACCAGCATCTCTTCTTCTGGTACTTTGAGAGCAAGAATGCGCCAGCCACTGACCCTTTGGCATTGTGGTTGACAGGCGGCCCTGGAGGCTCGTCAATGCTGGGATTGCTTCAGGAGCTGGGACCCTGTCTTATCAATGAGCATGGCAATGGAACGGTGCACAATCCTTATGGATGGAATGCGAACGCCAATTACATCTTTGTTGACCAACCTGCTGGTGTTGGTTTCTCTTATTTGGATGAGGATGAGCCGATTCCTGGAAACTCTTTTGTCGCGGCTGATAGTATGCACAAGTTTATGCAGATCTTTACGACCGAGGTTTTCCCTGATCTTGCTGGACGACCATTCCACATCTCTGGAGAGAGCTACGGTGTAAGTGGCATCGGGCGAATAGCTTGGCAGTGACTAATATCTGCAGGGCCACTACATCCCCATCCTGGGAGCTACAATCGTCGCTCAGAACAACCTCTACCCCAAGCGTCCTCAGGTCAATCTCGAGTCCGTATTGATTGGAAATGGCTACATCTCACCTCTCGACACCGCCTTCGGATACTGGGAGACTCTCTGCACTACTAACCCCGGTGTCAAGGAGCCCATCTTCAACAGCACCCGATGCGACATCATGGCGGCTAACCTCCCAAGATGTCTCGAGCTTGCACGCGTCTGCTACGAACACCCCGACCACGCAATCTGCGGTGCCGCAGAGGAGGTTTGTTGGGACGGTGTCGTGAAGTGGTACGACGGCGAGTCTGGCTCCAACGGTGGCAGAAATCGATTCGACATCAGCTTCCCCTGCGAATCAGGAGATGACCTCTGCTACAAGGAGTCCGGACTCATCCAGAACTACCTCAACCTCCCGCATGTCTACAAAGCTCTAGGTGTCCCTAGTGAGTTTGGGAACTACTCGATCATCTCTATGGCTGTAGCAGAAGCCTTCGAGCTCGGTTATGACACTGGCATCAGCACTCAAACACAGATCCTGTACCTTCTCAACAACGACGTTGATGTGCTGCTGTACCAAGGAAACCTGGACCTTGCATGCAACACTGCTGGAAACTTGAAGTGGAGTAACAGCATGGAGTGGAAGGGACAGCCAGAGTATGTTGCTCAACGACCAAAGGCATGGGGTGCTTGGGGTGAAGAGATTGGTTGGTACAAGGAGGTCAAGATTCAGATGGGCAAGTCTGATAAGAAGACTACTTTCTCGTTTGCTACGGTGGAAGGGGCTGGCCATATGGTAAGTGATCAAGTAAATATTTGTTGAGTTTGTGTTAACTGTTTTTAGGTTCCTCAGGGTAAGCCCAAGGAGGCTTTGGAGTTGGTTAACCGATGGTTAAAGAAGCGCAGCTTTGCTGGTTGAGCCAGTTCAGGCTGGAGTCTACTCCACAACATCATCAGTAAATCACATCTTCAAGTCGAGTTGAGCCAGAAAGTCATTCGTGGGAGCATTCTTGGAGAGGGATGTTCTACCCTAGCTCGTGCTTATGATTTGGACACACCAATTACCCATCTAATTTGCATTTAAAATATGGAAAAGGCCATAATGAAAAACAGAAAATGGGATAAACGTCCAATCTGAACCTCTTGGTGCACAGCTTGCTATCAAAGCTAGTATCTTTAACCCTGAATACCTGCTTGCAAACGACCCATGTCTATGTGGTAGATGTTAGTGGAAGGAAGAAATAAAGCCTGAGAGGAAGTAAGTAAGACATTTTGTGCCGTGGTCTTACATGAGGGTAGGGCAAGAGAAGGCCTCATGCAAGCATTAGAGTCACGATGCTTCATAATTATGAATTCTAAAACTCTATCCGTACGTCAACATAACTACCTGCCTATTCAGGGAATATTACTATGTAGCCAAGATGTCAGCTTACTGCAGCTCACATAGGTGTATGCAAGCCTGATATATATCTCATTAGCCTCTGTGAACTCTTGAGCTGCTGTGAAGTAGGAGCATATGGTAGGAATACAACTTATGTCGAACGCAGAATGTTTGGGAAGAAGAAATAATGTACAGTATTTACTAGAACCTAGAGTCTATGAAGAGTTGTGACGATTCAGAAGGGTTTTGACGGGAGCCAGCCTGGTTACTCGCTTAGTCCTTGGCGCAGCAGAACCCCTCTTTATAGTTCCATTGCATGCTGATATACCACTTCAACTCATTCTTATCCTGCAGTTATCCTCTGAAGCTCTCGTATTCAAGCTGCCAGGTTTACAGAAAAGGAATTAATCGCTCAATTTTCGCTTCCAGAAACAGATCAGGTGAGCTCTGGTGGGGTTTTGTAAGTCATCAGTTATGTCTCGCGATCAGAAGCTTGACAGGTCTTGGGTATATAAGGGAAGGGAATCCTCGGACTGTTCCATACCACTCAGGATCATCAATCACCTCTTACCTTGACTACAATCATCCATCTCGCAACAATGGTTCGCCCTATCCTTCTCGTCAGTGCCCTTTTCGCTGCCATCACCATGGCAGCCCCTACCACCGAAGTTGAAGAGTCTACCGTTGAGAAGACTCAAGTCAACGACGATGACGCGCCCATAGAACTCTCGAGCTACCGCCAGAGCTGCCGTTCGTGCCATCTTACCACTTCCAACGGACCAGCTCTTAGCTGCGAATGCGACAACGGCTCAGGCGGCTGGCCCAGGGATACCCTCAGACTTAACCCTTGCCTTGGCAATGATAACGGTTGGCTCAGGTGGCAGACCAAGTATGACATCCTTCGATTAGATATGTCCTACTGATAACTAACAAATGGCAGTGGGGGTTTTGGCGGGTCGTGCAACAGACTGAGTCTAGATTCGGATAGCAGACTCAGCGTTAGATGCAGAACCATCAGTGGAAACTGGAACCCTTCCTCTGTTGTACTTAGTAAGTTATTCTTATATCCGTCGCAAAGCCTATTGCTGATTCTGTCAATAGACGAAAGGATCCACAACGATAGAGGTCGGCTGTGGTGTGGTATTTAATACAGCTGGGAGGCTTTCAATCATTATTCAGAATAAGGGGTCCGCGACAAACATGGAACATTGTGAATTGCCGTATTTTCCAGATAACAGCAAAATGAAAACCTTTTCCATCTTGACTAGATTCATCTAAGCGAGCTGATGTCCTCATCGGGATAAACGTGGGTTAGTTCACGATAAGCTAGCTCTGGAGGGCCTAGAACTTCGATAGTTGCTTTTTCGGACGTTGAAAAAGTCGATAGTCTCTTTATGCCCCTGACTACAGCCAGCCACAATGGCGTTTTTCTTGGCGCTAAAGCAGCATGGTGAAATTAAGGAGAGAAAAACAATACGGTATTTATTTCGTTGATTGCCACTATTGAACGCGAGTACGATCCTCGGTCTTTACTCACGCCACTCGTTCTTAAAACTCGAGTCAAGATGGTATCTAAGACACTTGTCGCTGCGATTTTCGCAGCTTCTGTTGCTGCGGGGCCTTGTAAGCCCAAGAGTCTTCCCACGGATATTTTCTCTTCTACCCAGTCTATTGTCCCAACGACGCCAGTTGATACTACCACCTCTGGTCAAACTACCCAGTCAGAGGGCGCTTCTAGCACTGAATTGACAACTCTCGCGGCTTTGACCACAACTTCTTTTGAAGAATCCACACAGACGACAGAAGCAGCCTCTACCACCACCTCTGTCGGGCCCGCTGGCGAAGCCATCATCCTTCAGATCAACCAGCAGCGTCGCCTTGCGAAGCGAGATGACACATTTATTGGAACCAACAACCCTTCCTCTTGTGATCTCGCCACGGCGTTTCGCATCACCGATGAGCAGTTTCTCCAAGACGGAGTGCCTATCTACTACGAGGGTAATGAATACCAGGAGCTTGCCGTTCAGGGTACTCCACCAGCCGATGCAGTGACAAGAGCCTTCTCGGTCGATGGAGGGTATCTTTCATGGACGAACGCGGCTTTCGGAGAGGCAAGATTCTGCCAGACTCCCTCGGACGGAAAGGTCTACATCTTCTTTAGTTCAAAGCCCACTGGCTGCCAAACAGTTACGCTTACAGCGTATAAACGTATGAGAAACCACGGAATCTTGAGGATGCAGCTGACATTAGGAAATAGAGAGTCAATGCCAGAACGGTCAGATTGTTGGCGAAGAGGCTTCCAGTGCCCAGAGCACTTTGGTTGAAGTGACCAGTTCCGTTGATGGAACTAGCTCTGCCGAGGTGATTACGGAAGAGACTACTACCTCGAACGAAGTGACTTCTCAGTCTGTTGAGGAGACTTCTTCGACCGGAGCCCCCACGACTACTCAAGAGGTCACTTCTTCTGAGACAGCCTCTCAATCTGCTGGAATTACGTCTTCCGCGAACGTCTGCTTTGCAGGTCTGAGCGATCCAAACGGTCAACCAGACGTAGACAGTCGCATCAGTGACTGCTCAGCTTACAACACTGTGACAGTCAGCCCATTCGCCTCGTAAGATCCCCCTGATCCCTCTAAAAACCAATACTAACCATTATAGGACTTCGACTGTTTTGAAGAAGCGAGTGTACTACCAGATCCCTACAGCTTGGGCCACCCGTCAGCCCAAGGTCACCAAGCGTGCTGATGACCCCACTGATACAACCATTTTCCCAACTGAAATCCCCTCTTACGCTACATACTGCGACTCTCCTGAGGAATATTATGAGGCTTGCTCCGAGGCTGGAGTCACTGCGTTCACAACGACACTTCCTGAGCCTGACGCTACAACTACTACACATATCTCTGATCGCTGCGCACCTCTGTCGAAGATGAAGAGAGGTATTGAATATCTGGGCTACACTGTATCTGAAGATTGGGATCGTGCAATCTTTACTGGAGTTGTCCTACATGAAAGATTCCATGACTAGACTTACTTGAATATTGTATAGAATATAGTTGGATAATTATTTATAACAATGTTTCAACAAGGTCTAAGTATACCATTACAACGAAATTAATGACAGTGTTTCGTAGTTATTTATCTAACCTAACCAAGGTACAGTCTGTCCAACAGTGTAACGCTTCCGAATCAAATGCTGAAAAGAGGAAAGTAATGTGTCTATTCTTTTGGAATAACAAATAACAAAAAGCCTTAAGAGGCTATGCTGTCAGACCAGGTTGCAATACATGAAGGTAGCGGTGTCTTGGTATGGAATACGATTGAATGTCGGACGACTGTATTTGTTGTCGGCTGCATAAAATGATCTATCGGTCTTGATGAATAAGCAGGTCGGGTTGAAGCCTGAAGTTGGGTATTATGCCTAGCGGGCTTCACAAGCTATTGCGTAAAGCTGCAGATCTCACTAGAACATGGTGCTAGCCAGCCTCAACAAACTTGATTCTTACGTTCGCGCCCCGTTCGACCTTTTGTTATCCGAAAAGAAGAGACTGTAGGTAAGGAGTTCAAAGATCTGATAATCACACAAGGCTTGGAAGTACGTACAGTCTTGCAAACAACCACAAAGTTCTCAAGTCCTATTGCGATGGCCATCTCAAACACGCTCAACCTTGCACAGCCTCATGCAGGTAAGCATCCCTTTGCCAAGGATCGCTGCCTTACAGTATAAATAGAAGCTAGCCACCTTTCGTGCTCGAGGAGACATTGACACCCTATCCATCTTCAACGGACGCGAAATTCTTTCTCCATCAGTTGGCCAGCCCATAACGTCGGCGTTCAGAGATAACATGGACGATAGCATCTTAGCGCCGAGTCCTTGCACCCAGCCGAACTTATCGTCATCTCAGCTGTATGTAAATAAAACCGAGGATGGCATTTACGACGCTCAATCGCCTGCTGTCGAGACGGGGACAACGAGACCGAGAGCCCACTTCAAAACCATCCTTTTTCTCATACTCTACAAGATGCTGTCTCTTTGTGTCCTTCTGACCAATGACACGGGGTCTCTGGATCACACAAATCGACCAAGTGAAGCCACTTTGACAAGCCTCTTCTTTCGATTCCTCTGCGGCTGCATGCAAATCTTAGTGCTAGTACGCATAAGCACTGCTTTACTCTTTCCGACTTTCTCACATACGAAAGTATATGCGAAGCTTCTACTTCTGGCATGTTTTGTGGGATTGATGTTATGGAGCTCAAAATTTAAACACGAGATCCTTGATGGGAAAACAAATGGCCTGTGGCGGACCAAAGTACTGCCAACTAGCCCTTCAGCTTGTGGACAACGACTAGAGAATAAGCAACATATCCTTCTTGACCCAGATTACTATAGCGCACAATTCGCCAGGATTATGGTTCAAAACTTGACCGATCAGTTCAAATCCTCTGAGGGCTCTAACTACTATGCTTTCAACGAGACCCGATTTCTGCAGATTCACAACGATGCGAATATCTGTTATCAAGGTTTCGAGGGTAATCAAGACCTTTATGGGCTAGGTGTCCGATTATGCATATATTTGCAATGGATCGCCGCGCTAATCACGAATAACCTTCTGCCGAATGCTCAACAGATTTCTCGGGGTACATGGCTCATCTTCTCGATCGCCATGTGCATAATTGTATTTGTGGCTAGCTTTACCCACTCATGCGTTTTCGGCATCGAGATGGAGATCCTGTATTGGATATATTGGGGCGGATTCGCCTGCGTCTATGCCTCAGCGCCGGGCCGGATAAGGCTTGGAGTGCAAGCAAATCAGGTTGGTCGGAATTGGGACAAGGCGATTCGCTACACTATGCACACTCTAATGGCATCCCACGGCATTTGGTTTAATTGGCGGGGTTACGATCAAGTCTTCGCTCGAATGCCGTGCGGAACTTACCAATTCATTTTCGCCAAGTTTCTAGACCCAAGCACCCCATACAGCCACGCCAGGGATGTCTTATCAATGTTTATTGACATGATATCAGCATTGTTCCTTAACCTCTTCATGACCACGACCACCATTGTCGTAGCTGCTGTGGTCACGGTTGGAATCGATACTTCATCAGTCTATCGTATGCTCCTTCGCATTAAAACAGATCACGCCATGCAGCAGGGAGGTCAAAGGTTTCAAGAGAGGAATGAGAACATATGCAATCGAGACGAAAGCGAGCATCGTGCCGCCGGTGTCCTGACAAGGGTGCGTGATGGTTTCCTCAAGGTGGCCAGAATGTATTATTACTTTGCGAGTATGACAGTCACGGAACTTGGACATAGGTCTGGTGTCATAGGTCTGATCACACCACTGGGTGTGCGACACACACGGTTAGTTGCCCTTTCAACTGGTCACATACCGCGTCACCTACAGTCTTGGTTCTCAGCACTGACGGACATTTAGGCTCTACCGCATTCGTTGCCTCACCGTTTGGCTAGTAAGCTTTTCCATCTCGGTCACAGCTATTGAAACTACCCTGGCATGGAATCGAGTAACCTCCGTTCACTCACTCACGTCACTGGGCCAGATGTTATCCTTCATCATAGGAATAGCAACAGTCATATCAGTTCTCTGGGAGCTTTTTGTACGAGGCCTAGTGAGTCTTTACAAGCTTCAGCTCTCCGAAATAGCTGACCATGTTGAAAGAATGGAACACAGGATGCCAAGCAAAGCAAAACCGCCGTCGATGACGTGGAGTTGGGCGTATTGCCACCACCGTCCTCAACCGTTTCTGGTGCAATCCTCCCTGCCTTTCTTTGGGCCGGTGAGCCATTCCTAACAAACTCTGGTACAATTACAGGCCTCATGACAGAGTTTCAGAACTCCGATGTAGTGCCAGACAATGGTCCATACATGATGAGTGGGGGTAATGGACCGGGAAGACAATCCATGGATACCACTTCGGAAATAGACTCATTGACGGAAACAGACTGGGAGACGGCTACTGAGGGTATGTCCTCAGTCTCAGATTGAACGATACATACGGGGACTGCTAAAGACGGCAGGGACTGAAGGACAAAGAAAGGGTGACAATGCAAAACGTGTGGCCGTCACGAATTTGACAATTTGACTATAATAAAAAGTATCTTTATCGAGACTGATTGTGCTTGCATCATGAGATCTTCCCGGCTGGCATTCCACTGAGGCACGCGCCGGATTCAGCAGTGGCTCGGCCACGAAAGCGGATACCACGAGCCAGACAGAGTTATTATGCAATTCATTAGAAGTTCCTAGAAAGACAACTTAACTGAAACTCCATCAACATCCTGTTAGTTTTGTTTTTGTATGTGTCAATGTTGACCTCCAAAGATTTGACCTCTAATGATAATAGTAGTAAAGAAATGTCTCTTGCAGGTTTTTCAAGGTCAGTCATCAAGTCGTACAGTTCAACAACACAATTGTAAAGAAGTGCCTCTTGTGAACTGAACCGTTGAGACGTCAATTTAAGTCCAACTCGGCCGATATGTTGCTAAACGAGAAATGTCAGAATGCTCTATGAGTTCAATACAGTTCATCCTAGACTGAGTGTATAGGAATGTTAGAAATTGAGGGAAAATGTATGGATTCAAGTATGTAAATTAGAAGGAGTGTTCTCAGTAAATGATAAAGGTCAACCGCTCTAAAGCAATTGAAAGAAGCGAACAAGAAAATGATGCCGAATGAGTGGCTCTAGAGAAAATGTAAATGCCCCATGCCCAATGCCCGAGATGTCAATCAAACTCCAAAGGAAATATGAGAAGATCTAATAGCCTTCTTACTCCTTACCAGGGTACTTTCCATGGTACCACTTTCCGTCATCATAGGGAGTCTGAGGCTTTCCCTCGTACTTTCCCTCATGCCACTTGCCATCATCAGCACGCTTTGTCTTGCCATACTTCTCAGGGTCGTATGAGCCGTCATCGACACCGGTGTCACCACCCTCGTACTTGCCGGGAGCCCACTTTCCATCATCAACACCAGTGTTGCCGCCCTCATACTTTCCGGGGTACCAGCTACCATCGTCCTCACGCTTGGCCTTGCCACCAGGGTACTTTCCGGGATACCACTTTCCATCATCGTAGGGAGTCTGGGGCTTTCCCTCGTACTTGCCAGGATACCAGCTACCATCGTCGGCACGCTTCACCTTGTCGCCGGGGTATTTGCCAGGATACCACTTTCCATCATCATAAGGTGTTTGAGGCTTGCCCTCGTACTTTCCGGGGTACCACTTTCCGTCATCGGCGCGCTTGGTCTTGTCGCCGGGGTACTTTCCTGGGTACCATTTGCCGTCATCGTAGCCGGTACCCTTGCCTTCATATTTGCCGGGGTACCATGAGCCATCGTCGTTGCGCTTCTCCTTAGCGCCAGGATACTTTCCGGGATACCACTTTCCGTCGTCGTAGCCAGTTCCCTTGCCCTCGCTGAGATAGAGTTAGTTTTGATCTATAATGGGTATGGGTGAGAGATGACTTACTACTTGCCAGGGTACCATGAGCCATCGTCGTTGCGCTTGGTCTTTTCACCGTGGTATTGACCATCATCAAAGCCAGTGTCGCCTCCCTCATACTTGCCGGGAGCCCACTTGCCATCATCGTAACCAGTGCCCTTGCCCTCATATTTACCTGTGGATGTTAGTATCTGGACCGTTGAGTCAAGAAGATAGTTGCATACCAGGGGCCCAAGAGCCATCATCGGCAGGCTTGGCAGTGGGAAGAGCCAGAGCCATGGAGGCAAAGGCGAGGATAGTGTATGAGTAACGCATATCGAAGTGTAGTTGTAAGAGTGAAAGAAAAGCTACTGAAGAAAGCGAGAGATCAGAAGCTTAGAGTGAGCAATTGAAGTTGTAACGAAGGTGCTTGAGTTGTTGGATTGTTGTAGTGAAGAGAGAAGAGAAGATGATGAGAATGATGAATTTAACTGGAATGAGGGAATCAACCCATCCTTATATACACAATTGTCCTACTCTCATTCCAAGAAGATCACCATTTACACGATGGTGGCCAGCGCAGCATAAGCCACGACTAACAAACTCACCTCACGTCTCCAACTTGGAAATCAATAAGGCTGAGCGACAAGCTTAACGAGCCGCATGGCCTCTACCGTTTACGTCAGTCTATTTTCGGGTGTCCCGAGCTCTCATCCCAAGCTGCTGCGCCCAGCCAAGATCAGCGCTAGCTCCTGCAGAACAGTGAAGCTATACCGAATCTGACATCGGAAGGGCTGAGGGCCTCGATCGCGGCCCCTCTTCTCCGATGTGATGGGGTCCAAAAGACGGACCATGGTACGGGACTTTACCCCGCAAGGTTGTAACATCCGAAAAGTCGGCTCTGGGGCTGAGGAGCTAAGTCAGGTGTAGTACGGACGGAGTGTCAGCTGTGCCACCGCCGTTATGCCACTTCTCTGTGCTGTCATGAGAAATCTTGGCTTTGATCCTTCTCGTGTAAGCTTACCAAGTGGATGGTGAAAGTGCACGTGTTTGCGCGATATACGCGATGACAAACACGCAAAATGCAATTAAGAAGCCTCGAAATATCAGCAGCGGGATCCGAAAGTACCAAATTCTGTGTAAGCCAAGCCGTCTCTAGACGGAGTTCAGCCCCCATGACCGGCTCTTCAGCCCCGTTCTGTTAGTCAGCCACACAACAGCCAATTGTAGGAGCCAATTCAAGTGTGACAGGACTTTCATAGTGGCTTTTTGGGGAAACACAATGTGGAAAGTGTCTCTAGGAGGGGGGAAAAACGCCTGATGTGAAAAGGCGGGGCTGGACTTGGAGGCGCAAACAAGCCCAAGTCCAAGCCTCGACTCTGATGGTGTAGACGGGACAGATGATGAGAGATGGTGTTGAGGATACGAGCTTAATGACGGCACCCACTGAGATGAATGACCAATGTTTTAGAGTGTGATGTGCAATTGGGTCTAAGAATAGGCGCAAGTTTAGCTTGACCTTCGCACGCCATGTCAATGATCAATTGTCTCACTCTATCAATAGTCTTCTTTTCTCGTTGAGACTCGACGCCGACTCGGCCCTTTGCCAAGAATTCGTCGTGTCTTCGGGAAATCAGGTAGTATTGCACCACCAACTGACTTGACAGCAGACTCTCAGCCCTATCATCGTCAGCCCCCACCAACACTTCAAGGTAGGCTGACTGCAATGCTACGTAGTATTTCTCTTGACTAAGCTCAAGCTTTCAATGATGCTGTCAATTCTGCTGTCGATTAAGACATTCGGTCGAGACTCTTGAAGCTCACTACTGCAAATTCCAGCCGTTCGTTGTCACCATCAACCAAAGTCCCATCGTAAAGCTTCATTTCATGATAAAGTTACCCGACGTTTTGACGGCTCGGGAACTAGCATCGATATCTTAGATGCAGAATCAAAAATGCATTTTCATCTATGCCATTCGTTTATCTCTAGGGGCTGAAAGAGATAAACTTTCAAAGTGGTGAAAAGTAAGCACTTATCTGGCCCTACAAGCCATACCCAAAGTCCCGGTTCTTCGGCAAGTTTAGGGTTATCTGGGTCTCCCGTCATCACCGAATGGAGTAAGCTCCGAGTTTACTGCCGAGCACAGCCCACGTGGCAGGATGCTTACTATCACAACTCTACGTCCTAAGCTTTATGAAATTGGCCATTAAGAGTCCAATATTCTTCAGCTGCTCGCGGCGCTATAAGAACAAAAGTCCTACACATATGAAGATTGGTGACATTCGGGTACACTATGAGATTTCAGCCCTCAGTAGTATCAGGCTTCTGGCCTAATGAAAGCCAGATCTCCTTCACCGATGGTAAAGCCTCATCCTCAGCTTCTGCTTATGCCGTGCATAACGGTTGGGATAAGTGTTTGGTGTTTCAGCTGAGATTTTGAAGGGTCCCTCCTAGGTGCACCAGAAATGGCGTCCTGTAATATTGTCCATGAACCATATGAAATCGATTTCTGAATTGACTTTCATCAGCTTGGCGAACCAATCGCTCAGTGATTCTGGTAGACGAGGATGATACTGATCTTGAGGTACCGAACTGAGGGAGTACCTGGACCAAATCTGTTACTAGAGTGGGCTTTCATCGGTAGGTTTTGGATGTATCACCGCACAGTGTTGAGTCTAGGCCAGACGCAGTGCCTGTCACAAGGATACTGAGAGCCAAGTAGGGCCACCTGTTCCAAGACTGAGCTTACAAACTCACTGGGACCACATCAAGACACCGAACTGGAAGTAGGAAGTCTACATAATTATGATAAGCTGAGAGTGTCAACAGTCACTTTGATGAGAGGATTTGGAACAAATAGTTTTAGGCCATGGTCTGAATGATTTATCATTCCAGTCCTGCTTGGAATCGGTAGTTCTACAGCATGAATTAACCCGTCATATGGTTGGTGAATCCATGCAGAACGCAAACGCAAGATCTGAGTTTGGTGTTTCCTCCCATAGCCCCACCAATTTATGATGGGATATTGTTGCATCATGTTTCATGATCACGATTTATTCCATGTTGCATCTGCCTGATGCTTCGAAATAACTGTATGTTTCCCTTTTCTTGCCGTCAAAGCGAGCTGATTGTGTAACACAATGCCAAGGTTGTTGATCCGGAAACGGGCAGGGGTTTCGAGCACACCAAAGGCGGGATAATTCTCAACATATGCTCTAGACGTTGCGTCTCCGGCTATTTTCAATGTTCTCTTCTATCTCATGCTTATGATATACCTTTCGGGATGAAATAATCCTTCTCATCGTTCTCATGATATGGTCAAAGGTAGGTATGAGACGAATACGATTGCTGAATCATCAAGCGAAGTGGGTCTCAGAAGGTTAATAACTTGCCGGTAATTGGTTGGGTTGGCAGTGCTTTCCCGACCCGAGCCTTGACCGTCTGGGCTCAGCGAGCTTTCCCTACCTTTACTTTTGAGTAACGCGTCACATCCCCTCCCTCCCTTCATTAACCACTACATCATTGTTATTTCATCATATCACTTCCACGCTCATACATCACTACGCCAGCAATACACTCTCTTATTCCATTCGGGATTCATGTCACGATCATGGTCAGTCCCAGCGAATCTCCCCACATCAAGATAGAGGAAGACGATACATACCAAGCTCTGGAGAACCCTGCCCAGAAATCAGTCGCCAAAAGAGTCTACCGACTTACCTGCGAATGGCCCTGGGATATTTCACCCAGTTGTTCTCAAACCAAGTGGGATACCAGTTTGCTTGAGAAGTTGGTAAATCTTCTTATAGAATGTTTCCCCGAACGGGTCGGGCAACTAGGCTTGATCGAAATGAGACAACTGCGAACTGAGATAAAATCGCAACTTGAAACCAAGCCCCACAACGAACAAAAAGCTCTCTCGATGGCAGACTTGGAAGCGGTTCGACGCGGGCTGCTGAACAAGAGGACCTTGCAAACCCCGAACGGCTCGTCCAAGACTACCACTACGACTATTCCGACGAATCTTGATACCATCAACAAGCGCAGGGTATCTGCTGCCAGCTTTTCCGAGCCATCAACAACAAAGCGAGTACGGGTTAACGAAAGTCCGCCTGCATTCGCTACGAGGTCCTCTACGCGATTGAGACAACAAACTCAGAACATAGACATAGATGTCATATCCGAGAGACCAGTGGATGGCCACACATCTGCCGGATTTGCATTGGCTGATCAAGTTGAGAGCGATGAAGAGGAGGTCCAGGATCAGATCGATATCATCGAGGAGACGGAGGACTCTGGCGAGACCAACCATGAAAGCGATGAGGCAGAGGAAGAAGACTCACCAACATCATATGAAGAACCCTTACCCGACACAGCACCCCCCAGCCCCAACCGAAACTCAACACCCGGAACCAGCACCGGACCCCGGCCAGCCTCAACAACCGGGAAACCTCTGGTCGCCGAACTTTCCATGTCAGACAAGCAGATCGTTGACCTTCTCCGGAAACACATCACGTCGATTGCTTCGAAAAAGCAAGACACCAATAATCAAAAACTGAAAGACCTGCAAGATGAGGTCAATCGCTGCGCACTGGCACATGATAAGGCTGAACAAGAAACAACAACGATGTACGCCACGATGAACGCCATGAAAAAGTCTTACGAAGATGCCTTGAAAGAAGTTCAGAAGTCGGAGAATATCCGAAACAAGACCGCTGACGCGCTTAAACCATACCAGGACCTCGTCGACGAGGGAGAGGGTGACGCTCAGCTTTTCGAAATGCTGAAGAACAAATTGAACCAGGCTGAAATGAATTTGATTGAGGCACAGAGAAACCGAGACCAAATGAAAAGGGATCTCGAGGTCGTCGAGAAAGGGGCCAAAGCGAAACTGGCAGCCTTTGATCTGTGCAAGGCCCAGTTGAACGAGGCTCAGCAACTCCAGAAAGCTCGCGAACCAAACAACTCGGCTTTTCGATGCACTCTTACTTTTAAAACTGATGCTAGAGACGAAGAAGATCAACTGTTTAAGGACATCTTCTTTGATTTCACGGCTACTGTGAAGGAGCAGGAGGATGGAGTGAATGGAGGAAGTTAATTCGCATGGCGTATTGGTATTGATATCCCTTAGCAGGTTCTGTTTAATGGTGTTTTATACCATCAGTTTATTGTCAGTAGTAGCGAAGTATTATACCCCAGTTCTGTTAATAAAGATCATGTGTTTCTGGTAATGCCTTTGTTGGGAACTTGTCAAGATGCGTGCTTGGTGATTGATGCAAACATACTTTATACTGATTTAGCATGAGACTTTCAAAGAGCGGGCTCTCCTGGTAAATGATGAGTCGTTCTTGTGGTAGATGCAGGTAACGCGCCTGGCTGTTGTTAGGCTGTATAACATTGGACATCAGGTGCATAACATTGCTGGTCTGCTACAATATGAGTTGTGTGAATACCGGGTGATCGATTTGATACTCTGCTGCCCTGCTGTACATGGATGACACCCCTATTTCCAATTCTCAAAAGCAGCAATCCCCTACTCGTACTATTGATCCCTTGTGTTGTTCATCACTTCACCTCAGGTGACTCATCCGTTCCCTTAGACGACTTATCCTTTTCCTTAGACAATTTATCCTTATCCTTTGGCCGTTCGTCCTCAAATTTGGGTGGTTTATCCTCATCCTTAGGTAACTCCATCTTGACCTCAGGCACCTCAGGTGGAGTCGAATTCGTTGGCGCAGTTAATTGCTTTTCTTCCTCCTGTGACTCATCCTCTGCCTCAGGCGCATCGCCTGGAGTCGGGGACTGTGTTTCAGGGACCGATAGGATGATTTCAGCGGAGATCGAGTTTGGCGGAGGCGTTTCCAGAATGAAGCGGTATGTAGTCCGCTGTCCATCTGATTGTCCAAGATGAATAATCGAGCCAGGTGCCGGCAGACCGTCGGGAACGTCGGGGCTCGGTGATTCTTCACTCGTGCTAGTCCTCTGGCATACAGGGGATTGAGGGTTTGGGTCCTCGGAAGCTGCGCGTTTGGATCGATCGTTCATGATGACGCGGGGAGGATGTGGTTCAGATGGTCTTCGAGGGAGTTTGTGGCCGAAGTTCTGGGGCACGGAATACCGATGAAGATTGACGATAGTTAACAGTAGAATGTAAAACGTGCAGTGATCGGCGTTGATGATGAAGAGTAGAATTCTTGATGTGATGGTTGAGTGATGTTGTAAGAGCTGAGTCGGTACAGGAAAGAATTGAAGGGACAGAGGTTCTCTTTGAAGACCCACACACGGCAAGAGAAGACGAACTGCTGCTTGAACTCCCATTCTTGAAAATGGCGAGCCTTGAAATCCTAGAAGGTAGCCCATCGGGGAAGGGGGGCCCTTCTTCAACATGGAAGGATGACAAATTAATTCCGTCAACAGGATACTAAGGGTACATACACGCTATCCAACGACACGTCGGGATGTCAGATACCTTGGAGCTACGTCAGCAGAATTAATCTGTCACCTAATCATGTTGAAAAAGGGCCCCCCTCCCGCGATAGGTAACCAGAAGATCACAACATACATAGCCATCTCGAGCACGTCGAGCATGGCACTTCAAATCAATTACGGCGAATACTTTGTTTGACTCGCCTGACTTTGCCGTCCCTTATGATTTTGCTGACGGGCGACCAAAATACCTACAGAACGTTTCCCATGCGGCCTGACAGTCCAAACTGGCGACTACTTGCTACTTACGATATAGACACAATTAATAACGGTCCAAATTCAAGGCTCGGGCTCATGCATGACCTTCCATGCCTCTTGCATCAATCTTGCAGCCTTTGCCTTCTTGTTCTGCTCCTTCATGGTTCTTAGCTTAACCTCAACAGAAGTGATTTCATTTTGAATGTTGTCGGATTCGGTCGTATCAACGGCGAATCTCTGCGTCTGTACCTTGGCCAAGTTGGACATCGCTTCCAGCTGTAGCATCCAGGCATCTTCCTCGACCTTACTTAAACAGATTGATCCTTCTTCGCCGAAAGGAATAAGGCCGATCTGCTCTGTCACTTGGTTTGCTCGCTGGAGGGTTTCGGATACAGGACCTAGAGTCTCAAATAGTCGGCGCCACTTCACTGCTTTGTCAGCTTGGGTTTGACGTTCATGTAGCAACTGTTCGGTTTCTTCGATGGCTGTACTCAAGTCAATACCACCATTCGAGCGGCTCCATCTGTCCATCTGTGCAAAGAGCAGCGTCGAGGTTAATGAATCATCAGTTGTATTAGGCTGTGAGAGGGTATCATTGACGTGAGTATTCTGTTTCGGAGTAGTCTGGCAGGAACTGGGGCTCCCAGTGTCTTCCCAAACGCGTTGGTAGAAATCAGTGTTAGAGGGACTCTTGAATCCAGAAGCAATAGAATCAGACTTGTTCAAATTCTTTGCAACCCGAGTAAACTTAGGTTGCTTGAAATCGACATCGGCCAGTTTGTCGGTCGAAGCAGATGAAGAAGCTGCGGAAGACTTTGGCGATGGGGTCCCGAAGCTGCCTTCCAGTGTCAAGGGCACGTCCGGTGAGGGGTGGACGATCGACTTATTTCGATTGTACCTGTTAGAACGAGGCGAGCATGGGTCAATTCCAGCTTTTTCTAGCCTCTCTAGAAAGTTGGATCGGATATTTCTCTCAGAGAAGGAATAAGGCATTGGTGAATCATTCAGCAGGTAGTTGAGAAATATGGCCACATACACGCCACAGCAAGCCCCATCTGACTGTTGCGGAACATCCTATGCGATCATTAGCCTATAACTGTCGAAGTTTTGGCCGGAGCAACCTACATAGGGACTGAATACGAAGGGAAGACTCTCACCAAGTTTCCTCGCCAGCGACGTCTTGATACGAATGTCTCGGTCATAGCTGTGCATTGAGTCATAATGACAAATGTCCCTCGCCTTCTTGTGGGGTGAGAGTTCGAGAAGGGACCAGTGATTAGTCTTTCCCTCTACATGATGTAGTGGTACATAAACAGTAGAGGTGGACTCCCAAACCCTATGCAGATCCACGGGGATGTGATCGTCGTCGAGATTCAACCATAACGGATCCATAACAGTAGCCTCGGGCGCATCGCTTGTTTGGCGGACGACCTTGAGACAAAAGGCCAGTACTTCATCCGTCAGAGAAGCCTTTAAATCTCGTAGCTGCGCTCTGGTCGCATCCCAGACCGCCTTATTGTGTTTCGAAAGCGTTTCGGCGTCTTGGTCTTTGTCTTCAGGCGAAGTGGGGTCGACGGTAAGGTCTATCACTGGTGAGTTGGCTAGTGGCGTACGCACGGCATCAACTACAAAGAACTAATGTTAGTATGTTCAACAAACTGACCAGGCCGTTACCACAGCATGGACGATGCCAGGCGTGAATTTGCCAAGCGATGCTCCGTCTTACCAGTATCTTCAAGCTCCAATGGACTTGGGGACGAAGGAGAGTGATACCTGATATTGCGACGCGGGGGCGGAGTTCCGGTGGTATCTGTCTCAGCCTTTTGATTTCGACTCTGTTCAGGCTCTAATGATGGAACTGGTGAGCCGTTTTCACGATGGGGTGTAGAATAGGGTTCAGGCGCGTCAGCGAAAGGCGGACCGAGATTGTAAGGCAAAGGTACAGTCGATGCTGGCGCGGAGACATCACCAGGCAAAGCGGCCATTCGCTTCCGAAAGAGATCTAGGGCAGCGGCAGCGGCTTCCTTGCTCAGGATACTTTTCCCAATACAGATGGTATCGAAAAGAGCACCGCCTCGCTGCCAGAGCGTTTGTAGTGGAATATCATGCTGCAACGCCAGATCCGTCAGGGTCTTCAGCGGTCGGATCGTGTTGTCGCTGGGCTTGTCACCCAAGGGGACACGTAAGAGATCGGGTCGAGACCAGTTGCGCCGACCCTCCCATTGTTCGTCAAGGTACTCGATATACCTGTCTCGCTTCGCAGTCCGAGTAGAATTGAAGTTTCTTGCCTTATTTACGCGAATAAGGGCCTTGAACTTGGGCTTTTGCTTCTCGATACCTGCGTATAACTGGTCTCTCTGATCCGCTGGGAAGTTCTTGATACCGTTCCTCACAATAGCCTTGTTGGTGACTGACTCCGTGGGGGATTGATCCAGCACCACGTCCAAAAGCTGTTTGACCTTGTATTATCAGTACGTCTCGAAGCAGGTCAAGGCTTCTTGATCAAGACGTACTTGAATTGTACCATTCCCTGGGCCAGCGTTGGCGCTTTGTGATTTGGGGTCGCCAGGAGGATCCATGTCGTATAGAGTTCGGCGTGTGGACGTGATGGGCGTTGGAGCGGGAGAGCATTCGTCAAGGGTATGTTTTGGCTTCTGGTAGAAACTTTGGTCGTGAAGGCGGATAGAGGAGGAGGTTCGGATCGGTAAGGTAAAAGCACGGCGGTTTTCCTCTTGTGGCATGAGCCACCAGCTTGCGCCTTCTTCTCGAGTATTGGGTCGAGCTATCTCAGCTGATCCTTCTCGGCATCGCAGGTGCTGCATCTGGGCAGCAAGGCAGGCATCAGGGAGAAAGGATTCAATGGCGTCAAGCGTATACGGGGATAACGAGGATAATAGCGACGTGGAAGGTTTGAAGACTGTTCTAGAGGATAAGAGTTAGGATGAGCATTGCTGCGATTGGGCGGGAACTTGCTAACCAGGAGGAGGAGCGCACGGTGTGATGTGATCGGTGCGTGGAGAACGACAAAGTCCAGGTTAGGGAAGGCGAGCCCAGGTCGCCAAAGAAGAACTCGAGACCGCAGAGAATACAAATGCATCAATTCTTCATCTAACAGCCAGACGCTCTCGCGGGAATGGCGATTCGGGCGGGGTGTCTTGCTTGGTTGCTTGGATGAAACGATCACGTGTGAGCTTGTACGACAAACAGTACGACGCGTCAGGCGCGACACTGGAGGAAGCTGCGAAGGAACAAAAATGCCAAGGAGAAAACTCCAAAGGCAAATTGATTCAACTCCTTGCTTTTTTCCATTTTGGTGAAGTCGATGAATCATCAGACACGAACAATTCGAAGAACCAACACGCTTTCCTCCCTTCTCATGAAGCGTGACTCAGGAATTTACATTTACCATGATCTGTCTCATACCGGTAAAATCAAGTCGTCCAATAACCAGCTTAGCGCCATACAGAGCTACTCGGAACAGCCCAGACCTTGCCACAGCAAGGCATGAAACCACACTCATTACCCTGGTCTTCTGCCGGCAACCGGCTCATTCCGATGAACTGATGGTGTAGTGTCGTTTCCCACAGCCTGGTAAATTTGTCTAGACTATGAATGTTCTGATCTTTGGTTGTTCACACCAATGCATATTCCCGTGACACTCATGCACGCTATCGTGTTTTCGCGTTTGACTCGTGGCGAGCATGGGCTTAGTGGATGGTTGTATGCAGGCGTATTCGGCGTTTTCTTGAAGCTGACATGTTACCCTGTATCACATACTCATGCCCGACCTTCACCTCGACTTGAAGTTTCTTCTTCCAGGTTGGGTATTACTCTCGCCGAATATCGTCATGGTATCGTCAAATTCCAATAGTGAAGTACTCTTGTCACTGCATACTAAGCCATAACCATCTTCAACTTTCGAGCCCAGGCAACGCTTACTTTTCAATGGCAGGAGGCAATGAGGAATCACCTTTTTCGGAATATGATATGACACACGTGAGATGAAAAAGATTAAACGTCGTATCAACCCACCACGACAGTTCAGCCTCTAAACCATCCTTTCTCTTGGCCAGCTATATGATCGGCTGTAACGGCAATCCCCAATCCCGCTGACCATTTCCCATAAGCCTGATCTAAGCATAGATCCAAGGGTCTAGTCTACCGTCTTTAGCCCCCTGGCAAAATGCAAAAGAGAATGGGGAGATGGGGTCCGGGGTTAAAGGCAGCACGTGTGCGGGATTGCGGGTCGCCACCCCTCGGTTTCCCGGCCCGCCGAATCTCACGGCTCTAAAATGTCTGGCCTTTTCCTCAAACAGCACTTGCCCCTACACCCTTCCTCGGGGTAATAGGCTAGGATGTTTAGCCTATATGGATTTAAGTTACTGGGGTAATTGTTGGTGCCCGGTTAATAGGCTAATTTGTATACCTTGACAGAATCACTTTATATTTAAGAGATCGACTTGGCGCTCCGACTTGGCGCCCAGTGTTTTGTTTCTCCATCGCATCAAACACCCTTGCACTGCACTCTTTTCCCACAAATTCAGTGCCACTTTTTCCCACGATGCCTTTCGCTGTTGGTGCTTCGGTTACCAAGCAGGACCTTGCGGTCGCTCAGGCTGAGGCGCCTGCGCTTGCCAAGGTCAAATGGTGGGCCGACCCTGGAATGCGCGTGCTGTACTTTTACGCCGCGATTCTTTGTGTTTGCTCTGCTACCACCGGTTACGATGGGTAAGAATTGAGAGACTGGAAGATTGATAGCAAAGATGAGACTAATGGGATACTTACAGTTCCATGTTGAACACTTCCCAGGCCATGGACGACTGGCAGGATTACTTTGGTCACCCCACTGGATCCAAGCTCGGTATTCTCAACTCTATCTACCAGATTGGTAGTATTGCCAGTTTCCCATTCGCGCCTTACATGGCCGATCATTTCGGCCGAAAGATTCCCATCGCTGTGGGATGTCTCATCATGATTCTCGGAGCTTTCCTCTCCGCTTTCACTGACGGCTACGGCAGTATGTATATCCCCGCATGTTCTGCAGCAAAAACTGACCCTTGACAGTGTACCTTGGCGGTCGATTCCTTGTCGGTTTCGGAAACTCCTTGGCACAGCTTTCTTGCCCCGTCCTCCTTACCGAGATCTGCCATCCTCAGCATCGAGCCATCGTCTCGGCTATCTACAACTGTTTGTGGAACCTGGGTGCCACCCGTAAGTCTCCACCCCCGGGAATCAAGCTCCACCGGTTACTAACCTGCATCTTCTAGTCTGCGCTTTCATCGGTCTTGGCACGATCAACATTAACAGCAACTGGTCATGGCGATCCATTACCGTCATTCAAGCTGTCCCATCCCTGATCCAGATCAGCTTCATCTGGTGGATCCCCGAATCTCCCCGTTGGCTCATGGCCAACGAGCGTCACGAAGAGGCCCTCGACATTCTTGCCAAGTACCACGCGAACGGCGACAAGAACAACCAGACCGTGCAGTTCGAGTACAAGGAGATCAAGGACACCATTGCCCTTGAGTACCAGGCTCAGAAGACCGGTAGCTACCTCGATTTCATCCGAACCCGCGGTAACCGTTACCGTCTCATGCTCTTGATCTCTCTGGGTATCATCTCGCAGTACTCCGGTAATGCTCTGATCAGCAACTACTCCAACATTATCTACACGGGTGCTGGTATCACCGATCAGGCCGCCAAGACAGGATTGAACGCTGGAGAGAACATGCTCAAGCTTTTCGTTGCTATTGGTTGCTCCATGGGAATTGATAAATTCGGTCGTCGACCACTCTTCCTGACTGCCACTGTCGGTAAGTAAATCCTCCTCTCTCCGGTATTCCCTTGTCTAACTCTGCGTGCTCAGGTATGCTTATTTTCTTCCTCATCTGGACCATCGTCGCCGCTCGATTCGAAGCCACCGGTGAAGTCGAAATCAAGAAGCTTGGATACCCTCAGATTGCCCTCATCTGGCTCTTCGACGTCTGTTACTCTATCGCTTGGTCCGGTCTGATCGTTGCCTATGCACTGGAAATCTGCCCCTTCAGACTCCGTGCTCGAGGTCTCATGATCATGAACTTCTTCATCCAGGTTGCTCTTACCATCGGCAACCAGACCAACCCTATCGCTCTCGAGAACCTTCCCAACAACTGGAACTTCTGGTGCTTCTACACTGTAAGTAGCATTCCTTACTCACATCACATATTCAATATGCTGATAAATAAACAGGTCTGGATCGCTGTCGAGCTCGTCTTCGTCTTCTTCTTCTACGTCGAAACCAAGGGTCCCACTCTTGAGGAGATCGCCAGAATCTTCGATGGTGACGATGCCAACGTTGCCAATGTCCAGCTTGAGGACACTGAGAAGCAGGCTGACATCGAGCACGTCCATGATAATACTCAGCGCAAGGAACTTTGAGATATTGGTTTAAGAATTTAATCATGACTTGTATTAGTTAGAGATACTCCCAAATTTGCCTTATCATACAGTATATAGATCTAAAGATCATAATTTGTCAAAGGATTTCATGACTTATACTCTGTGACGCAACGTGAACACCGACACTTCAGTAATCGCATGACTTCATGCCCTGTCATAACATCTTGGCATAAGGATCAACACTCTTCCGTGCAGGGACCCCAGACAATAATTGGGTACCAACAACAAACAAACAAAAGGAAGAAATGCCGCACACTTTTTCACTTCTTCTTTCTTCATCTTTCCCATATGCAGGATAGTTTTTTTGGGAATGATCGTTACCAATATGTGACGTTCCCCCAATGTATCATGATATCTGACCCCAGCGGTTTCGCACTAACCTTCAGCAACCTGTTGCTCGGGCATCATCTCGAGGTAAGCGATCTTTCTTTCCTCTACCCATTTCCTCTGTGTCTATGATGAGATTGAAACATATACTTCCATGGCTATGATCACAATGATTCAAGCTGTTTCCGACGTTACACCAAACTGAGACACCCATATCGCACACTTTCAGTGAAAGCAGGCAATATTTTGATCATTTTTCTGACTCGCATTCACAGGATTGGACGCGTCAAAAACGCGCGATGTCAATATTCAACACGTTTAGTCAAAGCAAACAATCATATACAAACATATATCCACTATGTCTTTGTTTCACGTGGTATCCGTTGTTGCTGGCTGCATAAACTAAAGTGGTATTCAAGGAGACTGTCATGAGATGTTCATGTCTCAAATGTAACACCAAATAGTTTCTCATAGTCGAGCTCGACATCGTTTAGCAGAGAATCCCAGTCAAACATTCTAGTATCAGGCACGTTTGCCAAAAAGTCTGTCCAGAGCTGGTGCGAATAGTCTGCAGACATGGCAAAGTCCTCCACAAGTGCCGGTGCCTGCCAAGGCTCTGGTACTGTAGACTTCCTTAAATAATCATTCCCCTCAAGATTACTTATGACTCTTCTCATGTTCTTCTCAATTCCCTTTACCAGGATTGATGTATCGCTTCTTGACTGTTGAAGGGTCTGGTAGGCCTTCATGGCGCTCTGCCTCGATATTTCAGCTCCTGATTTATCTGGGTTCAGGGACGCGTCGAATGCGAGTGTCACGGCAGCCGTTGTGACATGCTGTAAAATAGCCCAGTACCGCTCAGCTTTGAAGGTAGATCTTGTCTGGGGATCGTCCATCATACGTCGAAGCTCGAGGACTTTATGCGCTGACGCGAGGCTCGTGACGCGCGAGTAGAAAAATTCCTTGTGTGCATATGACTCGATCTGGTATGGTCGATTCAGTCGGCAGATACGCGCGTGAAGACCGAGATGGAGGCTTATTCTTTGCCAGTGGATGTACGGCCTTTGTCTCCAGATCTCTCTGGTACGGGCCTCCTCACTCGGGTTGAGTTTGAGATAGTCTGGTAGGCTGTGGCTGTAATTTTGCAGTTTTTCACTGAGGGTGTATATCAGATTGTAGTCTTGTTCGATAATGTCCTCGGTCATGGAAGGTAAAGCGTCGATGATCTCACGGCAGATCTCGGCCAGTCGTATCCTCTGCAGAAGAAAGGCCGTCTCTGTGATCGTATAGGCTGGGGGTCGATATAATAAGTTCATACCTCCTGATGTGATGTCATCCGCATGGTCTGGTTTCTTGATGTTCATGAACTTTGGCATGATCGTGTAGACACCTTCTTGAGAGCTTCCGGAGAAGGCGGTCAACCTGATATGGTCAGTAAGAATTGTCAGAGTTCATCCGTGCTTTTCGTACCAATCAGTAGCGACTAGGTGCCACCATACACGCCGTTGGACCTCAAGGTCGATAAAGTTAGGACTAACATTAGTATCAGCCTTGTTCCTCTGCTCTTGCTCTGCCGGAGCGTCAAGGCGATGAATCATCATAGCTCGACACATGTAATAACAACGACTGCGAAGTGTAAGGGCCTTGATCGGGAAGACGTCATCGGAATTGATGGCAACATGAGATAGATTAACAAGAGCTGCGACAGCTGTGACAGTCTGCGGTAACGGCTTTCGGGAGTCATCCGCCATAGCCATTGCGAGATGGAAGTACTTGTCAAAGTCAGATGTTACTTCTCCCTTCGTTGCCTCCACCTTGACCAGAAGCTCATCCGTCCATGACATGCATGCCCCTGCGAAGATGCTGAAGAACAATAGTAGCTCATCGGTTTGGGGAGTTTTTCGGTTGTTGGCAATGAGGCTATACATGTTGTTGAGGTGGCATTTTGTGGATGCTAGGTGGAGGACACACAGCGTGGAATGTAGAGTCACTGCAAAGTGATCAAAGAGGAGATTCGCTTTGGCAAGCGGCGGAAGTTGGGAGACCAGGTATTCGTGGCTGTTGAGGGATGCTGCAGCATGAGCAGGTGCAGGTGCAGGTTGAGCGGGCGCCGTTTGAACAGATGTGGCTGACGGAGGCACATCATGAGGAAGATCTTGGGCTACCGTTTCGGGCTGTATCGACTCCGTCTGTACCGGAAACATAGTATCCTCCAGCCTCTTGAGCCTTTCGAATATTTCCTTGTTTCTGGAAAATCTCAATCAGTATCAAGGCATACATGAACTGGACAGAAGAGCCTTACATGGTGACCTGCTCGGCAGGAATCGACGATACAACATCATCAACCTGTGTAGAACTAGATCTATCTTCAAGCGCTGAGGGGTTGGTGTTTTCGGGGTCTCGTCTTTGATAGGCACACTCGAGTTTTCGCTGAGCACAGTTCGAACAGGGATTATTGCGGTCGCAGCGACGCTTCATTTTCCGACATTCGCTGCAAGACACGGGCTGTCGGACCGCCCGGCAGGTCGGCATAATGGCCTCTCCTGAGCGATGGCGTTTCATTCTTGTGGCGGGCTTTCTCGCAACGATCGATGGGATGGAAGAGACGCGTTGTGGACATGAAGGGAACGGAGATGTCAAAGGGAAGCCGCGGATCCGCGGAGCAGTCTTGCCAGATTCGGTTAGGCGCCAAAGCCTTCCTTCCCGCGGGTTCTACTATACGAGTATTTATAGAATTGGAAGGAAGGCACGATTGAGTAAACAGTGGAAGAATCATCGAGCTGATGATAATTGCTTATCGAATTAGGTAATCTAAACAAATATGCTATTGTCATTATAAATTTCCATATCGCTCCTCGCCGAATTCAGTTGTTCCTTCCTTCTCTAATTTTCCCTGTCGAACTGTTAGTCTCCAGATTTCCAAACCGAGCCATGAGTGCAAACAAAACTTACAAGACGGCCAATTCGAGATCACCTTGAATCTTGGCTTTGAGTTGCAACTCCATATCGAGATCCATATCTAACCTCACACGAGGTGCACTGCTCTTTTTCTTCTTCTGAGGTTGCTGACCAGCTGGTTGCACGGGCTGTGTTTGCTGTGCGTTACTCGACTGGTTGAGTTGATTGGTGTTTGAGCTTGTCATTTGCTTTGATTCATTGTCGCTTGAAGAATCGGATTGTTCGTCGACTGAAGATGATCGAGCGTGTTGGGCTGTCTTGCTTGGAGCCATTGTGAATGTTTGTTGCTTATGAGATCTTGTGCTGATGAGATTTTATTTGGTGTATTTATCACGGCAGGTGGTTGAATAAGCTTAGAGATAGATATATCAGCAATAGAAATAAAACAAGATCAAATTTAAATAAATTGATCTGCTTGGAGTGACGCATTATGAACATTGGATGTGGCGATAGACAGGGGTCGGCAGCTACGTCGGGTATGACGCCAATGCCCCATAATCTATCAAGGAATCTGATGGCACGTGACGTCCATACACGTCAATCTCACCCCATCAAGTCAGACTGAATATCATTTCTTTCTAGATCTTCAGCTCATAGAATCGCCGAGAAGAAAGTCCATCTCCGAAACAACGATCCAAACTTGGTGGATATAGCTCCCCACCTCCACACAAAACACACCACGCCGTCTGGGTGTTAGCGGCCCCCAGAGTGTCATAAAAATTGGCCCTCAAGGGCATAAGAGACGAAATAATTCGATCACCTTATGCCAGCTTAGGCTAGCATCTAGGCTACTTTATTTCTGTAGCCGAAGTTTTGGAGGATATTTCTTTTGACACCCACCTGGCAGTGAATTTATCTGTTCCCCACCTAATATCCCATCATGGCTCCTCCGACTCTGGATACCTTGCCGCCTGAGATTTTCCTGTCTATTCGCGACCAGCTTCCTCATGAAGACATCAAGTCCTTGAGTGTGGTCAACAAAAAAATCCACACCCAGCTGGTACCTCACCTTGTGGCGTTGATTTGAACTGTACCACTTGAAAACTGACACTTGAACTCAAATAGGTATCCCACCTTTTTCGATACGTTAGAGTCAACTGCCCCCTATCCCGAGACGACGGCAGTGGTCTCTCATCGGTAATCGACAAGTACGGCACGAACGTTCTCGGTGTATGCTTATACGTTGTGTTTCACCCGAACCCTCCAAACTCAGATCTCGAGGGCAGCAAGGTTGATTCCAATGGTGAGAAAGAGAAATGGTACTGGGGTAATTACCCGGCTTCAGTTTGGGCTCGAGATGCTTCCGACATCTCTATCATGCACGACCTGATACAGTTTAAGCGAATGCCGAAATGCACCTCGCTAGGCATCCGCACAGATGGAGAAGAAGAATTTGAGATCGACGGGGGCTGGGATGAGAATGATCTCAGTGATATAAGTATCTACTTCTGTACCGAAGTAGAAAGCTGGGAAAGGGTCAAGGAAAAAGAGAAGATGTATGCTTGGAGAAAGGCATGGAATGAGCTCTGGCGCGATGTGGCGACATACTCAAAGGCAGAGCGTCTTGATTTGTTTCATTTTCTACCGATTAAGGCCTCATGCTGGTTGGAGCCAGAATGGGCAGCCTTTGTGGGAAGGTTGAAGGAACTAAACGTCCGAGCCTACGGTAAGTCTCACAGCTCCCCAGAACAGCTTGCTAGGTCAAGATATACAGCTAACAATCTATAGGTCAGGATAACGGAGCTGGGTGGGCGGCCAACACACTGGAAGGTTACAACGACTTCTTCAACGATATGCCCGAATTTCTTTTCCAACATGCTACCAATCTTGAGCACCTTTACATAGCTGGCCACGGGGACGGACATCTCGGCGATAGCGCTCTGCGCTTTGAGCCCGACACTATGACGCAGCTCAAATCGCTCCTCTTAGAGACTATGAGTATCACAGAAAGTCTTTCAGTCTTTCTGAACGGAAGCACACCAAACCTCGAAAGCTTGCGTCTTGAGAACGTTGGTGCTTGGGGTCACGTGGGCGATACACCTACCTGGGCAGACTTTTGGAAAGCTGTTCGCGAAGGGAATCCGTCCTTGAAGGAGGTAACTTTCCACTATCCTAAAAGCGTCCCGTTGACTGTGGAGGAGGTAATGAATGGGAAAGACTCAGTTTCGAAGACGGATACCGAAGAGGAGGCTCAGGTACGGAAGAAGGCACAAGACGATGACAGCCTTATCATTTGGCCTTACATCATATCAGACGATAAGTACGGCAACGTTTTTGAAATGGAAGAAGAAAATCGGGAGGCCTTGGAGAAGGGTGATGATAATAGAGAGTACAGGTTATTGATGGAGGAGATCAAAAAGCGACAGTAGCAGGTGGGTAACAGGCGGAATATTCTCCAAGGCTTAGATAATTCAGATAAAGTAACCTAAAACCTGGTCAAGCACGCATAAGATGATCAAATTATTTCGTCTCTTATGCTCTCGGTGGTCAAATCTTCTGGCACCCTGACGAGCAGAACATTACAACTTTCCAATAGAGCTAGATACAACTAAAGAGATATTCCGATCAAGGTCGATCGAAGCCTCCAGCCCCAGGCCCCTCCTTCGCAAGATGGTGAAATGTGAAACTTCCTACAAAAATACCAGAATCGAGATACTTCTTCGCCCATTCCTTGACATGTTCTGAGCTAGTATGCGCTGCATAAGCATCTCGACTTGTAAATCTGGACCACAAATTAGTATTGACACGTTGTTATTGGCTTGAATTCTTACTTTTCCATGCAGACAAACTCGTCTTTGCCTTCGGTCTTGTAGAATCTGTATATCTTGGCGCCTGGTTCTTTTAAAGTTGCTTCGGCGACTTCAGTTAGGCATGCATGGGCCTGTTGATGTTAATGATGATGAGAGTAATGAGTAGAGTAGGTTTAATACCTCATCAATCCTGTCCGGATTTACCGCGATGGTAGAGACTGAGAAATACTCTTGCGGAGGTTCAAAGTCGCGGTTGGCCATGTCTATCAGTCCCTTGTTGGCAGGGCACATGTTGGATGATATTGCGACGGAAAGACCAGTAGTTGTAGATCCCCTTTGTCTGGTATTGGCAGTTTGAAGGTTTTTAGTTTGTCTTGTTGAAGTTCCTTGTTTTCAGTTGTGTCGTTGGGCGTAAGATCTAGGATGGAGCGGCACGGAGTGCTCGGATAACGTATTGCTTACTGTATGTACCTTGTTGGCGCAGCAGATCGCGGGGCTACGATGGGGTTAACAAACTGCCGTATGATTCATGTGAGACATGGATATGTATCTCTCGTAAGCTCGCACGAATCTAGCCTAAATTCGGGGCTACAGAGTTGCTTTTGCTTACACCGCTGTGGTCTTTCCCATTACGCTATTCGCTCAACAAATGCAGGATTCTGAAGGATTGTTGCTGTGTTCATAGATTGTTGGTCATTATTCGTGTACTCAATTAACCATTATGCAATAATTATGCTAATTATACTCTTCTTCCTCGGTCGCTTCGCTCAAAGTCAAATTCAAATCCCTCTGGTCGCCCTTCCAGACAGGCTGCTCCCCCGTCATCTCCACCTCTTGCCCGCGCGGTTCATTCTGAGCCGTCAACCGCTGGAACTCGCCCGCTAAAGCTTCCATACCAATATCACCCATATCCTCGCTCACAGAATCCAGACTGATGGGGTAAAGACTGCTGTAAGCGCCGCCGTCCTTCACTAAAGCCTTCGTTGCAGAGCGGATGTCTTCTATCATGCTGTTCTCAGCCCAGCCGTGACGTTTAAAAGTGCCATTTTGCCATCCTATGGTCATTAGGCCTTCTGTTATGCCGCGGAGACCTTTGCACCATGATGCTATTGACAAACAACCGCGTGCGGAGAGTATGAACCAGAATTGGGCGTCGGATGCGTCGGGATTGCGGAAGACTTCGTTTACTAGGGTGAGCAAGCCCGGGGTTATGAACATTGTCAAGTTTGTTGATTCGAACCTTGTTCGATAGACGTACATAAGCCTTTTAAGTTGTTGGACGGATGCTGTGTGTGCGGCGTTGGCGTTAGAGTTTCGGGATGCGTATTCGTCTTGGTAGTTTTCTAAGAATGGGCGCCATATGTCTATAATCGCTGTGTGATACCAAATACTGCAGAGTGTCAGCAAAGTCCCAACGTAGTCGAGTCCTATACTCACTGTAGTACTAAAACATGGTGTGGACAGTCATTGCTCCTCTTGACATCGTCTGGCAAGGCAGCTGCCCAGTCAAGCAGCAATTGATACATCTGATGTGCATGAGACATTGGCAAGCGACTGAAGCTATTAAAGCCTTCACCGAATATCTTGTGAGTTATTAACCAGAACTTGGATATCCATGTGAAGGTGCTTCCCATCTGATCATTCAGAGGCGGTCCAAATATATCTCCAGGTATGGGTAATGATGGCGGATGGTTTATTCGATGCTTGGCGCGGAAGTTGACGGAGTGAAGGCTAAGTTGGTTAGTATGAGATTGTTGATTGTCTAGAAACCTGCTCACCTATGCCAACCGAAAGAGCCCCAAGCGGCATATGATGCTGCAGACTTTAGCTCCTCGTCACCATCTATACCAGGCATCGTTACATCTTTATCACCAAACAGGCCAAGTCGTCGACCGATCTCAGCACTTGCATCGAGATAAAGGAGTCCGACACGATCCTGTCCATGCTGATTGCAGGTCAAGGTTAGAAACATCGCAGAGGTTAGAGTAGTAACACTGTTATAATCTTGTAGGTCCCGCCATCGCGCTTTTGCCTCTCTTAAAAAAGCAACGGATAGCGGATCTGCCCTTGGTTCGAACTGTGAATAAGAGGCCTGGATCTCATCAGCCAAGGTCCGAACCAAGGGGACTGAGTATAATAACTTACGCAGGACCAAGCAAGTAAAGAACTGACAAGAAGATGCGAGCAGAAACGACCCCCACCTGATACCAAATCTCTAATAAATAAATCGGCGTCGAAGAACGCAAGCAAAGGATGCTCATTAGCGAGATAGAAAGAAACGGCTTTCTCAGCTAGAGCGTCCGGGATGGGAACTGAAGTCCACTGCCATATTTGAAGACCTTCCAATCGGTGATCGATCTGCTGTTGTGGTGATTCTCCGGTGGTGTCACTCGGCGTCGAAAAGGATTCAGAAGACGTCGGTGTCGCGGACCTTCGGCTCGAAAGGTCTATAGGGGAGGAGGACGAGCCTGACGCTGGCGCCGACGACGGCGCCGTCAACAGCTTCGACTTGCGCTTGTCAAGAGCCAGCAGCCCGAGGTCTACATCCGCAATTTCGAGGGGTTCTAGGGATGGAAACGCGTTTGAGTAGCGCATATTGAGATCCATCTCCATCGGAGAGCTGGCCGAACTCCCCGCGAGACTAGTAACCAGCGAATTCGCTGGTGATGAGCCCACCGAGCCCGAATCGACAGACTGAAGAAATTCAGAGACGGAGCCTCTGCTGCGAAGGTCTTGCAGCATGGCAGCCACGCTGTCTTCTGGCGCAGTCCTCAACAGCTCCAGCGCCTCGAACAGATCCTTGGAGCCCTTGCGCAACTCGAGCATCTTCTCCTGCGTAACCTCGGCGCGATATATACATTGTTGCCGCCGACTCGCACATGCTGAGCATGTGGGCTTACGACCGTCACACTACAAGAGACTATGTTACCTCAAGATATACTAGAGACAGAATACGGAGCATAAAAGAAATCAAAAAACAAACTAGACATAGACTAGGGTTGAACAAACCTTTGATTTCCTGGAGCGGCAGTTGTTGCACGCAACAGATGTCAAGGCTGCCCTGGGAAGGTCGGAAACATCGAGTGGCGAATACTGATGCTGCTGGGGCGACTCATGGTCGCCTTTGAGGGACTTCCGGGGTAGCAGCTGTCTATTAGTCTTTTGGTGTTCCTTTGCTCGAGTAGGTTTGTTTGGGATGTTGTTGTTCATGGGAGGATGATGATATATGGCGACAAGGACAAGGACAAAACGAGGGTGATGAGCTGAGTGCAGTTAAAGACTTTGCTTGTATGTGAGGGGCAAGGGACGGTAAGGAGATTTTGCTTGGTAACATGCCAGTCTCCAAGAGGAAAGGATAGACAATAAATTTTCGGCAGATCACAGATCGAGGCTGTCGGTGACTTGACTGGGGGATTGAGTCAGGAGAGTTGTCTCGTTGGGGTTACCGTATGTGTGTCGAATCGAATGCTGAGAGTGGGCTGAGATGACTGGTCTTTTTTTCTCTCCTTCCCTCATGCTCAGCCAAGGGGATGAAGCAAAAACCCCTCCTTCGCATTTGCTCCGGATGCATGTGATTGGTTCGATCACATGCACTATGGATATGTCCATAAGTTCATTAGTGCATATTGTATTTTATGCATGATACCTATTACAGCAATATTTTGAGAGACATCCAACGGATTCGTCGGCAAGAATCTTACGTCACAGTTCTACCATAGAAGTTGATGCGATTATTGAAAGTCAGATATCAAGGCCTGGATGGAGGTTTCTCCAGATTTGAGATCTTGGATAATTCTCACCTTGCAGTTATGCTAGTTCAGCTCTGGAATAGTTCTGTGATAAGGCTGCAACTCATCTCCACTGAAGTGACCATGTAAGGCACTGTAATTGGGCACATTACGATCTCATCTGTGCACAATACCGCTATGAGGCTTGCGGTCACCGGCACTTCTTTCAACTTCTTTGTCACGCGACGATATTTCTTTTAGAATGATACATCTTTTATTGCACTACCAATTTCATTGTTCAAGGAGACAAATTTTATCCCAAACATTTAGGCTTGGGACGGCCATCAAAGTAGTCCCGTCTGTTGCGGCAAGTGGAAACTCCCAACTCTGCAATCGACGATCCTTCGCTTATCAACGGCTCATGGCCTCTCGCATCAAAACCTTGTTGATGTGTCTATTCTGTTCCTCCACAGTCTTTGGTTTCTTCGCCTTACGAGTCGTCGTCTTGATTTTGGCTTCGTGCTCACTGTGGTAGGAATTGTAGTCGCTGTACTCAGTAGGCACATTACGCTTCTCTTTCCTCTCGCAAGCACGAGATCTAGCCGGTTGAAGTTCCTCAGAGGTTTTATCTTTAGAAGAGGAAGAAGATGACGATGATGATGAGGACGAAGAACTGTCAATCTCTCGTTGACGCTGGTAGAAAAGCACAGCCATCTTGTCTTCAATATCGCCCAACATCGTTTTGAGTACCTCGTACTTTGTCATCAGCTCTCCGAGTTCAGATTCAAAAGATTTTCCAGTTAAAGGAGCTGGATGAGGCAAGCTCGAAATTGCAAGACCAACATCGGAAATCCAATCTTGAATTGAGTCGGACTGCTCCGTGGAAGACTCAACAAAGCGGACCGTGTGCCCGCGGGTATCTTTCTGGCGTTCGGAAGGCATTTTGATTCTTATGCTTCTCTTTTTAGTGTAGGTGTGATTTGGGTCGTTGAAGTTGTGTTAGCAAATGGTGAGTTATTGAGAGCATAGTTCTTGGGAAAGGGGAACGAGCGAGACATTAAATGCCCCGGTGGCTTCTTGACCTTCAAAGAGCAAGACTTCATTCACTTGTTCAATTCGTCAACGGGAGTGCAAGAGTATAACACAGCTGTGTTCAAGCCGCAACAAAGACTGTGTTCCTTTGTTTAGTTATTGTTACTGTTAAGTTAAACACAGCGAGCAAACAGCCAAAGAAGAGATGAAGAAAATCTTTCAATTCTTTCTGTTCATTCTGTGAACGTAGTAACAGACACTTTTTCGTCCATGTCGTTCCATGTACAGAGGGATCTGGTTCGTACTACTGGCAGAAATCTTCAACAGCACTAGCTTGGGTGAGATGGCCGAGTTGGTTATGGCGCCAGGTTAAGGTTAACCTTAACACCAATTTCCTGGTGGAGCAATCCTCCTGGGTTCGAGTCCCAGTCTCATCAAAGAGTTGTTTTTTTGCTGGCATGTACTTTGGTCATTGACTGTAATTGTTTCTGGTATTTGCATTTTTGCTACACATGTGGAGGGTAGGCGAAAATGTCCGACTGGATCATGCACCCATCATGGCTCCAACCAGTGCTCATTTCAAAGACTTGGGGGTATCAAGACGTATATTCTATCATATCTATTCTATGCTTCTAAATCATAATCCACGCAAGAACTCCAACAAAAACAACCAAAGGCGAACTATGTAATCCAAACCTCGCAGCCAACGACGAAGGTCGTGCCGAAGGCGAAGGCGTAGTAGTACTAGCATCACTCAAATAAGTCTTCTGATTCGGCGTCGCCTCATACTCATCCTCATTGTACGTAGAATTCAACGAGATTCGTCCCACCACCTCCTTCGACTCAAGACGAATATGCGAATCGATTTCGTAGTTCTTCAGACCTTCTTGAGAAACCACGATTTGTCGTCCACCGCGGATCCAGTCGCCGTAGCCTCCGTACCCGGTATGTTGGCCGTAGCACAGGTTGATGCCGTTTCCTTCGAGTTCCATGTCGCCGGCTTTAGAATCCCACTTGTAACACCAGGAATTGGCGTGGTCGTGGCCGGAGAAGAGACCGATGACGCCGGGTGTTGAGATTAGGGCTTGCATCAGGGGCATGTCTTGGTCCCCGTAAGAGCAGCCTCCTTTCTCGTCAGCGCACCAGCCCTCGCCTTGCTGGATCACTGTTTCGTCATTGATTCCAGGTTGCTTGTTCTTGTGAATTCCAGCGTCTTTTTGGAGCTGGAGCGAAGCATAGACTGGGATGTGCGTGAACGCTAGCGAGGGAATTTCCTTGCCGTATTCCTCGACGAGATCGGCATTGGTTTCGTTGAACCATTCCACCACCTTCTTATCAACCCAATTAGGTTGAGCACTACTTTGATAGTAAAAGCCACCGCGACTATCAAAGAACCAAAGGATAAGTTCTGGGGTGCAGTTTGAGCTACAATTCGATCCGTACACGGGTAGGTAGTAATTTGTCACTCCTGCATCAGTTCCAGGGACCATGGAATCTGTTCTTGATCCAGGCCACATGTGTTCGCGCGCCATCATGCCTGTACCATTGATGTTGCGATTATGATCATGGTTACCATATGTCGAAGCCCATGTCAAGTTTCGATCGACCATCGGGGCGACGATTTGATCGATGTAGTGTGTGCTGTTGTGGGAATATGTGGATTCGCCGTTGATCAGATCACCGTTTAGAACGACGAGATCTGGAGATTCGGCGTCGAGGACGTCGGACATGACTTGGACGGACTTGGCGTCTTTCTCTGGTCCTATTGAAGATGCATCTAGATCTTGTTAGTAATTGTGCGCCGGATGTTGGAGAAGCCATGACAAACCTTGTGCGAAATGAAGATCTGAGAAAACGCATATTTGGAACGTTCCGTCTTGGTTGAATCGTAGAGGATCGAGGTTACTGTTGTCGACATCTTGGGCAGCAGCATGTAGTCTTTGTCCAGCAAGGACTGTGAGAGCAAGCGATCGCAACATGGTTGTAAAGAGATACAGATGGCTCAGATGGGCAAGAGGTATCGTGACTTTGGGACAATGGTGTAGTTAATAAATTCCCCGACACCTACGTCAACGGCTGACCCCTTATTTAGGAACCATGATAGCTTTTTAAACAAATCAATGCCAATCAGACTATGACGCGTTGAAAACATGGCCAAGCAGCTGGTGGGACAGTCGGTTTCGGGCGCCGAAATGCCCCGGTAGACAAATTACGCGGTCAGACGCACATGATTCGTTGTTTCTTGTCCATCTTGAGGCTTGGGAAACCTAAACTCTAACCTTAGATCCCCTTGGCTCTTGGCACTACCAATTGCGCCAATGATTAGCTTCAATTAGCTCCCTTGGCATTATTGGAAACTTGGAGCTGTTACAGCTTTGCACGGATTTATTGAGTGATGACCTTCCATAAGTCCGATTCCCCTCATGATGGCGATGATCTTGTACATATTTGTGGATTGTATATCCGCTTTCACTGCACGTGGGTCGTTTACTCCAACTGTGATACCGCTGTAAAGTGGTTCTACGGGCGTCGACCGACGAGGGGATCCGGGGTCTCCAGAAGTTTATTGAGGGCTCTAATCTCGACGTTTCATTTAATTTTAATTGTCATAATTCTTTACTCGTATTCCATCTCAGTTTATTTGTCCATTGCCGACTCTTAGACCCGTGCCGAAGCATCCGAAGCTGAGTCAGGTCATTGTCGATAAAATATCAGCAAGCTGCATGAAGAGAATCAATGACGCCAAATGCCAAGACTTGGCTTCCATTGACTTATCAATCATCCCACCACAACCCGAAATCGCTAACCGACGCTCAGACTATTCGCCGCGTCACTCTTGATCTCCAATCAAAGACGTCATGATGCGAACCAATAGCGACCACGAAATGAGAGTTATTGAGGGGTTGAACGATTATCCGCTCTCAGTAGCCGTACTCTGTACTGACATGGAGAACCTGGTCTTGGCGTGCTGGGATGCACCAACATTTCGCCGAGCTTGATGGCGAAGTCGGAGAGGGTTGCGATATCCACTAATGAGGGAACTGTTGAGGAGAATGAGGGGGCTATGCAATTGAAGCCGATATATCTAGACTAGACTCGCGATAGCATGTCACTGAGGCAAAAGACGAGGCTATGTGACGTCTATGCTCCAATCAAATCTGGTGTAGTGACTCGAACAAATACGAGGTCGAATGAGATTCATTGTATCTTACCTATCATAAGTAGACTTAGTTGCGAAGGTTTTCGGCATCAGACCTCCAAGACGCAGAGGCCAGATGATATCACCGCATGACCAAATATGAGTACGCGCAAAAAGACGTCGAGCGACACGCAAAGTCAAGACTGAGCATCGGATTGTAAGCAGGTGCATGGCACAAAGTCTGGAAACGCTAATCGAGATGATGAATACTTGGCAGGCTCCAGAAAACCAGATTAAAATTATAGTATGCACCAGGCATCCCCAGCCGGCACAAAGGGTATCGCCAAAATGTATACAAGAATATTATCCTCCCTTAAGCACCACCCTCCTCAACATCAAAGGGGAACAACCAACCGTTCTCCTCATTATGCTCATCCTCAAATGTCGTTCCGTGAAGAGTCTCATAACGCTCCATATCGAACTCATCGTCACCAGCATCCCCGTTAATGATCTTTCCAAGACGGTAGCCAATGTACCGACCTTCCGTCCAAGCACCGTGCAGGAAACCGAACATCTCAGCCGAGTTAGCTTCACCGGCGAACCACAGGCGCTCGACGTTGGCGCGCATGTTTTGATGCTTCTCTAGGGTCATGCCGACGGGCCAGTTGCTGTACGATCCGTATGCCCAGCTATAAATGTTAGTTTTGATTCAGAAATTCATATTGGTGGGTGACTTACGTCTCGGTGCTCCACCGAGGGTATGCAAAAGCCGTAGGGTTAGGAACAGTCTTGTTGGGAAACATAGTCTGCAGAACCTCAACCATCTGCTCCATAGTCTCCTCATCAGTCTGTCGCTCCACGCGCCAAGCCTGCTCGCCAGTAACCGTGCCAAACAAAATGTTGGAACCCTCAGCAAAACCCTTAGCGTTCAGCGACTGGAAAAGAGGGTAGCGACCGCGCTCGAGAGGATCGGCGTAGAGAAGAAATTGCGTCTCGTCGTCCCAGAAGGATTCGTTGAATTGCATGAAGATCTTGGTGTAGGTGCCCATGGCGAATTGATCGATGGCGCTTTGCTTCCAGTCTGGAAGAGCGGGCTTGAATTCAACGACATCGTGCTGCAGAACACCGACGGAGAAAGTGCAGATTGCGTAGTCGGCTTGGATGCAGTCGCCGTCCTTGGTGGTCACCTTTACACCGTCCTTGTTGTACTCAACACCCTCAACGGTAGTCTTGAGACGAAGGCGCTTGTCATTCTTCTTGAGAAACTCCTTGGCCTCTTCCTGGATGATAATAGAGTAACCACGCTGGTCCCAGACGAGGTTGCTCACATCGCTGTAGTACCCAAAGCTCGCGTTGCCTCCAGCAACACCGTAAATCAGACCGCTCTCATCAGGGGTCCACGCAGACTCGAAATCCCATCCCCACCAGTCAGCGGCCTGAGCGTGCATATCATCCTTCTCCGGGCGCCAGCCTGCCGTGCGGAGAGCGGCACGTGCGGACGTATCCTGGATGTTGTTGATCAACATGTGACCCGCCTCGGCCGCAGCCTTGGCGTACGCCTCATCGAACTCGTCGATCTTGTCACTCCAGTCCGTCTCACCCTCGTGGTCAAAGGTCTTGTATGCGTCGTAGTCTGAGAATGTCGACACAAGCTTGTGCTTCTTCGCCAGTAACCAAATAGGGTTTTCGTTTGTTTCTTCAGATCCAAGACCCTCGACCCAGTTGGCACCGAATTCGATGGTGTAAGGTTTTCCTTCTTTGTTCTTTCCGAAGGTTTGCTTCCATAGACGGCCGCCGATGTAGTCGTTGTGTTCAAGGATCATGAAATCCTTGATACCGGCAGCGGTGAGGTTTTGGGCCGCAGCGATACCAGCAGCACCAGCTCCGAGAATAGCGACCTTTGTCTTCGTGCAAGATCCTTTGTGAGATTCAGTAGGAGCGGCTGAAGCTCCAGCGGAAAGGACTGTAAGTACAGCCGAGAGCTGCGTGAATGAGGACCTCATCTTGGAAAGATTCTAGACGGACGAAAGAAGAATGTCAAGATCTAGATCTCAAGTGCCAAAGAGATTCTTAAGAGAAGAGATCAAAAGCAATCTGTCACTGCCTCGGGTGGCGCTTGACATTTTATATCCCCTTGCTAGCTCAACCCATGGCTGCTGTTATCACTCGTTGAGGCTGATCACTTGATAATCGCCTGTGATTAGGGGGGCGTTGAAACCGCATTCCTACGAATGAGATTACCCTAGCAATGGGCCGGGATACAGTCTTAGCTGAACCCGTCTCCGCAGCGATCAAAAGCTTATGCAGTAGGGCAACCAATGTTGACGAGACATGCAAAGGGAGCTTCCTGAATAGGTATTCATAATCCGCGGCAGAGGTTCTAGCCTTGTCAGCGCGACTCAGTGCTAAAGCCGGGGGAAGGGAGCGGAAAATCCCATGTATTGCCTAGACCGAGTAAAGTGTAAATTAAACATCAATCTAGCCTAGCGTCGTCGTCTAAAATCCCTCAGGACCCTTCAACTGCTTGCGATAAAAAGTCAATTGAGAGGATCGCATTGTCTAGATCTAGCCATTGCTGCTGTTGGTTGTTAACATCGTCTCAAATAAATATTATCTGACCAACGCATTAACAAGATTGTGGCTTATCGGACGGGCGAAATGGCCCGGCGCGACACACCTTAATCTTAACTGTGTCACGATTGGAATCCTTTAAGATTTCGCCAGCACATGGTCCAAGTGTCAAGGCCATCACTTCTTCATGTCTCTCAATTGGCGGCTGAAGGTCTAGCGTGCGGTGACATCGATAGCGCGCTTCAGACACCGGGAAACGAATACTCGGATCAGAACAATGCAAATCAATGGCCCGATATCGATAAGGCCGAGACTAAAGAATTCCAAAATAGCAGAATTGCCGTGGTGACTTGCGCGTGGTCGAGAAACATGGAAGCATTACCTGCTCAACGGGGAAGGTTCTTGGAGACAGCAAGCCTCTTTATGCACGTAATACGCGGCAACGGTAATTGACAGGTGCAGCCAACCGCTGAGACTTATCTCATTTGGGGGGGATAATGGAGACGAAGGATACCGAGGTTGTCTGTTTGAGAATATTGTTCTTTATTCTTACATGCTATTTTACACGATGATACGATCCAAGAGTACAGTAGAGACAGCGGCCTTGATGATGCGGCTTCATTCAGCATCAACCTCGCGCCGCCCACGTCAAATTTGTCGCGACCTAGAGACATCGTTTCTTCGGCTTTAGTTTCCTTTCTCGCCCTGGACCATCTTCATGAAGACCTGAGAATAATTAGTTTATGACAAACGGCAATTTCAGATGGTGAACAAACATCAGGGTTGATCTCAACACCGGCATTCTGCATCTCTGTCGTCAACTGCAATATCATCAGCATAATTCCCTCAACATATCTCCTTTGACACAATTCAATCAAGTACCTCAGTAGACGCATCCCGAAACTCCTTATCCATCATAAGCTTCATAAGATCCATCTTGCTAGGAGGCTTAGAAGTATCAAGACCTGCAATCAATCAGCCACAATACTGACACCAGACCAAAAAGACATACCCTTGCTCTTGATGACATCTCCCATCTTCTGCATGGCCGCGATGGCAGGGGGATGACGGCTCAGCTTCTCAAAGGTGTCGCGGATGAGAGGGTCATTCATCATTGCTTCAACCTCGCTCATGTTGGGGGGTTGGTCGGCTGACGCGAAGCGACGGGGTGTCGCGTGCATCGGGCGCGTGGCGATGCGCATGAGGGGCGTTACCATGGGGCGCGCGATGATTCTTCGGAGGGCGAACATGATGAGATGTGTTAATGGTGATGATGAGGGTGAGGATGAGAGTGAGATTGAAGACTCTGAGATGAGGCCAACAATTGGCAAATGACATCACGGATTGAGGCATAAAGTGTGGGGAGGTGCGCATTATCTTATCTTATCTGCCTTATCGTGCAGGTTAACCTAAACTCTCCAACATAGAATTGGTGGTCTCTTGAAGAAAAGCTCCCGCCTAAAAAGTGGAATTAATATGTTTTATCTTTATGCAGAAACTATAATCTGACGTTTGTCTATTCGAAACTTGACCCGAAGGTCATGTAGAGGTCGGTGTGAAAGATAGCCCAAGCACGTGAACCGAGCCGTGTGACAAATGATCGCTGCTGAACAATGTCGGCAGAGGGTTAATTGAAGAAAGTCCGTATTCACATTTGATGATCTGCGTTCTAATTCCTTGTAAAATACAAATCCCATTTCTGCTTGAGTACTTTCATTCCAATTGGGTTGAATATTCCTGCAATCCAATCTGGTCGCTGTGCCTTTTTCCTTTGCCTTTAGCTTTGCTGATTCCTCTATTCTTGACAAGTCGGCCCGGATGAATAACAGCGAAAAGAAGCATGACCAAGAGCATCGGCAAAGCATCAAACAAGTATATGAACACCTCGTGTGAAATGACGAAGCCGCCTTGCCCTTGTAGGTATTCGACCGCGCGGACAATACTTCGTACAATCATGATGCCAGTAACAGCCTCAATTGTCCTGAAATACCGTCTCCAACGAACAAAAGATCCATCCAAGAAAGGCCCCGTCTCTTGTGTTATTCGAATGTAAAGGTATACCGAGGTAAGGATGAAGATTGTCAGAGCAACTAGTTGTACTACCAGGCCTGCGATTAAGATGGTGCGGCCCTTGGCAATGGCGTCGGCATCACCTGAGGCAGGTATAATGGCACCGATAAATTGACTGGCAATACAGCCGATGTCGATAAGGACGTAGAGTTTCGTCAACCAACGGAGGCTTAAGAACGAGAGATGCTCAGACTCCAGCGCTGCTGCAACTCGTCGTAGGCTCATGTATATAGTCGCGGCGAGGAATGGCGTTCCGGCAAGAAGAAGGACGTTCTGAAGAATGAATGGACCTGCTTCGTCGGGCCGATCGCTTGCTTGGGCTCTGCCAAAGTATCCAAATATCTCACCTAGGAACAAGTGTTAGCGCATGTGAATGGTGAGAGATGTGGAGCATGCTTACAGATACCACCAAGAATAAAGGGGATAAAGAACCAGGCTCGATACATGATAAGAAGTATCAAATGAGCCAATGTGGTCATTCCAAAAAGAGCGACAAAGGAAATTGCTGCTGGCTTGTTGGGTAGGTACTCAAAGAAGACGATTTGAGTACCGTTCACCACAGGTCCATAAGGTCCGTCTCCACTCATCTTGATACGAAAATGCGAGATGGATGAAGGTAGCGAGAGAACAACGAACACTGAGAGAGAATGGAAGAAAAAGCTTGGAAATTGAAAAACAAGACCAAAAGAGTGATAGTATGAGAAAAAGAAGAGAAAAAGAAGATTCTGTCCGTTCAAGAGCAGCTTTTCTACCCGTAAAGAGAGGCTGTGGAGCTTGAATTTTCGCATTCTGAATGCGAATATTATGGCGCTAACGTTGATGGCTTCTTCCCTGGCCCACCAAGGTGACGCGGTCAGTCCGCCAGTGGGACATTGTATCGTATCCGAGCCTATGGAAGTAAGTCTGGTTGACCCTGAGATTGTCATGTTTCATGCAATTCTGATATATTGGCGACAGTTTTTGGGGCGATGACCACGAAACGAAGCATTCAGTTCTAGAGGTTTGAGCGTGTGGAACAATGGGGCTCGGATCTAATAATAAGATGGTTGAATGCTTGATTTTACGAAGGATGAGGAACATTGCGAAGGTTCAACTGGAGCTGCTTCATTCTTTATTATCCAATTTGTGCACCCAAAGACACCTGAGCCAACGCGACGATCCTTCTGTAGATGCGAGAAAGAAAAAAACGAATGGCAACAGCCAGCCAGTCAATACCTCTCCAGAAGCTGGTCCAATGCCCATCGCCTGTATTCAAATGACGAAAATGCAAAAAAAGGAACCACGATGTTTGCAATCGTTTTTATAGGAACAGCCCGATGCGGGGGTCGAACCCGCAACCTTGAGATCGCGTACTCGTAAGAGTCTCACGCTCTACCGATTGAGCTAACCGGGCGTGGCTCTGATTGGTTGAAAGACAGCGTCCAGATCTGGCTTGAAATTCTCCAGCCCCTTGGTAGGCATCCAGGGTAGAAAGACAGAGGACTAAACAGCTGTCAAAGCCATAGTTCTGAAGCTGACGAACTATCTTAATGGCGTTGAGACGTGTCAGAGAATTGCTTCAATTACATTGAAGCAACCACCTTCCTGTCCGAGTTGCTTACCGAACCGTCCAAAATGCTGTGAGCTGTCGCGCCGTCAAAAAGTTGATGGCATTGTCACACCAAACTTTCTTCTGATAAGGATGAACTATTCATTCCAATTGACAACTCTCAAGAAGACATCGAGAGCAAACAGAGAATTGACATATAACGAGACATACTGTCGCTGGTCATTTGCACCGCCTTTCTCACCAAAGACCTCCAGGTGGTCCACGATTGGAGAGTGCTTGGTTGAAGCTCCTCGAGTCCTCGACAAAGGAAAAGGAGCTCAACTGCACCTCGGTACTGCTAACCCGAAATGGACCAGCATCGGGGAATCGGAGCAGACCAGCATTTCCCCGAACGCGATGGGAGTGGCTGGCGCTCCTTGAGCGAACCCACCCTTAGCGTGAGACGATCCTTTGTCAATCTCCACAGGACAGGAGTCGCGACAACCAACACGAGCTGAGACGTGACATGGACTCCCTGGCATGATACTTATTCGGCATCTCAACAAATTGGTGCTGACATCGTATCTCAGACCGAGGTTTCCGCGTACTCGGATCGCGGACCAGTTGCTGTCTCCACAGCCAACAGCATGGACTTCATCGTCTTCCAGACTTGTGGAGGATAGTTTCCATGAATCCAATAATCGCCGCTTGAAGTCCTAGATATCAGCGAGTAGTTCCTCGCGAGCATATTATTTGGACTGATACATTTTATGTGGTAGTACACAGGATGGCCCGGTGACGATGTCCAGGTATTTTTGTATTGAGAACCGCGTCTGCCCATGATCGCTGGACTAAAATCGAGTGCTTCAGCGAGATCAGCCTTGACACTAGCAAAATGGATGGTGAACTGGTTCGCGTCTCCAAATAAAGGTGGTACACCAGAGAGTTCCAACGCCTCGCGCGTGAGACGAGCTTGAGCATGGATTGATGTTTCAGTGGTCTGGTCTCGAATGCTACCGCGAACTGCTGATGCGATTGACCCTAGGGTGCTGTTATCGCGCTGGTGGACTGTAGACGCTGGTAGGGTAGCCCAGCACGGGAAAACAGCGTTCTGTATATAAGCTCCCGGCTCAGGGAATAACGAAGGCGCGCGCCCTCGAAGATCATATGCATTGCCGATAGTCAATGGGCGATTCGAGCCTTTTGGGAAGAGGGCTGAAGCAACCACGATGGCTAGCCATGCGACGATAGCATCTGACTCGCTAACAAAAAGTTCAGATTGATTCTTACTGAGGGAGTCGAGAGCACTTTTGCGCAATTGTTTGGCATAGGCTCTTGGCAGGAAGATCGCCTTGCTTTCAATCGCGCGCCACCAGATCAAGTCGAAGATGTAGTAAAACGCGAACAAATACATCCTCCAGCCAGTGATCTGTTGTTCTTCCAGTGGATGCGACTGAGTAAAAGCAGGATCGCGTCCAGCAGTAGCCATAGCATCATCACCCGCGGACAACATCGGTGGAATTTCTGACATTCGTCCGGCCAGAGCAAGGCTCCAAGCATGGCCAATGTGACCCAGACTTATTCCATCGACAGCAATATGTGGCCAACAAATTGAGACCAGTGTCGCATCGGTGAAAGAGACAATATGGAGCGTCAACTGTGGATGATCGGACTTGAGATAATCTTCCAGACAGCGTGGTGTACCTAGTGGAACTCCTAGGGTAGTGAACTCGGGGTGTTGGTCCTGAATGGATGGCTCTTCTGCAGTTGGCTTGGGAAGTTTAGATGCAACAGGATGCTCATCGATGCTGATGTTGAAGGTGTCATGATGGAACCCAACAGCCGGTCGCTCCGAGTCAAAATCCCGAGGAATATGGATCTCGAGTTTTCCTTTGTTCTAGTAAGCGTCAGTGAACATATCAGAATTGTTTAATGGGTGTTCTGACATTCATTCGAACACGTCCACCGAGCTTCCTCCACCCAGGAAGAGCGATTACACGAGACAAAGAGTCCTTGAGCATCTCCGCATCAAGAACATCATTGAATCTGAGCGTTGAACATTGTACGTAGTTTCGCAATAGCGGAGTGTCATCAAAGTAGTAGACTGGTAGGATAGTGTCGGTCGGATTTGTGGGGTAGTTGAAAGACTGGCGTGTTTGGCCTAGAACGAAGCGCCTGATAGCCTGGAGTGCCATCTTGACTCAGTTAGATGACTGTTGCTATTTCATGAAAAGGGAAGGGTTATTGAAAAGGCGAAAGTGGAAACAAGTGAAGGTAATAGCAATGAACCTGTAAGCAAGTGCTTACCATGATGGGCGACATAGGCCAATAGCATCAATACTGCTACGCCATCTCACTGGAGACACTGACGTCCTTGTAAGCTCAGCGACCACGACCATCTGAGGGGCAAAAGAATCACCACTAAGCTGATGCCCATGAGTACCAAGCTACTGATGTCTGCGTACCAGGCAAGAGATTGACAAAACGTTGCTTACACTTTATCCTAACTATGCTTGCCATACGGCAAGAAACTTAATAATAACTTTAGACAATTATCCTTTGCTAGGCTGAAAGACAATAAATCTGTTGGATATTCGACGACCCGAAGGGCAGACAGGCCTGAGCTGGTACAAAGGACGTTTTAAGCCAGTCGCGTCTTCCATCTGTCTTCCTCTTTGTGTACGTAAAGAACAGCTTGACTTTCAGAATTGAACAGGACCTGGACACAATGAAAACAGTAGTTCAATCTATTGTTTCTTGTTGCTGAGCCTTGTTCACTCGAAAGCAGTGGCCCGTATGCTTGTTCCTTCCAGTGCCATGATCCTTTGTCTCTTTGTGTCCGTAAGCACTGGCAATTCCCAGAACACACAGTCATTGTTCAAGAACGCAACGTAATGGTCTCTGCAGTTCCAGAGAGTGAAGCATCCATCTTGGTCTATAAAATCATCGTGGGTTCCTCCTTCTCTGGCACTTCTATCAACAACCCAACAACCTCAACTCATAACAACCTGACTCTTTCTACTCCTGGTGAGTACACTATCCCATCAACTTACTAACTTCATACAACATAAACAACTTCATTCCTATCACCCTACAGCAATCAACATGGATAACAACAATAACAACATCTACAACGGCGAGCTCGTTGAGCAAGCCTTCGAGATCATCACCACCGTCGGCCGTGTCGATGGCGTTTACAACGACGAACAATGGGAAATCGTTATTAACGCCGGTGAGATGATTAGTGATCACATGGGTGGCGCCCACGGTTTGACTATGGTCGAATACCGTATCCTTGAGATGTTTGCCGTCGGTATCGAGCTCCCTAACCAGCTGCCTTGGCTCGAGCGACAGTCTGATGCTATCCGGCAACGAGCTGATCGTCCTTTGACTCCGGGTGAAGAACACTTCTTCCAACTTGTGGACGATATTGTTGCGACTTATGATGATATCATCCATGGCGAGGTAATGAGGGAGAGACAGAGCCGATCCGAACAAGCTAACGCTCCAGAACCCCCGATGGTAGATGCCAACCCCCCAGGCGAGACTATCGATGCTGTCGATCCAATGGCTGAGGCTATGGCTATACGCCTGCACGTAGCCGCTAACGCGCCTCCAGTCGTCCATACCTCGGCCCCGATGCCCATCCAGCTGCTAAACGCACCTCTCATCGCACCACCCACGCCCATCTTGATGCCTGATTGGATTGCCAACGCGGCTGTTACTAATGCCCAAATGCCTACTTCCTATCTGACCACTATCGCTGCAGATGGTACTGTTTTAGAACAGCGTGTCTTCCATCCTACCGTGGCCCCAAACAGCAGCCCCGAGAACCCTATCAACCAGTTTGATGGGATCAATATTGACCAGATTCCTCAGAGTGATGTGCTTGGTGCTATGAACCTTGACCCGGCCCCAATGGATTTGCAGCAGGCTGTTACCAACCAGCAAGCCCTCAACCAACAGGTCATGACCCAACAAGCAATGGACCTGGCGATGAACCAGGCTCTTATGAGCCAGCAGGCCATTAACCAGCAGGTTGCTAACCTCCAGGCAGTGCAGCGGGTTATTAATAATCAGCAGGCCATGCAGCAGGAAATGAATCTTGATGTCCAGTACCACCTCGCCAATGCCATGCTCGACAACGCAATGAACCCCAACGCCCAGTACCCCAACGGTGAGAACAATGGCAACGGCAATGGCAACGGCAATGGCATGTACTAAGCCACCTGCAGTGAAGACATAGGATTTCTAGCGATCGGTAAGTACGAGTCGCTGATGTGGTGATTACACAAAGGCAGGACAAGAAAGTTGCTATTCAACTTCAGGGATGAGGGAGAAGTAATTTAGCGACGAGCTGGACTCGACGCTCCTATAGATTTGGAGGATGTTTGTTTAGACACTCAATTGACTTCATTATAAAGAACCATTTCTCTCTTATCGCGTGAAGTACTAGATTAAATTAACACCGATACTTGGCCATTCTTGCATGTTGAAAACATGAAATAACATCAAATTTCGCAAGATAGATTGTGCGCGAAGCTTCTAAGAACCCCAAACACCTATATGGGTTACCCTCTCGGCTTCCAAACCATAGAGAGACAATATTCTGACCAAGCACGGCTCGGATTTGTTATCGGAAAGGGAGCGATGGTCATAGAAGTCCAAAACAGACCTGTCCGTGTTTACTCCCACAGCTCATTTCGGCTCGCCAAGTATTACAAGTTCTGAAACCAGACGAGAGTGGAAGCTCTATGGTATAAAGTCGCAGCCTCTTAGTCGACCATGTGTAGTTTACGCATGTAGTTAGCGGGATTGATGTCGCCTCTGCTCTGGAATCTGAATGCATCCGCCAAGACACCGTTACCAAAAGCGTCACATCAAGTCGCAACTAAACTCATTTAACGCAACGAATGACAGAACAATTGTTTTTATCATTTCAATGTTTGAGAGGCCAGCATGTTGCCGTGGAGAATTTCTGGAATATGTATAAAGAAAGGTACTCTTGACATTCCTTGTCGATCTCAGACATCCATTCGCCACTACACTACTCAATTGTTTCTCTCACTGTCTCACACCATGAAGTCCGCCACTATCCTGTCGACTGCAGTTTTTGCAACCACCGTTGTGGCTCGATTATACAAACGCGATGAGTGTTCAGAAGTTTGCACCAACGCGTACAATGCATGCACACAAGAACCAGACGCCAGCCAGGCTTTTTGCGCAACTGAATATGCGAATTGTCTAGGCTTCAATCCTTTTCTGGGGCAAGAGTCTGTCCCTGAACCAACTGCATGTTCCGCAGGCGCCACGGGTGCCACAGGCGCACCGGCGATAAGCTCATCGTCTTCAAGCACATCAGCCTCAAGTGTATCAGCTTCCAGTGTCATAGTTTCAGTCCCATCAGCCACTGTTATCGCGACCACGAGTAGCACACTCGTCGTAACACCCACCTTTACAGTCCCAACCGGTAGCGGTGACGATGATGAAGAAACCCAGGCGACCGATACAGGCAGTCCCAGCACAACTGAAAGGTCATACAGTATTCCTTACACATACGACTGCGTATCTGCGTGCAACAGCGACTACAACACCTGTCGCACGGCCCCTAATGCAAACAGGGCTACTTGTGCATCCGAGTACGCCGAGTGCCTTGGCTACAACCCTTTCAACAGCGAGGGTTCGCTCGTTACGCCTACCGAATGTTCTGTCGCAGCTTCTGACATTGTCGTTCCTACTATGTCTGGCGCGAGTTCAGCGCGGTCGATGGCATCAGTATCGCCACCACCTATGCAGGACACGACTTTGGGGATAGCCACTACCTTCCTGCAACCTATAGCTACTTGCGGTCCTGGCGAGTGCACTTATCCTACCGCGACGAATGAAGAAGCTCCGCCGATGGGGAGTGAGACACCTGTTGTTATTGTTGACAGTGCTGGAAGTCTTCAACCTCTGATGGTTCTGGTTGCAGTGGCGGCTGTGGTTGCACTATGATTCCTTTGTTATGGCTAAGACCTATTTAATTTGAATCCATATTGATCTATTTATCCAATCGTTTTACAGCTAAGAACCATATATGTGTTGCAAGGGAAAAAATACACTCTGCCCAGCCAGTCGTCCATTTCTAATACGGATCAAAATCATGGCCTTGCTTCTCATACCATCTTCGAATTGCTCCCCACTTAGGATTTTGTATAGCCTCCCTCATGTCTTGGACTTGTCCAGCCGATGGTTTCTTGATGCCTTTAACTGGACGCCCAGTGATAGCCCATCTTACATTCCCGCAATTCTCTGGCGTCCAAGCATGTTTCTTCTTGAAGCAAGGACATAGAAAAAGCCCCGAAGCATCCCTGCGCCAGCGCACATCATCATGAGTTAATGTGTTGAAACCCACTCGAGCCATAACAGGATCAAGGTACATTATCCCATTATCCAAAAGACACACAGCAGTGTCTTTCCAGTCGGTGCTGTCACTATATATCGAAGACCCATGCGACAGCAACACCCAGTATTCCAGGAGCCTCACCTCCCTGATAGTCTCTTCGTCGTCACCGTATGATGTAACAAAACGAGCCATACAGTCAAGGACCTTTCTCATAACGTTGGCCCATTTAAGACAGAATTGATTATAGCTGAGGCCGTCGCGCCCAACTTCATCATACAATTCGTGGTATTCTTTCATGATGTTCATCTTTGTTTCTTTTTCTGGCACGATCATTACCTCCTGCAGTACCTTCAGGAGCTGGCGCAGAGTCTGCTTTAGCTTTTTCTTGGTACGTCTGCCCTCGGAGTCATAGTCATACTTGGTGGCCTTATGCATCGCGTCTTTGTAGATGTCAAGAGAGACTGTTGTCATGATAAGGTTTCGTATGGCATGTTCCTTCTGGGATCTCTCCCGGCAGAGCTCTATCTCGATTTCGGCCTCTTTACACAGTGAGCTATGCAGCATGATGATAGCATCCTCCGAAGGAGCAGTACGCTCTTCATCGCGGGCTTCTTTGAGAATTCGGGTTCTCAAAGCGTTATAGCTTTCGACCTTGGGGGGCACTGCTTTATAATTGTCCTGATCCTTTTCTATGGGATCCATAGTGTGCCAAATCTCAAGGCCTTGGGCGATGCTGCACACGGCAGCGAACCAGTCTAGCCATTGGTCCGGAGACTCCAGTTTTTGGATCTTGGGTAGCTCTATGGTAAATCTTATAGTATTCGGTAGCTTCATTGTTGGTTCTCGGGATGGTTTCATCGTAAGCTTTATGAAGATTTAATGCTGAGTTGTTAAATAGGTTATTTTGCGAGTCTAGAAAATAGCTCATCCTGTTTGCATAGGTCAAATTTGGAATTTTTGGTGATTGGCGAGGCTAGAGAATTTCTCGCTAAAGTTCAGGACGGGAGCCAATCGTTACAGGATCACGTCCTGACCTGCAGCGCAACTTCGATAAACTGTCTGTATTCATTACATTAAATTTGTTTATAAATCTATAGTCTATTATCTTGTGTAAAAGGTTTGTGCAGGTGTACACGGTAAACTTCAATGACCATTCTTGGAACTCTCCTAGAGAGAAGATGTGATACTCTGAAACCATCCTCAGAATCTGCATCATACTAGCCCTCGAACTGCTGGTTTCCACGATCTTGGCTTTTGAGGTCAATCTCATCGATAAACATGCAAGTCAACAATCCAACAACACCAAATCCAGTCATGGTATAGAAGATTGTCTGGAAAGAGGTGAGATATACACCCAGAACTTCATTAAGTGTATCCCGTGAAACATCCAGCGAAGGAAGCTCTTTGATGAAGGAAACAGCCCTCGAAGCATCAGCGAGAGGTGCTAGAGTACCATCAACTTGCACCGAGTTTGACACGATGGTCTTTGCAAAGACGGTGTTGAAGATGGCAGATGCAATGGTCAACCCGATCAAGCCTCCGAACATGCGAATAGTGAAGAATTGGCCGATAGCGACGCCCGTGTCTTCGACTTTCTTAACGCTGGCTTGCATGGGAAGGAGTTGAAGACGGAGTAAAGCAACGCCCGTTCCCCAGATAACTGGGAGTCCGAAGAGCATGGATGACGGAGATCCCACTTGGAAGAGAGCCAGGATACCAGTTCCTAAGATCAACAAAGCCCATGAAAGTCGCAGGAGCCAAGTGTATCCGCCAAACAAGGGTACCATCATCATGGAGAACACTGCGATAACAACGCTGGTAATGGATGTGGGTAGGAGGAAGACAGCAGATTTGATGGCTGTCTCTAGGTAAACTGCTTGGTAGATCAATGGCAGGTACTGCAGCAACGAGACCAGGATTGCACCATGAATGAATCCTCCGATCAATGTCATGTTTGCAGTCTTGGAGTGGAAGAGACGATGAGGCATGATTGGCATCGCGGGCTTGGACTCGTACCAGACGAACACGGCGAGCACCAAGACACCTAAGAGCATGGGGACCAGAGTCTGCCATGAACTCCATGGAAACAGAGATCCTGCCCAACTGAGAGGCAACACCACTATCGTGATGCCAGAAACCACTAAGCACATGCCGATCCAGTCGAGGCGCTCGATGTTACTAGCATCGACTTTGATGGTTCTCAGCTTCAGGAAGAAGAACACCAAAGGTGCACCGAATCCAAGAATTGGAAGATTCACCCACCCGATCCATCGCCAAGTGGCATAAGTAGAGAACAGCGCACCGACCGATGGTCCCAAAATATTGCCAACTGCATTCGGAATACCCATCAAGCCAAGGTACGTCGCACGCTCCTCAAGGGTCGTCATATCAGTGAGAATGACCTGGACAAGGACATCAATACCACCACCGCCAAAGCCCTGGAGAACTCGGCCGACGATGATAGTCTTCATGTTCTGCGCGACAGCAAACACAATTGACCCGACAAAGAACAAGCCAATGCAGGCATACAGTGGCGGTTTGCGACCGAATGCATCGGAGATACTCGCCCATACTGGCTGCATTACTAGGCCGCAGAGTGTGTAGGACAAATTCGCCCAGAATGACTCCAGACTTGAGCCATTGAGCTCATTGGCTATAGACTGAGCGAGGAGGTCAATGGATGGTGGTCAGATGAATTGGAGGATTGCTTACTGGGAGGGCGATGCCTAGTGCTGTCGCATCAATTTGGAATACGAAGAGGATGGCTGCGAGGCCTATGAATGAGAGCTTAAATGCCAGCGATTTCTTCTGCTTGGGCTGACTGTTCTCATCAATTGGCGGTACCTCCGGATCTTTCACTTGAGACATAGGATCGTTCGCATTCTCATCAGTCTTTGGCTGTTGACTCGCCGCCAGTACAGGCATTTCAATTTCATTAGGTCCAGACATTCTCTAGGTCATTGCGCTGCGCCATGGATAATCGCAGGTTGAGTTCAATTATGTTTTAATTGTGAAGTGAGTTTTGTTCAAATTGCAGAGTTTCATTACAGCGAGGCCTCCCTGAAAATTAGCTCTAACAGGCTTAGTTGGTGGATTGTGGACACAGAACAGAAGGATCGTTATCCCAGTACAACGAGTGCCGTTACCCCGACTTTTGTGCAGAGAGCAATTGATCCAAGACCCGCGATGCGTGATGTGACAGTGAATTAAGAGGAGATTAGGTAAATTGGGCAGCATTCCATAGCGGAATAATAGGTGACGGAGCAGGCTCTCACAGTGCTCTGGCTTTTGCACAATTTAGACATGCTGCAATGTGCATGCATACCACTCACCATAACCACGTTCCATTGGTTTGTCTGTTATCATTAGTGGGCCCCATGGACTTATGCACTGACTAGCACAATTCTTATGAAAGTGGATGAATTACAGAGACATCAGCCCCATTAGCGCTTACTGCTTATTTCCTCCACGATGGCCGGCTTGACAGAAGTCAAAAACTCAAAGATGACTTCAAATGATACTGCGCTGGTGAAAAAGAAGACTAAATCCAGCGCTCCGAGAAGGCGCACTGGATGTCAAACATGTCGGTTAGTGAGGATCTGATGGCTGTGAGGTGATATGACTGATACCGTGGTAGCAAACGAAGGATCAAATGCGATGAGACGATACCAGCTTGTACAAAATGTGTCCAAGCTGGCTGGAAATGCGATGGCTACCCGTCAACTCCAGCCTCAACAGACACTTTAAGCAGTAAAAGTGCTTCGTTACACCCTTCCCAAAGGCCTCTCTTATCTATCACCAACTACTCCATTCCCTTCAAAATCCCAGGAAGCCAGAGAGACCGCCAGCTTCTTCACTATTTCTGCGTCCAAGGATCCTCCGACATTACAGGCTTCATTACTTCAGACTTCTGGTCCAAGGTTGTGCTTCAGGAGAGTCACCAAGACTCAGCAGTGCGACAAGCATTGGTTGCCATGAGCTCACTTCATCTGGACTACGTGACGTCGGAAAGCCAAGCTGCGAGCGTTGCAACCTTGACACATTATGGAAAAGCTGTTCGTACGATACGAAAACGACTTTCGCAACCGACAAGCGACACTACTAAAGTCGCACTGGTTTGTTGTATCATCTTCTACTGCTGCGAGAATGCACTGGGAGATTGGGATGCAGCGCTTCAGCATCTAAGTAATGGTCTTAAACTGCTCAAGTCAGTTGGGGAAACTGAGAATATGAAAGATTTGACGGTCATCTTCGAGCGACTCGACATGCAGGCTAGTTTCTTCCAAGATGATCGTGTGCCAATCTTGAGTCTGCCAGACTGGAAGGAATACGTCAATGCGATGCCGGAGCAAGGCTTTTCCAATGCACAAGAAGCTCATGAGAGTCTCGTGAAACTTCAGTCATGGCTCTACAACTTCGTTAATAGGCATGCTGAGCTTCATGAAGCCAGCGTGGATCTCCTGAGCGCGGATGTCTTGGATGAAAAGGATGCGCTTGTACAGGCGTACAATCGCTGGAGTCATGCGTTCAATGACCTACAACTTGCTAAGAAAGAGGAGAATCAAGGGACATACGGCCTTCGGGTATTACTGATTCACTTTCATATCTGTCAAATGATTTTGGAGTCAAAGTTTCCTGTCAACGAAGAAATCTTCGGAGCTTCGCCCAACCCGACAGCGCACAAAATACTGGATTTGATAGAAACACTACTGGACCACACAACAAAGCTCAATTCTTCACCGACCGCAACTCAGACTCCACGTCGCAACTTTTCGCTGGAAAGTGGCGTCGTTGCTCCGCTATTCGCATTGGCTCTCAAGTGCTCAGATGAGTCGGTGGCTACGAGAGCAGCAGGGATGCTTTCCTCGACGCACAGAAGGGAGGGCCTGTATGATGCGCAGACTATGGCGCAGATTCTCAATCAGTTAAGAATATCAAGAGATGGAGATCTTGGAATCAAGGAAGAAGCCACGAGCGATAATGGGATAGTGAGTGCTTTGGAGTATCACATACCTGGGACCTATGAGGGCGGCGGGATAGATAAGCTGCTCGCTTCGATGAGGATATAGATCGTCATAATGACAATGAGAAAAGAGAGAATCGTGAGGTTTCAGCCCATTGTCAAGGGTTTCACTGCATATTGGAGCATAGCCAATCGTAAGAGTGGTTGAATAGCCTATCTGTCTCAGTCAGCATTGATGCCTGATAAAATCTCAAAACTCGGCTGAGAATCATTTCCTGCCATCTTTCTCTCTTTTCTCCCCCTCACCGCATCATATCATTCAAGCACACATCTTTCCCACAATGGAACCCACAGAAGATATCGAAGAGGTTCTTCGTGTGTGCACCTATCATAGGAGCGAGTTCGATGACCTTTTGGTTAAGACGCCAAAGTCAAAGCTCCAAGCTCCATTCATACAAAACACATTTGACAAACCTGACTTTGCGAGTCTTGGCGACCTAGATCGCCTTCCTCAAGAGCTCATACAAATAGCACTTGAAGAGTTGGATATCGTTTCCTATGTCAAGTTCCGAGGTGTCAACCAACGAGCACGCAATCTAGCAAGCTCTAGCCGCGACTACACTGTTGTTGTCAATCATGGGTTGGAGGGGTTGAAAGCACTTCTCAGAGTGCAGACAGCCCATCGTTTCACTCTATCCCATCTTTACCAAGCCCTCATCAATCCCAAGTGCAGATACTGCCGCAAATTCGGACCTTTCCTGTCCCTATTCACTTGCAAGCGCGCCTGCTTCACATGCATCGAGATCTCAATGCCGTTAGGCGCCATCGCAATCCCCCCACCAAAGTACTTTTGCCAAACAGTCAAACTGTCAAAAGCACAAATCGAGAGCGTCTGCGAACCCAAGCTGCGCGTTGTATCTGGCAGCCACTATGCTGTAGAGCCGTGGCCAAAGGTTAAAAAGCCAAAATATGTCGTTCGTTGTAAGGATGCATTTCCGAAGCTGCGTGCTTTGAACAGCAAGATCAGGGTGAGAGATATGGAGTTGCCGCCACCAAATCAAACTGTTATGGATGTAGAGCACATGTACGCCTTGCGGTACATGGCTTCAACTGTATTTCCGTGGTACGACCCTAGTCGTGATAAGCTCGAGACTGGGAAGAGCTGCGCAGCATGTCAATTTCGAGTTGAGGAGTATGAACATGATTCTCCCGTTCCTTCAGTCCCACCTTGGGGTTACAATGACAGAGACAGGACTTACACTGATGAGGAGTTCATGGAACATTTTCGGTCGTGCAGCTTTGCCAAGGAAATGTGGGCTGATTTTAAGAAGAACGACTATATTCGAAGTTCACAGTTTACGAGGGCCGGTGGAAGACATCCGAATCCGTTTCTACGATACGCGGATTACTGAGATGATGAACAGATTGCATTTGCAAATATAGGTTAGCTATTGCTTGATTTAAAGAAATAAAGCGATTAGCGACAATATTATTGAGTTGATTAAGCCTGCTTCAGTGCCTCGTTGATCTCCTTCTTGTATTTGGCGTTGATAGCCCGGCGATTCAGCTTTTGCGTCGCGGTGACGAGACCCTGTTCCAATCGTTAGCTATTGAACTTCTTAATCATCAGGGATCATCAGAACTTACACTCGCGGGAGTCCACTCTTCAGGAGTGATTACGACTTCGGCAACGATCTCCATAGTGGATAAACCTGCCTTCCTGCCCGTCGCCTGTAGATCCTTCAACAAAGCCTGGCGTACCTTCTTGTCACTGTAGATACTGTGTTCATCCACACCGAGATCTTTAGCCATGCCAGCTAGGACAGTCTCGTTAGGCATGACGACGACAATGGGTCGAGCATGCAGAGAGTCAGCATACACCATGGCATTCATGACGCCCTGCGCACCACGATAGATCGAGTCAAGTTTCTCCAGAGCGACATATTCGCCACTAAGGAGCTTAACGATGTTCTTGACACGATCAATGATTCGCAAATGGCCATCCTTATCAAACTCTCCCACGTCGCCAGTCTTGAACCAGCCGTCTTCGGTGAAGCTTTTCTTGGTTTCTTCTTCATTCTCATAGTATCCCATCATGACACAAGTGCCTTTAATCCAGATCTCACCCTGCGGTGGTGTTGCATCGGCTGAGTAACCGAATTCGGGGACTGATACAAGTTTGAGTTCCGCAGAGGCTGGAACTGTACCGATAGAGTGCAGAGTAAACTCAAGAGGTGATCCTAGAGCACCAGTTGCGCAAGTCTCTGTGAGACCGTAGCCTGTGAACATAGGAGCCACAACCATGGACATAAAATGTTTCGTCGAAAGTGATATAGGGCTTCCTCCATTGAAAAGGAATCGAATTTTACCACCAGTCATCTCACGAATTTTACCAAAGACAATTCCGTCAAGGATGCATGCACCAGGGAGGTTATGCTTCACCATGAAACTCTTATACGCAAAAGCGCGCCAAAAGAGAGTCCTGAGTATGGCATTATCGTTCAGTCGTGTCATGATACCCTTTCTGATTGTTTCATAGACTTGCGGTACACCGGGCATGACCGTGGGCTTTAAAGCTCTCATGTCGCCCTCACAGTTTCGGACGGAGGTGTCTGAGAGAGTCCTGGGGTTTCCATAGCCGATGGTGCCGCCGAAGTAAAAGCCCAGATTCTCGAGGGCCATTTCTAGGACGTGAGCGAGGGGAAGGTAGCCGAGGAGGACGTCGTTGTGGGTAACGCAGTCCGCGACGCAGATGTATAACCCGGCAACTAGAATTCCCAGGTCAGCGACGATCGTTATCAGGTTGTTTCGATTCTTTACTCACCTCCTGCAACCAAGTTCTTGTGGGCGATCCTCACACCTTTCGGAACACCGCCAGATCCTGAGGTGTACATGACACAGTACAAATCCTCAGGCTTAGGCCAAACTGGCTCCACCATATGGCTCTTTCCCAAACCGCAGGCCTCGTCGAAACTGATGACCTTGAACTTTGGATTTTCAGCTTTAAACTTTTCCAGAATGTCAAGGCCGTCGAAAATGGATGCCTTGTTAACAATAATGGTATGAACCTTGGACTTCTTCAATGGCTCCGTCGCAGTTTTGAGAAGATATGGGTCGATGTACAAGACCTCTGCTTGACTTTGAAGTAGACTGTGCTCCAAGCCGCTTTGTCCGAGAGAATCGTAGGCTGTGACAATTGAGAGGGACTGTGTGGCACAGGCGTGAGATGTAGCTATCCACTGCGCACTATTGAAGTCAATACTTATTCCCAGAGCTTTTATGGAAGTTGATATACCTTGAGGATCCAAAAAGAAACAACTTATTCCCTGGTTCAAGCCCAAGCTTTCTCAACCCCGACCCAAGCTCCAAACAATGCTTCTCATACTCCTTATAAGTATAAAACTCAAAAGGCGACAATTCGAAAAAGGCCCAATCCTTCTCCACGAGCTGTACCTCTCCGTCAATTTTCTTCTCGACCTTTTTTGTCTCTTTGTGCATCTTGATGAGCTTGCGCCATCCTACGGCCTTGGAATCGGGGTATAATCGTGCGCTGCGACGAATGATGTCAAAGATTGTGTGGACATCTTCGGATGGTCTGTCGATGAGGCCATCGCGGGCTTTGGGATGACGGCGGGGGAGGGTTTCGTCGGGTTTCTTTTCGGTGTTGGATGATTCGATGGTGAAGGGTGGTTTGTATACTTGATACAGGGGTGTTACGCCTGAGGTATGCGCCATGGTGTCGGGCAAGCAGTCCAGGAATTATAATTGAGTTAAATTCGCGACTAGAGAGTGGGATACTATTTTCGCTATTTCCGCCGCGATCGCGAGACAAAGAAGTAAATATTTTAAGTGGTTGTGTTGGTGGGCCTCGGCCTCATATGATAATTACGTATGGTCAGCACCCCAACAAAATGTAAGACGCGTCCCTGGCGCGCTCACTTTGTGTGAACCCACCTTCAACAACCATGATAATACACCCAACTAACCGACGTCCGGATTTCGCGGACTTGACTGGTCATCGCACCCATTATAATACGACATTGTTGAACGACCGAAACATCCGCTGGAGCTGATAAGCGAATCGGTAGCATCCACCTTGACATCAGAAGTAAGCTGACAGGCAGTCATTCAACCAGTTGCCGGCATCGGGAGTTAATCCTGCTACCGCTTTGGCTTACTTCCATTCAAAAGAGGATGCATAAGTTGGAGGCCAACACACTTTAACAGCTCCTTCGGAATGCATCCAAGCCAATAGCGTATCGCAAGCTTACGATTACCCCAGAAAAGAGGTGCGAATGGACGCCAGGCACTCTATTTCAGCCAAAGGTCTAGCAGCTGCGCTTCTGCAGCTGACCTATTAGCTTGTTGCAAATCCGGTAGTTATCCATAAGCACGGATCAACTTATGCCTTGTAGAATGAGTTGCAAACAGGCTGTCGGATTTACGGATTCTGAATCCCGTTGTCTAGGTCGTCTGCGAATTTACGGAAGCTTCGGTTGTAGCTTAGCTCCGTGCTTGGACGTCAGCTTACGTGCGAAGCTTTGATCTGTTGTCACCTGGTTAAAGAAGCTTATATCGACTCCGGACTTAACATAGGCACTGCGGTTTGGTGCCGGTAGGCAGTTCTGCTGGAATCATGAGTGGACAGTCGATAGTTACTGGACTTCGCATAATGCTATATTCCCGCCTGGCACTTACTCTAGCTGTCGAGAACTTCCCCATCATTGTTTGTTCATGATGCCAAGTTCGGTAACATGTATACATCAATGGAGAGTGGATGATGACAGTGCCAGGGCTCTAGAACAGGGTGGTAAGCGACGGATCAAAGTCGGCGTCTTGGTTGGGGAATATTCTGCGAATATAAAAAGGCATGGCAAAGCGCGACAAGTTACCTTTACCGGTTCAGCCTCTGATAATCCCCAAGCTCATAAGCATGACTGGCCTTGTTCCTTCCATGAAGGATGGTATAACTTACCGAATTGGAAGTGGCCGGTTTTATGACATAGCTCCTAATGGCTTGGATAGTAAGCTTACTGCACATTCCTGTGGGAGATGGTAAGTGAGCACATGATGCAGATATTTCTACTTTGGTGCAAAGAGCAGGATTTATGACAAAGACTCACTCCCATTGGCAGGCTCACCTCGTATGCTTGTTGGTTGAACCAAATGCCCGGCGGGATTAATGTTAACGCGTAGCCAGGCCCTGCGTAAGCAAAGAGGAACAGCCTAAACAACATCATGCCATCAACACTGCCAGGAGCGATTTAACCTAAATTTACGAGCCTTATTTGTTGGTATTTTAACTTCAGAAGAATGGGCGGTGGCGACATCAAGGATCCTTTCACGCCGGAATTTTCGGACTTTGTCACCAAGACTATTGACGAATGGAAGGTTGCTGGCATCGCTATTGGCGTTATCGATGGAGACGATGTCTTCTCAAAGGTTGGCCAGAATACCAGCTGGAAAGTACACAGTTTCACTAATGCTGGGTAGGGATTCGGGTTCGCGACTTTGCCTGATGTTCCAGCTACACCAGAAACCCTCTGGTATGGTGGCTCCACGACCAAGGCATTCGTAACGGCAACTCTGTCTCATATGATCGAGAGCAAAAAGTACCCCGAACTTTCTGATGGATGGAAGACCACTGTTTCATCAATTATCCGCGACGACTTTGTAACTCGAGATGATTGGACGACTAACAATATCACCCTTGAAGATCTAGCATGCCATCGATCAGGCTTGCGAAATAATGATATAGGCGTCCGAACACGCGACGGAGACGGCCCAAGGGAGATCAGAGATATCGTTCGTAATTTTCGACACCTTCCACTCCAATGGCAGCCTCGCACTCAGTTTGACTACAATAACGAAGGTTATGCAACGCTGTCCTATGTCGTTGAGACGATTACTGGGAAGTGGCTAGGCGATGTGCTTAAAGAGACGATATGGGGTCCTCTTGGGATGACTTCTACATATCTCGACTTGCAACAGGCTAAAGATGCACCGGGCCATCTGTCGACAGGCTACTACTGGAGTGATACTCAGAAGAAGAAGGAACAATATGTTGCCATTCCTTACTTAGCTACAGAAGTCAACAGTGGAGCTGGAGCGATCATCTCGACTGTCACCGACTATGCGAGGTGGATCAGATGTCTGCTACGCAAAGAGGCACCTCTATCCAAAGAGGTACATGATGACATACGCAGACCGAGGATTGTTGATAACCCGGAACCTTCTCGCGGAATGGATGTCTCCATGTATGGACTCTCCTGGTGGCGTACGTCGTACCATGGTCACGCCGTTTATTGGCACTCTGGGTCTGTGGCTTCGCATGGTGCTTTGATCTACTGGCTTCCGGACCTTGAATACGGAGTTGTTATTCTCGCGAACTACCCCAGCGATGTGAGAGACGTTATCATGAGACGACTGATCGACGATAAACTCAGAATCCCACCGAGTGAGCGTTTTGACATCGCCAAAGAGTAAGTTCAGCTTTGCTTCATCCTAAAGCCTGATTTAACAATATATAGTTTGAGAAAAGCACAACAAGAAAGAAAGGAAATCATCGCCAATGCAGCCACCACCTTATTTCCAAATCTGCCAGCCAAGCCTCAACCATCACTCGTCCATATCGACAATCTCCGTGGAAGTTACCATGCCCCTGGGTATGGAACATTCGAGTTTCTACGATATAAACTTCCACAGCAAAAGGAGAGGAGTAAGGATCTCGTTGCAGTGCGTACAGACACGTTATGGAAATGTCGCGCAACACTTCGTCACGCCTCTGGAAATTTCTGGGTCATGTTTATCTCACTAACGGATGATCCATCACGAGGGCCTGATGCGTTCTTGGGTGCTGAGTTTAGATATGGTGTCGACAATTTGCCTTGTGAGCTTGTTATTACCTTTCCGACTGGGGACTATAGTCGTGAGACTGTACTGAAGAAGGTGAAATGAGTCGTCTTCTCCTGCACTGATGGGAATGGTATCCTGACATTTTGGACCCTTTGCAAATTCTCTTGCTTAAACTGCTGTATATATTTCACGGTAATATGTACTAAGAAATGCTAAATAAACTCGATTTGAAGTTCAACTCGAGAGATTCGTTGGGACAATGTCGCAGAGTCCTTCTTACTGACATATCCCCAAAGTACCTTCACAACCTATTCTCAATTAAGAGGAGTAGGTGAAGTCGACCTTTACGGGGTTGTGGTCAGAAAGAATGTTTCCATCAGGCTGGACAAAGAGCTGAGGAACATAGTTGAAAGAAGTAGCAGTAAGCTTGACGGAGCTTCCAGATCGGTAGCTACAAAACAAATTAGCACATATCCCTCAGTTTTCCTTGTTCGAATTTAACTTACAAAACCTTGTCGACAATCTCGCACTTGTTGTTCGCAGCAGGAACCTTGCATGGATCGGCAGCAGCGCCAGCAGTGGGGAACTTGCCCCCGTTGATCAACTGCACCCAAGCATCGCTGAAACCAGCGTCTGTCAGCTTGTTGATGCTTCGACCTGCGTTGGTCCATCTGTCGTTGGTGTCGCCGCCGATAATGATGGCTCGGCCATTGGAGTTGGACTTGATGTACTCGAGGATCTGGTCAATGCCAGCCTCTCGGGCCTTGACATCGCCGCTGTCAGATCTGCAGTCCTGGTTAGAAAAGCTCCGGAGGGTTTGGATGGAATGTGGCTTACCCAGCGTCGGCGTGGAGGTTGTAAAGATCAACCTCAACATCGCCAATCTTCATGCGCATGAAGCTGAAACCCTTGGGAGTCAAACAGTCTCCAGAGTTCAAGTTGCATTTGTTCCACTTCTTGCGAGCGAAGCCAGTCCATGGGTAGTTAGCAACAGTGTTGAGGCCATCGCCAAAGGGAACACCGCCGGAAGTAGGAGTGCGCTCAGGATGGTTGTCAGTCGCGTAGATGTAGGCATGGTAGTTGAAGTCCTCCTGCATGTGAACAATGTCATATCCACCGGTAGCAAGAGCAGTGCCGATAAGGTTGGAGTTGGTACTCTTGTCACCGGGAACATCATTGCCGTTGAAAATGTCGGGCAGACCAGCCACGTTGTAGGTGAGAAAGTTGAACTTTCCGGACCTTTGGCCAAGACACACGCCGCTGAGGGCTAGGGTAGAGACCAGAAGCTGGCTGGGAACTGAGGACATGAACATGATGACTTGACTTGAGATGAAGACGAGAGTTGATCTGGTGTTTTCACGAACTTGGTCGTCTATTTGAGGAGCGGTCTGCTTGCTACTATATCATGTCGGCCTATGTCAAAGCTTCCTTTGGCTCGTGCATGATGTAGCATCGCGATCAGCACAACCCTTTCCCATCAAGGTTCGAAAGCCGCATTTTCCCGCGGGAGAATCCACCCTCGCCTACAAAAATGTACACACCGTCCGATATCCAACTTCTCTTTTTAAACTAACAATACGAAAAGGTTTCGCATATGACGGTATAAACGTGCAGCCCAGAACACACGCAGATCTATACTCTTGTCTGACTGGATGAAGGTGCTTATCGAAAGAGCATTCCCAATTGGGCAATTCACCCGTTTTATGTCAAGGTTCATGGTTTTCCACCAATGCATTGCATCACTGGTAATGCACGATGCTACCGAATAAGGTCACCCAACAACATGCACGTGCTTTGATATACCCCGGTCAAAAGCTAAATAGATGCCGGGGCATGGCATTTAAAGACTCAACGTGTGCGATAATGATGGCATTAACAAGTCCAAAGGTCTGGGCAATTACTGAACAGGTAAAGTAATTTCCGGTGGACACTAGGGTGTAAACTGTATTTATATGCAATGTCCTCATGCTCCAATGTAGGATTTTAGCAACTCAATCCAACCCAGAACGACAAGATGAAGGCTCCTATCGTTGCAGTCGCTGTTCTCGGCTCTTGCTGCCATGCCCAATCTGGCAGCTCAATTGACCCCGTCCAGCCTGTTCTCCTTCCGGATACAGCGGCAGCTAAGAACCCTCTGTCACACCTTGGCGGTAATGGCCCGTGGCATATAGGTAGGGAAACCCCGTGATAAATCCATTATTGGTTATTAACATGGTTAGGATCTGATATTACCGGCATTTCATCTGAGATTCCCGATGGATGTGTCGTCGACCAAGCTGCCTACGTATCACGTCATGGATCTCGATATCCTGATACTGGTGCTCACAATGGCTGGCTCGAGATGCAGCGCAAGGTAAATGAATAAAATATTCTTGTGTTATAGGCTTGGCTAACATGGAAACCAGTTCCAAGAGTCTGATTACAAGGCAACTGGGCCTCTGAAGTTCCTCCATACTTGGAAGAGCCCCCTCGACAAACCCGAGATCCAGATTGCGCAGCTGAGCAAGACCGGATACAAGGAATTGTTCGATATGGGATACACCATCCGAACTAGGTGTGCACATCTTACATCATTTCAGTAATTGATCGACTAACACATGCAGGTACCCGGATCTATACAACGAGGGTGAGGACTTTGTTGTGTGGGCCAACAACTACACACGCGTCATCCAAACCGCTCAGCTCTTCCTCCATGGTTTCTTGGGAACAAACTCCTCGCTTGGCACGGTCGTTTCCGTGACGGGTAAGGGAATGCCTGCTCATTTGGGCGACACCCTTGCTCCGTCTGATATGTGTCCTACTTTCGTGGACGACAGCAGCAAGCAGACGGACGCGTGGCGCTCCAAGTGGCTGCCCGCCTTCAAGAAGCGTCTGTCTCAGTACATCGAGGGAGACCTCGATCTTGAAGACGGCCAGTGGAACGACTTTCCCTACATCTGTGGTTTCGAGTCACAAATCGCAGGTCGTCTTTCACCTTTCTGCAACACCTTCAATCAGCAGGAGCTAGAGCAGTACGAGTACCAGCAAGATCTCCGATACTACTACGGTGTCGGCCCTGCCACCAAGGTCGCTTCCAAGATGATGGTTCCCTTTCTCGATGCTTTGGTAGACCGTTTCGTCGCTGGCCCTGATTCCACTGGTAAAGACTTTGACGGCAAGAACTTCAAGATCCCCAAGATCCTCATGAGTTTCTTGAATGACGGTCAACTCAACGAACTCGCCGTTGCTACCGGCGTATACGACAACCAGAAGAAGCTCCCAACCGATCGCATTGCCAAGGACCGTCTCTGGCGCAACTCTGATATTTCTCCTATGCGTGGTACCATTGCTTTTGAGCGTCTCACTTGCGGCACTACAAAGGGACGTTCTGCAAAGTACATGCGAATTCTCGTCAATGACATTGTCTACCCCGTTCCTTCGTGCAAGGACGGCCCTGGAAGATCTTGTGCTTTGGCAAAGTACTCTAAGATCACCAAGGATCGACTTAAGAAAAATGGTAACTTTGCTAAGCTTTGCAATGCCACGGATCCTGCTACTCCCAGCAAGGTTCTTGGAGCTAGCTTCTTTACCAACTTGGCTCAGCCTCACTTGAAGCCTGTCAAGCCTTGAATGGCCTGGTTTTAGATGGGACTTACGACGATTTAGATAGATTAGACATACTAGCTAATTTGTAATACATTACTACTTCCATTCGCATCCATTCCTATATCCATTACGAGTGGTCCTCCATCAGGCTCGTCCCATAGCAGCCTTAGCCTCGTTGAGCTCTTGCTCAGAGGGCAAGTTGACAACCATCAAGTACAAGACGTCCTTTATCATCAAGTCAGCAAACATCACTCAGGTATACATATTGAGAGGGGAACTTACCTTGCTCAAGAACATCTTCTTCGCGTACTCACCTGGCGAGTACTCAAAAACTGGCCCGGATCTGGAACCACCTCTTCCACTCATGCCACCTCTGCCTCCCCTTCCTCCTCGACGTGAAAACAAGCCACTTCGACCTTGGCGAGCCTTGGTAGGGTCAACATGACCTCCGGTCAGCAGCGAAATGACAGAGCCACTGTTCGACGGGTGAGATGGATCGGCGTAACGCGAAGTAAACTCTGGCTTTTGCTGTTGGTTGGCCAGGACATTCTCTGGGCTCTTGTGCGCCTGCCATAAAGTCAGCACGAATTCTCCCTCAATATGGTTAATGGATACTTACAAACTCGGCCTGTCCTCTCTTATCGAAGTACTCTGCGACAAAATTCTTCTTTCTAGCCATAGTAGCCTTGAAGCCCTTGGACTCCTCGTTATCAGCAGCATCGAGGGTATCCAGTGTAGGGAACACGAGAGGTGCAGCCTCAGGAAGAGCGAAATCACCATACGTCTTGCCACTAGATCTCTTGAATTTATCTGCGACCCCAGAGTCTTCTGGGCTCATTCCGGAAGCAATGGTCTTAGTTATGTCAACCATCTCATGAGGTCTTCCGGTATCTTCTCTCCACGTCATGACGAGGCAGCAGAGACCTCTAGGAAAGAAGTACTCTTCGTTCATCTTTGTCAAGAACTTGTTTGTGCTTGATAACGGTTAGCATTCGCGATTTTGAAGGATTTGACAAACATACTTCTGTCGGCTATGCATATCCTTGGTAATCTCAATAGTCAAATATGTCGCTGCACTAATAGCAATACTCGGCGCAAATCCTACAAAAAATCCACCGATTTCTGCAAAGTTGAGAACCTGGATCCACGGCGAAGCCATCGTCGCGGCATCGAATTTGTCGAGAAAATCGAGCCAAGTGGCTTCATCGATGCCTACATCCTCAAGCATGGGGGGATATCCACGAACAAACCCACGGGAGCGGTTCTTGGGTCTTCGTTGCGCGAGAATAACTGGCATTTCCAATTGTTGGCCGGTTATCGGGGTTGAACCATGCTCTCTGATGAAGATGGTGGCGAGATCGGCGTCATCTTTTGCGGGCTGTGGTGGTGAAGGTTCACCCTGTGGGTTTGACAGAAGCTCAGTTTGTGTGTCATCAAGCTCCCATTGTCGTTCTGTCGCGTCATTCTTGAGGTCTGATTGATAAGATGAGTCTTCCGGCATTTCATAGACGGGAGCATCGTTACTCGAGCTTGCTTCAGGATTATGTGCTGGTTGCTGCTGTTGCTGGACTAGTGCTGGCGCGTTCTTCTCACTCTTCTCAGCGGCCTTTTTCTCCTTGTAAGAGCTAACACTCTCTGAGACAAGCCCAATTCCACCAGCGACCCCACGAACAGCAGAACCAAGAATGCCACCGCGCCCACCACCGCCTCCACGGCCACCTCGAGAGAATAGAAAACCGCGGCCACTTCCTTTGTTAGACATGATGTCGATATGAAGTGCAAGATGAAAAAGCCAAGAATTTTTGACGGGAAATAAGCTTATTATCACAGCCCTGTGGAACGGCTATTCGGCAGATGAGCGGGGGAGAGCTTGTTGAATCAAGTTAGATTGTCGCAGATTGCAGGGCTCATCGTGGCTAGCGCTATAATGCGCCCTGTAGAAGTCCACTGGGATTGGTGCCCATGCCCCGTAAGCTGCATTTTCAAGATTTTAAGGGTTCGAAGGATCAAACATTGGCGCCTCGTAATTGACCTCCACTGCGGAGTAGACTGAAAGGTAATTGAGGGAACAGCAGTGGAATGCCACGCCAATAGGTATGCAAGCGCTTAGATAAGGTATCTCGTTTACCGACTCCAAAAGCCATGATCACATGTCTTAACTCCATGACTTCCATGGATTTAGCAACAATGGTAACGGGTGCTGCGTTATGAGAGGCTTGGGGGACATTTCATGGTGTGCATTAATTATACATATGCTCAATACAGCCATCAGACTTTTGAGAGGACCCAAATATATATCTGCAAGAGGCTACAGGGTAATGCTGGGCTCTACACTGAGCCGGCCCAAGAGACGCAATAATGAAGGATAATATCTCGCTAATTACCCTAATCGAATGAATTGACGCTTAGTCGGGATCGTATCCCAAAAGCTTGTCAAAAACTCGTCCCAGGTTGGCATCCCCGCCTCCTCACATTGCTCCTCCTGCGTCAAGGTATCTAACCAGTCGTGGTACTTGTCAGGGCTATCCTGCTCTCCCAGATTTTCCAGCCATCGCCGTTGGGGACCCAGAAATGGTCTGAAGAATACTGTGTCTGGGAGTATTCTGATAATACCAAAGCGCTCCATTGTGTCACTTCCCTCGCCTGTTGGTGCCACGAGGACGATTACAAGCTCCCTGTTCGACTCAAGGATGACAATCCCCGTCTCCAAACTATTAACCGAATCTCTCTTAGGCCATCGCTGTATGTCGACTTCTACATAGATTTGACCACGTCCCGCAATTTCCACAATCTTGTAACGCAGCTCATTGAAGGGAAACTCTTTGTCCACGGCGTCCTCCTGCTCTTTCGTGCCGAGATTTAGAACGTAGGACTCGACTGGATTATGCAACGGGTCAGACTCTTCGAATCCTGCCATATCCATAGGTATCTGAACCGTTAAAGCATCGAGATGTATGAACCTGGAAATAGCGGATATTGGGGTTGCACGGATCTGTTGTATGTTCTCAACTGAGTCCCATGGCAAGAGTTTACCATCCATGAGTTCCGACTTTATATCGACAACCGTCCGGGACGACGGTATAGAAGCCGATGTGGTGCCCAGAGCCTTCTTGAAAAAGAATATTTCCCCGACCCATCCTGCCCAAGACCAAGATGGAAGATCGTGGCAACGATCCGACCCTCTAATTTCTCCATGCCAAAGCATTCCTCTCAGGAAGCCAAGGATAAAAACCTGCATTGGGTTTGTCGCCGTCGATTCGAATTGAAGTATTGGGGTACCGAGATAATGACGCATCAACTGTCCAGGCGCTTCGAACGCATGGAGTATACCCAACACCGCAGAGAGCCGATCTTTGACAAAGGTTAATGCGCGTTTGCTATATGTTTCAATACATAGTAGCAGTGCCTTTTCCCTTTCGAATGAGCTCGCAGATAAAAGCCACGGTGCTTTGTCTCCCTCTTTCAGGTTCCATCGAGGCTGGGGAGCGGCAAAGCCTTGTTCTGCAGACGCCATACGGCCACACTCATAGTACACTCCCACGTCTGTAAAGAACAGGCGCCGACGTGAGAACAGCCCTTCTTGATATGTCCATGCTCTAGTTGCCCAAGGCGAGCGACTTATGCGTAGTTCAATGTTTTTGAATTTGATATTCCCTGCTGCGATATTGTGGTTTCCAATTCGTACAGGCAGGACAGTGGTCTCCAACTTCCGTGTCACGCCTGGTAAGAAGGGAGAGTGAGAGTCTGCGATGATAGTAACAGCTGCATTGCGGTAGATCAAATCCATCTGGCCGAATTGAATCTCCATGGCCTGAGGATCGTTTTGCGGGATGCAATATCGATCAACCCAACAATATCGGAACCCAAGATCTTTGGTAACTTTGAGAGCATCCGAGATCATCAGCGGAAGTGCCGTTGCATCCATCAGTTGTCCCTCCTCGTCAAAAGGCTGACGTGACGGGTCGTATGCCTCCTCTCCCCATCTGTAGCTGAGCGCCGTGTATGTCGGATCTTGACCAGCGTCGACGATGCACAACGACTCCACGTCTATAACCTTGAACAATGGTAAAATGAAGCTCCGAGATTGATGATCAATGCCACAGATGAGGGAGTCGTTGTGGTGTTCCCAACAGTAATCAAGAAACGATTTCAAGACGCTCGCATCAATATAGCCCAGCTCGTTTCTGTTTCTCTGAGCAATTGCCGTGTTTTGTCTTGGATCTAAAGAATTCTGATCAAACAGGTAATAGTCTGCTATATAAAGACAAGGATTAAAGAAATTGATGGGTTCGTGAAAGACCTGTAACATGACTTGAGGAATAGTAGCCGCGTCAGCCATCCTGACTTCTCCTGTAAATGCATCATCGTTCTTGAGCATCTCGGCCGTGGACCTTATTACCAAAGAATACGACGTCTTATCGACATCAGAGTCTAGTACAGCTTTCATGTTTGTAAACGCATACAACCGGCAGAGTAGGCATGTAGATGATGACCATGTCTTCGGATTTCCCACGAGATCTGCAACCTTGCGGCCATTTGGAATGGGAGCGTCAGCTCCAGATTTCAGGCTTTCTTGATCGAGGGTGAGGATGGTATCAAAGTCGATAGCTTTGCAATTGCTGCATAGTTCCGTTGCAGTATTTTTACTGACTTGCACAACCTCGGAGCTCATCAAGATTGTGTTGAGAGGTTCAGCTTAAGTTTAAGGAGGATTATTTGAAACCAGGTGAGGTTTAAGAAGATAGGTTCAAACCTGTAGGAACAATTGCCTCAACGATTGAGTTTCAAATGCATGCCTCAGGCTTACATACATGCGATATGCAAGTAAGATGGATTGCCAAGCTTAGGCAGATATTCCTCTCACCTACAAGGTGGGAGTAACAGATCCACCATATTGATGTTTGAGTCTTGCGAGATGAGGTGACGATGAGGGCATAGAGACCGGATCATAGCTGAATAAGAGAACTTATCAAGAGATGATTTATAACCGTCCAATGAAGTAAAAGAAGGTAACTACCCATATGAAATTATATGTCCCTTGTAAGATATTATAAAGAGAAACCTATGTTATAGATATTATGGTGCGCCAGAACTTTGACACTGCATTGTACTAAGATTTGTAGGGTAATCATGGGTTCAAAGTGTCGGCACACAGTGTAGATATTGACAATACAGGAGTGTACGCCATTGGCAATCTGATAGTCTTCAGGCAGATGGGTAAGAAAACGTATTATAAAATTTAATCATAGGCGGCTCGGATTTTGTGGACCTTAACAGAGGTTCAATAGATGAACGGTTTATCAGAAGTTTCAAGCCGGCCGACCAGAGAGATGCGGCGGCGAAAGAGGCTTCCTATTGTCATGGCACATTAAAATATATACCGACTTTATTCAGCTGTCTAATACATACGACCAAAGGTAG